TCTAAATAATTTTACGAAAGACACAAGATGGCAAACAATGTAATAGCTTAGAGTAAATAACGAACCTGAAGATGGCACTACGTTGCCGAAACATGTAGTAAGAAGAGACATATGAAACTGAGTGCACTACAAGACGGCCATTACATACATATCATGGATAAATATAAGAACTTCTACCGAATTCTGAAAAATATAAGATATACCAGTACAAAGAATTCTTCTGTCCTGTCAAATGGTTGAACATCCACTAGCATTTGCTTTACTACTTACATACAAAATTATATACCATTATTTGTATGTCTGTAGACATTACGGAATGTTACAAGACTTGAAATGTTTTGATAACTCCCTGGTCCATAGGTTGTAGGACCAATGTGATGAGAGGAGATAAGAACATTATATCAACACTAGGATGACTGAATTGCAGTGTTTCGGGGATGTAGCCAGGGGAAAAGTGAATATATTCAAAATTTCCACATTTGGCAAATAATTATGCACATACATTCGCACATGAACAGTGACATCATGTCATAGCGAGTATGGCTTATAAAGAGGACTTGATTATAGAGACAGTAACCACTGACACCATCAGATTCTTACTGATAAACACACAGAAAACCATCTTGATCCGTTGACCATGCAGTATGTAAAAAATTGTGTGTTAAATGACAAATTCAAACACAGGCATTTAATCAAAAACTGACATCACACTTCAGGACCTTGGAACAATAAATGATACATGGTGCAAATTCTTAACTAAGCTTTACAACCACTGAGCTCAATTTATAATTAGTTTGCATTTTTATAACTATAATTCATACAATATTGCTAAATAATCTACAAAAGAAACAAAATGCTTACCTCATATTTGAACCTCCCCAAGAGGTGATGAAGTGAAGGATCATATGGTTGAAGTGCTAATGCTTTATCCACATGTTCTTTGAACAAAGAACCACCCTCAATTTTTTCAGGCAGACTAAGAAATTCACCACGAGCGCCGACAGTAATAGCAAACCATTTGTGTGCTTCTGGGTGTGATTCATCCAGCTCCAGCGCTCGCTTAGCAAAACCAAATCCTACATTGCAAAAGAAATTTTAGCAACTTTAGAACATTTGTAAAAGAAAAATGTATAAAGTAACATGGTAGCAGCTGTGGGGGTTCAACTCTGAAGATTATTCATGCAGGAATTATTAAAGATGGTAGAAATACAGGTCAAACAAAAAATGTGATCTCTTTGTTTATCTATTTATTTACTTATTTAATGGTGCCATCGGCAGTAACAAATAATGCATTGGAAAGGCTGTCCAATGAAGCAGGCAAGGTGCAATCTGAGTTACCTTCCTGCAAACCCTGAGTCAGGATAGCCATTCTCTGGGACAAGATTTGAATCAGCACATCCCAAATACAAAGCGGGAATACTCTTGACTTCACTGTGATGTTTAATAGATCACATGCAGATGGGTCCTTTTTGATATTTCAAAGACCATCGTCATCAAATATCATGAAACATGTTGTTGCATGCCCAGAGGCTGGGGACAGAACATAGGCCTGTACCTCTTGTTCTGGATATTTTTGGACTTCATCACCCCTGTTGATTTCTAGATTTTTCTTGAACTGCCTGGCCCATGTTGCTGGCCAGATGCTCCCCAGAATGGCTCTGACTGAATAAAAGCATTGTGGAGTTTGTGAGCTGACAATTCAGTTAAATTTCACTGTGCGCCAGAAGCAGGCATAGTGCAAATGTGTGTCAAAACATGAAGCAGTGCATATGCCACGACAGTAAGTTAGTTTAGTGCTGGCAGTGCAAAGTGACAAGAAGACAGTGCAGTGGTATACACTGAAAAAGTTGTGGACTAAGTAAGCCTACATCAAGACCTTAAGTCCCTACTGACCATCGACAATCACTGTTCCAAAACGTAATAAATATTACAAAATTGCAACACACCATGAACAAACCTTCAAATAAAAATTCCTTTTTCTTGTCATTATCGCCTTCTTCGCCATACACGGTGCCCATGATATGACTTGCTTTTGCTAGCCGCCACAGAACATTCACCTTGTCAGCATACTGAAAAAGCCGAAGCAGATGATAAAGTAACAATACAATCAGAAACTACAGTCTTGCTGCAAAGGTTCACACCAGTAATAACTTTTAATTATGTACCAGATGGGTGCAGGGAGAAAATGAAGGGTCCATGGTAAAAGGATGCTGTTACACTTCAGAAAAATATTGGAAAACATGAAAAATGTGTTCAGAAATTAAAACCATAGCATGGCTCCTTTTGCACTGTAACTAACCACCTGATCCACATCATTCTTCAACCAATACCAGGTGATTATTTTTATGAACAAAACAATGTAAAAGTATATTCTGGCCAGGATCAGAGCCATGTTTTTGCACAGGACCCTAACAGTGGTCTTTATTACACTTTCATCTCTAGACAGTTGGATTACATTTTCTTGAAAATAATAAACTTTTGTTGCATGTATTATTCAAGATAATATAACTGTCACAAACTTCAGATTGGGTTTTTACACTAACACCGAGCAAGGACCTGAGTAGCCGCCAGTTATCAACCTGGTAAAGATATTTCCTGCTTTTTTAAGATGTCTTAATCACCATGTTCATAAACCTTTATCATTAGACCCTACTTTGAGACAGTTCAAACCAATTCACATCTTTACAAACTATTTACCTAAGTCAAGCCAAGTCAAGTGAAGTGAAGCTGTCTCTACGCTTAATTAAATTTTTTGTGAGGAATGAAGGCATAGCTTTGAGCATACTTAAACTCAGCATCACATGGAGGTGAATGGTCAGCTTCACACCACAGCTGCTTTACACCCAGGCAAAGACCCCAGAGTACCCACTGATAGGAGGATGAGTGGACCTCAGAGCCAGTCTGGACTCTCCACACTGGACACTAGGGGAAAATCTCACCAGGAAACAAACACGATTCCTCAGTCATCCAGTCTGTAGCAGAGTCATTACACCAACTAATGTACCTTGGATCTAAGACCTAATTTAATTTTATCTTACTGTTTACATCTATATTTACTGACTGTGCTCTTACCTTGAATTTTTCCAACCCAAATCTTGTATATATTTGCTTCTACCAAGAGCAGTGGATATCCCATCCCGCTTACCCTAATTAATTTAATTACCTTACCAATATTAGGTGAAAAGTAGAAAATGTAAAGCTCCTTCTTATATGCTTTGCTCCTTTCCTTCTGTTACTCATGCCCAATATTATCAGCTTAATATTGATACAAACAAATTTATTATGGTGACAACATACCTGATCTTTCAGTTGTAACAGCAGACTATAAGCTGTCTTATTGCACTCTACAGTCCCCTTGAAGAGTATGTCCACTTTATCCAACAGCTTGGCTAGTCTTGGATCTGTTTCTGTTTCACTGGCATTTCCCAGTTGGACAAATAGTGGATTATTTAAATTTAACACCAAAGTACACAAATTTAATACCAGATCTATTTATGATCAGTACTACCTCCAAACTAACTTAACATGATTCCAAAAATGAATATGTTATATGGAAGCACACGTCTTCAACCATCTGCCGACTGAAATTAAGTCTATGTTTAACAACATGAAAGTTTTAAATTTAAGTTGACAATATTCTTAATACAGAATTCCTTTTATACCATTGAGGCATTTTTTTAATTGAAACACGACTAGAAATAAGATTAAAACAATAAGATATTATAATTAAGCCATGTATTATGATGATAAAGAGTGATATATTATACGTGGCCTATTGTAGATGTATGTGCATGTTTCATATTTTGTACATAAATGATTGTTATTGTGAAATGGATGTACTGTCAGATTTACATTGTATGATCAATTATTTTTATTACAGCATTACCTTGCATAGTGAGTGAGTGCATACATTATATGTGGCCTATCATAGACGCATATGTATGTTTTATACTTTGTGATATCCAGTCGGATTTATATTGTATGATTAAATATCTTATTATTTTGTTATCTAGTATAAACGATGACGGATTCTATATCTATGTACATAGATCCCTGGAAGACACATTAAATATGAATATGAACTGATGACACCATTCTGAAAACGAATAAGTCAGCCATTTCAGCTAATTGAATATGCACTATTTCGGTCAAGGTGTAGGGGTTTCATATGCTTGATTTATTGTTGTGGATTTATATGCATTGTCTGTTGACTACTTGCTGATTTAGCAAGCTTGTGGTGTGACAGGTTCTGTATCCAGTGGCTTTGGCCTTGTATGGATGTGCTGGAACGTGTAATAAATACAATACAATACAATATATGGAGTTTGACTTGTATGCTTTCACACTCACTGTGGACCTTCTTGTTGCTGGAGTTTATGTAAGTAACTATATCTCAATAAATATTTATTTTACAGCAATGAATATCTTACAACTTGTAGGATTTGAGGTTTTCACGGCAGAGACTATGAAGAAAGCGGTCTTCTGGGACGTGGCACCATGTAGATGTGGTGTTAACAGACGTTTCGGAGGAATGTATCGCCTCCATCTTCAGGGTAAAAGGAAAAATAAGAAAATCCACAAGCAGAGACCATGAGAACCGGTACAAGCAGGCTGCGGATTTTCTTATTTTTCCTGAAGATGGAGGCAATACGTTCCTCCGAAACGTCGGTTAACACTACATCTACATGGTGCCACATCCCAGAAGACTGCTTTTTTCATCTTATGACTTACTTGCAAATTTTATATACACCATTCTATTAATTAAAAATATTATTGCAGTGCAGAGATTATCCTTTTCTCATTCACATAACGCAGGAACCTTAAACTCTGGACAAGAAACTGTGTCTCAAAATCACAAGACATACCCAAAAGAGAGTAAGCATTGTGAAATTTTAAGTTCTCATTGCAGTGACAGTAAAGACTATTCTCTAGGATGTGATCCCATGTAGTCTGGGAGAAGTTTAACAATGTCTCTGCTTGCTTACTTGCGTATTCTTCAACCCTGAAGATGGAGGCAGTATATTCCTCCAAAATATCTGTGTGTACTAGACTACGAGTCCCAGAAGATATCACTTTTCAAACTATATGCTGTTCTATAATCCCAGAGTTAGATCTGACTCCTGACATCAAACCATGCCTTTCCCTCTGAACACATCCCCTGATTTTCTAAATGCACCAAGAAAGTTTGTAATTAAAACTATTTTGTATTAACTTGTTTTGCTATTGCAGCATTATACTAGGGGAAAAAAAAACTCCATGGGCTGTAGTAAGCAAGCGAACTATACCGACCGAGTGACCGCCGCTTGTCAGCGAGGTGAGTGCCAACTTTAGCAGATAGAGGGTGTGGTCAGCGCAACGGATCCCCACAGCCATTAATCTCGTTTTCTAGACTGAAGCCACTATTTCCTTGAAATAGCTCCTCAATTATCCTCACGAGGCTGAGTGGACCTTGTTCCAGTCCCACTACTTCTCCTGGGACCTCTGGATCTGTAGCCAGGAACTCTGACTACCAGACCACAGAGGCTACTGCATGCCCCTCCCTTTATATTTTTACATAATAATAAGATTAAATACTTTGTACAGAGGCCACTTGGGAGATCTGAGCAAAAATGGAACAATAATATTATACAAACAGAATGAGGTGTGCACTGGATTCAACTTGGTCAATATGAGGCCTAAGAATAGACTCTTTTCTGGTTCCATAAAAGATGTGAATTTTCTTGACCATCTTAGAACTACCAGCTTCTAAACAAGAACTCTGATTCATAGAGTTGGTCTGAAACTATAAGGCCACATCCTGCGTTACTTGTAATATATAACAAGTATTATACTGTCGTGGGAAGACAAGACAGTTTTAAGCAGTTCAAACAGATATTTAAATGCATAAAGAATTATACACATACATCCTGGTTTCATTTTCAATGGAAACAAGTGATCCAATATAATACAAAATCCATAAAAAAAAACATATTTTAAGTACTTAAAATTGGGTTGTACATATAGCAAGGTTTATAATCATCAGAAAAAAATATGTTTCATCAACTGCAAGCCGATGCTGCTCCTTTCACATCAAAACATAGTGTTTGATACCACCTGTTTGACTCATAGCCCTACCAAAAAGTATGTAGTCATTCCTCAAATCCGAAATTTGGTAACTTTAGTTATTGAACAGATGAAGCTCCAAATGCATCTTCATTGATGTGTGTTAAACATAAAGAAAATTACAGAAATGAGTGACAAATTTTTTGTAATAGAATCCAAATATTAAACACTGTTAATATCAATGCCTACCACCAGGCACAGTGCCAACCCACTTCTGTCCAGTTCATTCCTTAAAAATCCCTAAAATCTATATTAACATTATCCTTCAGTCTTTCCAAGGTTTCCCCATAATTATTCTGCATCTATGACATTAACTACCAACTGAAAAAATAAATCAATTTAAATAGCAGCTGTTAGCTATGCTTAATGTCAACAATGAATAGCTATCAAGTAGATACAAGCTGTTTCTGTACTTCAGAGAGTATATGGCAATTGTAATGGTAAGGTAAAGTTGTCCCTGTGCTTAACTAATTAAGCAGTATGCCATGTAGGTGTATGTTGGAGTAAATATATATATAGATCCACACTTTCTTGACCTTGGCACTAGCAGAAGGTGAGTGGTCAGCTTCACTCCCTGGCTGCTTTACTCCTGGGGAAAGAGTCCCGGGTACCCACTGGATAGGAGGTTGGGTGGACCCCAGAGCCGTTCTTGACCATACTGGGACTCAAACTTCAAATCATCAGTTGTCTGGCCAGTAGCTATACCGACTATGCTATCCCAGCTCCTATAAAATTGTAATAGCATTAATATTCCTTAAAATTTACATGCACAGACTTACACATTATTTTCGTCTGAACAATCAAAGAATTCATCATCATCATCATCATCATTAGTCTCTACAGCCGACTGCTGGTCTATGCCTGTCACAACTTCAGTCTCTGTAGTTGACAAACTCTTCCTTTTGGCTTTCTGAAAAACACTTCTTCTTCCACTTTTTTTACCCTGAGCATCGGGCTGATTTCGCATTTCTGCTACTGTTCTGTGCTGTGGAGCAAATTCTCGTTGGTGTAACATACGACGTTCCTCGGGAAGAAACTGTTGGTATAAGAATGTACCAGCAACTCCTAGCAGAACGCCAACTCCAACAGCCACTGCTATTAGGCCTCGAATTGCCACAATTTCTGGATTCATTCTTATCGCCCGGGATGATTTCGGACCTTGAGACTTACTTTGTGATCCACCACTCAACTTGCAGCACTCTACATATACGCTACACACAACTTCTGCCACAATTGCCACGAATCAGTAACGCAGCTACCAGTTTTATTCACAACGCACCAACCTAACCAAACTTGACTCCGTCTCGCCCGTCTCCTATCTCACGAAATTAGGAAGATTTCAAAGGTAATTTGTGCACCAAATATGGAACACCGGCGACACGGGAGCTCGTGCGCGAGTAAATTCACTCTCCTGCTCTCCTGAAACACGAGCTTAGTCCTGGGCACAGTTCCTACGTGTGCTACGGGTCTTGGGCGTCTTGGGCGTCTTGGGGATCAAACCACAGATGCATACGGTATGATGGTTATGATCGGTAATGATGCCGGATAGTACCATTGCTTCTGTGATCATTGCGTTGAGCATCTATAAGTACTAATCCGTGATAACAGCTGTTGTTTATGGAGTAGTGGGGTGCATTTAATCGAATGTGGTGTGTTAATGTTAAATTATGCCTTATGTTTTAGTTACTACACAAATTAGACTGGTAGGTCATGACATTGTATCGTAATTGGAATTATGCATTTATAAAATATCTTATATTTCGGAACTAAATATGAACTTTTCCAGGAAAGTGGACCGACTATCGTGGGGGACGAATATTCAGATCCGGAATTGATGTCGTATTTGGGTGCTGTTAAGAAGATCGAGCCAGGAAATAATTTGTAAGCGATATTCATTTAATTGTCAGATTGAAGTGTTGTTGGTACATCCAATTTAGTTTCTCACAATATACCATAAAATTGATTTTATTATTAGCGTTAAGTATAATTGTTTTTCTCACAATATACCATAAAATTGATTTTTTTTATTATTAGCGTTAATTATAATTGTTTTAGATTTGGTACATGGATTTCGGTTTCTGGATGACATAATTTGTGTAAAACGCTTACCTCTTATGTGTAGTTTTATTGTTATGTAATAACAGTTTCATCATTAAGTGCTGTTATGTGTAACATCAATATTAAAAAAGAAAACACTGCAGCAGTTTTATTAAGGTGTTGAGGGGTCAAAGGTTTTACATTTTGATTCAGGGTTCCTTGATAGAGGGAATGATATAGTGTTTTAATAAATAATATTATTGAAAGCTCTTGTTTGCATTAACTCTCTATCAATGGAGATCGGCCACGGGATGCAGAGGACTGCCCCTGGGGGCGAGCAACTTGCAGTGGTGGGTTAGTGTGCCTAATCTCACTGAAAATTAAGAGTGTATTTTAGTGTTGGGGAAGTAATGAACAAGGCTTAAGCTTTCAGTATTTTCATAACGTAGATGAGAGGCAGGTAAAAAAATGTAAACTACCATTGTAAGAGGCCATGGGGGTCTGTAGGGTTGTGAGGCATTGAGGCTTCCAAATTTTGTAGACAATCGTCTCACAAATGGCAGTGATGTCAACCTTATATGCCAGCTTCCCTTTACCCCAAGACCATAGTGTGGCTGGAAGGATTAGGTCAATTGAAAAATCCAGTGACATCAGAAAGTGAACCCGTGACCCTCTGGCTTGTTGCATAGTGCCTTGACCAACTGCGCTATTGTGTGCCCCATTCAGGTTAAGTATGACGATTTTCTTATTTTTATGATGACAGTCTAATACAGTATTGAATTTAACTGACTTTGTTAGTATGGATAGAACTGTTCACATGAAAATAAAAACCTACCATTGTACTCTGTCTTCACCTATTCATGGTACTTAGTTCACCTTGCATGATATTTCTCATGGGATTAATTTTAATATTATGTTCACATTTTGTTCATCAAAGACATTGCTTTCTGAAGTTTCCTTATAAAATTTCAGGGTGATTTGTTTTCTTCATCTGACACAACAATCTATTGTGTATGAAGTGAAAGCAGAAAGTGGCCACACTAATTATGTTCAACATGCATTAATAGGCATATACCCAAGTATGCTGTAAGGCAGTGGTGGATTCTGAGAAATGTATGACCTTGCCTCCCCTCTGATTGTTTTTAAAGAATAAATATTTTACAGTTTGTTATCAATATAACCTTTATTTATACTAATGAAAGCAAACGTGACAGGAAAAAAATTAGAAACATATCATCTAGAAATTGTGTTGTTTTACAATTATTATTCAAGATATATTGCCACATGTTAGTGACTACACACAGTTTTTGGATTGATAATTGGATTTATTGAATGTTTATAACTCATAATTATGAATAGTAAAACACTTTCACTATCTACACACACCAAAAATCACAACCGCAAATGCTACAATGTCTGTCTTCGTCTGTCATTGCTTGGTACCAGCATCTAACTATATAACCTGACTGCTAATTGCCAACTCCGACCTCTGACTTCTGACTGAACTCTTGACTTGGTCGATTGGTTAAATTGCTGCTGGCCCTCACCAGCAGTTATTCTTGGCTGCAGGTCTTGTCTAGACTTTTGACCAAGATTTCCTTTTTTTCAAGATATCTATGTGTTTGAGAAATGAGACTTCCTCTTCGATGAGGGGAGGGGTTGGTCTTTCTATGGAGGCGCAATGTTTGTTGCACTGTACTTTTAACGTGAGGATATCCATGCTGTCACAGCAGCCAGTTCTCTGTCGGCACTATGCAACCTATGGCACTGCACTATTCTAAGTCACATTTATACAATACAGAGGATTTCCCTCAGTGCAGACTCATGCACAAGGTTATGCTTTAACTAATTTAATCACTCTGAACCTGGCTAGTGAGCTGAATGATAGTAGGCTTGATTGCCGCCTAGTTTAAGTCTTCTATGCTTCCTATGCATGGCTTCTAGCCCATACCACATACAGTTGGATTTTGATGGTTTAGGATTACTTCTGTGTGTGTCCTGCATAATTTAATTTAATATTGAAACAAGGGGAGGCAGGTCTACAGAATTATGGAGAATGCCTTTTCTAGCTTCAATGGCAGTTTCACCTTTTCTTCTCAGGAAGTGGTCAGTCTGGCCGCGCCATAGCTCAAGCGGTTAGTCGCTGGCGTCCCACTGCGGTGGCCCGGGTTCGATCACATGTCTGATCAAGTGGTATTTGTGGTGGACAAAGTGGCTCTGGGGTAGGTTTTCTCCGAGTTCTTCGGTTTCCCCCACAAATCTTCATTCCACCAAATTCTCCATCATCATAATCACCCAGGGCAGGCTACAATAGGCCAGTCAATGGCCTCTGTGCTGAGTGGACCCAGTTGGACTCCACCCTCCACTAAGCAAAGTGTTCAGTTTGATAAAAGTGATAATTTGGAATATAGAACCTATCAGAAGGTTTGAGATGTGGCAGAGCCACATCTATATGTAAGTCTTGCAGCTGTTTACTGAGCTCTTAGCACTGCCCCCAAATGCCATTTGCATTAAATGCTATGACTTTGGGCAGCCTATGAAATCTAACAGCCATTTTGTTTCTTTAATTACCAGTTTTTCAATGGCCATTATTTTGCCCCTGTCTGACATAGCATCACTGAGCTCTGTGATGATCTGTTGCACTACAGTGGCAACTTTTAACATGTTATTATTAGACGAACTAGGATCCTCTACTGGCAGGCCTTTTATCAGAATTGCCTGTTGTGGCAGATGCTGCTGCACTGGGGGCCATCTGCTGTTCCTGTGATTGCTGAGGTTGCATGGCTTGATGCAGTGCTCTGGCGAGGTGAAGTTAGAGTTTCCCATGTGAACCTCTTGTGTTTTTCTCCTCTGTAGTTCTCCTTCACTTGGCTGCAACCTCAGTATAACACTGGATGAGGTTTCTGCCCTTCTCCTTGGGTGCAATTGCAGCAGTTCGGTGTACATGCTGTATTTGTCTTTTCAGAGCATTCTCTATGCAGGTGACTGCTACTGCATCACAAACATCAAGGGGGTTGCTTGCAGTTGGCCCAAACATGGTCAAAGTTTTGGCAGTTGTAGGAATCTCTAAGGCTGGTCTGAGCTCAGTATAATTCTACCTTGATGATAATATGGTTAAGGGTATCGAGCCTTAATATCTCTTGAGATCTTATGTTTCTTGTTGATCAACAAGGAATATAAGGAGGAGTTCTATGTGTCTTTGTTGGATGCTTTTCAGATATCCATCATTTGCCTCACATTGATGACATTGAAGATTTAAGCCGTCAAGGCTTTTGAAAATATCTTCTTATGGCGTGTCTGGGCGGAAGTTGACGGATTACTGCCCTTATAGGCTTTTGGGAATTTGGGGAGAAGGTAAAACAGCAGAGATTATTTATCTCCAGGTAGGATTTCATGGTTGAATAGTCCGCTGTTTCTTTTGTTATGATTCAGGTTACATTTCAGAACTTATACCCTCTTTTGGTATGGTCTTTTAAGTAACTTTGGAGTCAAATGAGGTTTATGTTATAAGTCATTATTATTGGTGGCAGCCTACCCAATTTTCTGGGAGGCTCCTGCTCCAGTAGTATCCATGCCAATGTCATTAGTTCTGAGAGGTGTGAAGAAGTTGCAAGTTAACACTGCTTTTGGAGGTAGCTTGACAGCTGTGGATGCTGGGACTGATTTAATCGACTTCCTGACTGTCTGTGAGGTATCATTAGAGATATGCCTGTTGCTGCTCTTTACTTCATGGTAATTGCCATCCTGGGTCATTGGTTCTACTGAAGTTTTGTTCATTACACCACTTTGTCCTGCCTTTGCACTCACCCTCAGGAAGGCCTTCAGTTCACTAATCATTACCATATACATGCCGTAAAGAGCTCTAGAAGTGGCTTTCCATCTAGAGCTTTGTAAAGGTTTTCTCTGTTCTCCTCCACACTATTCACAATAGAGGTACACTCAGAATTATCTCCATTTTAGCTGGTATGCATCGAGCAAGGTTGTCAGCGTCGCTGAGTACTCTATGTACTTGTTACACTGCAGAAGCTGGCTCTGGGTATTTATTCATGATGGCATGACATTCAGATTTCTGTGTCCAGTATTTCTGGAATCCCAGTACTGGGACATCTGCCATTTTGGTGTTCACTCAGGTTCACCATTTGTTTTGATGTTCTGCACAGCACCGCGCACACCTGTGGCTGGGCAGCAAACTTCACCGACACCACCTCCACAAAATGGGAGCTAGCCGTGAACACACTATGTAAAGCGAAGTCCATAAAAATCATTCTATCAAACACATTGTTTCAATCAAATCACTAAATCCAATCAAGGTTACCCTACTGGCCCTGTAATAGAGACCGTGACTCAGAGTTACAAGTGGTGATGGCGGTTGTTGTTATAGCATAGTAGTAGTAGTAGTAGGAGTAGCAGTAGCAGTGACAGCAACAGCATTGGTGGTGGTGGCAACAGCGGCAGTGGTATTCATTGTCATAGTTGTAGTACTGTATTGACATTACAAAAGTGCAATAACTTATAATTACTGAAATACTGCAATGTGTTCCAGTGCTGTGTATGTTGCTGAGCATCCTCCTCGCTTGATTCTCGATAAATTGGAAGCCAGAGACTACAAGCTGGTAGGCATGAGTGGAATTGGTCAGACTTGTATATGGACGATGCACAAACCATTGCAAGATCATTGGGGAGTAGAAATTAAATGAAGGACACAAGTTGAGTAGAGTTCAAGAAAATATTGGGTCAAAGTAATGCATTCTGTTGTGTAATATTTTCAATTTACATATCTGCCACATGAATCAAACAGACTNTTTCTTATACTTTTTCTTCTACCCTGAAGATGGGGGCGATACGTTCCTCCGAAACGTCGGTTAACACCACATATACACGGTGCCAAATCCCAGAAGACTGCTTTCTTCATCAGACTGAAAAAATAATTATAAACAAAGAGTAAAATCTTGGATCTCAGTAAATATATGTATTTGTCATTAATTTCTTTAAAGTTCAAACAGAAAATGTATTATCTACATGCATATACAATGAACCTTCATTATAATGGACTATTCGGCGGGACAGAGTGTCTGTTATTGCTGATGGCCACTGTAACTGAGTGAAGGGGTATTTATGGAATTTGCTACAAGATACATCACCAATACATGCAGTGAACATAGAAACACGCAATGTGATTACAGAAAGGTTTTTTATATTGGGGTTCTTTTAATTGTAAATGATTTTCTAACTACAAAACTTCAGTGCCTCAACATCTTTAAAATTCACAGTGGTACATGGCCAGATTTTGGCCACTGTATCCAAAATCTGTTATATCCAGGTCCATTATAATGAGCTTTTGCTGTACATTAGAGGTCACATCTAATCCCAGAAGATATCTGGACATTGATCAGATGACTTCCTTTGCCCGCAAAATGTTAATGTTGCTAGTAACATTCATGGTTGTAGGTTTAGTGGTTTTTCAAGTGGTGAGGTAGAATTATGACATATGACATCAAAAAGGTGAGAACGCATATTTTGTATACAGATGAGAGGATGTGGGGAGTTCGTTCCGTTCAGCATTAACTGAACATACCTGGAGTTTCTTAGTGTCATACAAAATTATTGATTGACTAAGGTGAGAGAGTAGACATTCCTATCAAGTGAAATCCTAGAGACTGGAATTGCTAGAAGGGCCAGCAAACCTACAGCCTAAACATAAATAAAATGGTCTCAGATTACAGTAGATGTTGAAAATGTTTTCTTTTTTTGGTAGGATAATGTTTTAGGCTCTTACCAATTTTTCTTCAGGTTTTATTGAGCATTACTGAACAGGAGTTGTGAAGTGAGATTATGTGCTATGTGTAGGCTGACTCTTGTCCCCATGTCCATGTTGCTTTAACTTCTGATGCTGTGCATGATCTCTGCAATAAGCAGTCATTTTCTGAGTCTTGTAATTTCACATGTGAGATACATATTGGGACAATACTCAGTGCTCTTTTTCCCCCAAAAGCAAGTTTAATGTTAGTGTACAGTTGGCTTCAGCCTCAAGGTTGAAACGTGCAGCTCATGGCAGAAGTGTGACTTCTGACAGGTTTTGCTTAGATGCATATGCCGGTATTTGTACCAGTGCATACCACCTGAAAGAGCCCTGACAATCTGTATTTGAAAAGTGGTTCTGTAAGAAATATAAGGAGAAGATTCCAGTTGAAATTTTAGGATGATACAGTTCCACGTAAAAGTACGTTGTCGAAGGGGTTAGGGGGGAGGGAAAGTGAGTTGAAGTGCTGAGTGTTCTTGAAAATCTCTCATGTGGGTTGCGAGACCAGGGTTTACTCTGTTTGCAGAGTACCTAAGTGTTAGTATGTCACAATTGCATTCCTAATTTGAGAGAGCAATTTCCAGCATCTGACTGACTGGCTGGTTGGCCAACCAATCAGCCGACTGAGCGACTGATTGTCCTTGCCAGCACAATGATTCTTGGTTCTGAGTCCCATGGGACTCATGACCATACTTTACTCTCTAATAGCTCTGAGAGCCTTTAGAACTCTCTGGAAACTCTCAGACCATCTCCTAAATTGCTTCTGGCCCTCACCAGAACAGTCATTCTTGGTTCCAAGTCCTGCAGTGACTTATGGCCTTATTTTACTATGTCATGACTCTGGGAGTTATGCAACTCTCCTATCAGCATCTGTTGTAATCTGGGTTTATTTGTGATGTGTTTAGACTGTAGGTTTGGTGCTTCCATTGGAGGTCTGAATCTCCATGGCTGGTCTTGACAGGAGGAGTATCAGATCTTCTGCCAGAGTGGATGAATGATCTGCAGGATGTTTCATAAAAATCTCCATGTATTTTGGGCATGTTACTTTGTAATCATGTTTTATGTAAAATTTTGCCTGTATTAAGTTTATTTCCATTCATCATTCCTTATATATTAAAATGTTACTTGAATTTTATGCATGAGTAATATATTAACCCATGTCTGAATGGGTCTTTTTTGAAATTATTTTTATTGTAGTATATGGGGTTAGCATGCCTGCTTTGTATTCAGGATGCTTATGGTTTGAATCTTAGTCAGGAGACCAGCTACGTTGACAATGTATATCTTTGGCTTTCCTAATTCTCCCCAAGCAAATGCTGATATGATGACTTAATAGGTCATATTACTTTTCATATGTTCCAAGTCATTGCATTATAATCATCATACTATTTCTTGATACTATTTAAGCTTTGCAGTTCACACAACATTATTGACTAAATCTGCCAGATTACCATGCTGTACTCAGGAGAATGAGTACTCTGTATTGAGGGCAGAGTTAGATGGACAATGCACAATAATACGTTGAAAGCAAAGAGTTTTATTAATTGAATAACAGACTTCCATATACCTCTTGCACTAGCACATCAATTTGTATTGATTCCAAATCTGTCTCATGATTGTGACAACACAAATAAATATAGTTTATTAGCCGTTTGTCATTCTAAGCCACAGTAATTCTCATAGATGTTAACATTCAAACAAAATTTGTTCAGCTATATATAAATTTTCTGTTTAAAATATGTAACTATTATCCCTTGTGGATATTTTGTATCACCATATGATTTGCTTCATGACTTATTGGACAGTGGGTACAGTTATTTATCAGAACCGTAATAGGGAAACTGGCACAGTAACTGATGCGTTTGGGTTTAGAGGAAATACACGTAGGAGGACTAAATAATAATTACAAATCATGTATTAAATAGGTTACTTAATTAATTACCTTGGTTTCAGTGTTTCATGTACACAAGTAATTGATGCAGATAATAACCTCCATAATTTTCAGCATCTTGCAAGCACAAAAAAATAATCCCATTTAAAAGATTAAGGAAAGACGCAGTCCTCAAAACTGGCTGTACCAGTGTTACTGGTACTTTCTGGCTCAGAAATATAGCATCTTTAAGAATGTCACAAACTTTGCCAATTTTTCAGGGGAATGTACTGCCTTTGTTTTTAGAGTCAAAGAGGCAAATGAGCAGAGTAGCTGCTTGCTTGGAGACCCCAAGAAGCAATGGAGTGATTGATTATAAACCAATTTTAAACTGTATCCGTGGTCTAGTGGTCAGAGTTCCTGGCTACAGATGTAGATTCCCAGCGCTGCCACATTTTCTGAGATGTGGTGGGTCTGGAACAAGGTCCACTCAGCCTTGTGAAGATAATTGAGAAACTATTTCAAGGAAATAGCGGCTCTGGTCTAGAAAACTGAGATTAACGGCCATGGGGAACCATTGCGCTGACCACGTGACACCCTCTATCCGCTGAAATTGGCACTAACTTCTCTGACAAGTGGCGGTTGCTTGGTCAGTATAGTTCACTTATGGACTACAGGCCATGAAGTTTGTTTTGTTTGTTAATGGAATGGGAATAGATCTTATGGCCTAAGAGATGGTATTAATGATGATGGTGATGAAACCCCATATTCCTTAGTTGAGACTGTTCAGAGCAGCCTCAGATTGAATGTGTGGTGCAGTTAAAGGCCATTACATTATTGGACTGTTCTTCATTGATGATACAGTTACTTCTGGATTTTGTATAGATATGTTTTCACAGGCCGCAGAAATCTGTGGACTCATTCTGCAGTTGGATGGTATGTCGACACGTTTTGATAACGGTGTATGCCAAACTCTCAACATCCAGTTTCCTGATCATTGGATCAGAAGGGGAGGGCCAGTGCATTGGCTACGAAGAAGTCCCCATTTATTTCCAGCGGACGTCTTCTGCTGGGGTTCTGTTGATTACAGCTGACACATACTGCCTTTGTTCCATTCAGATGCAAAATTCTGCATGAAATAGAAGAACCAGATCAGTCTGTTAGAGCACTCAAATATGGGATAAAGAGTTTTGTCAGCAAGAGAGCTACAGGATATTTATGTTCCTGTACCATGCTTAGTAATTATGGAACATGGAATAGAAAGTAACAATTTTTTGTTTTAGAGCATTTGTGGAATATCTTCAAAATTAATAATAGTAAGGACACCTGAAGTTAACAACATTCCCAGTGTTTGGTCATGCTAGTAGAATGTAAAATTTAAGATAGGCATTTTTGTATATACTTTGATAGTAAAATTAATGTAATTTTGTGAACTAAAGAAATAACAGCCAGTCACAGTAACCGAGTGGTCTAAGTCATGTATTGTCTTCGCTTGCTTGTGAAACCGGGATCGTGGGTTCGAATCCCACTCAGGGCATGGATGTTTAGTTTGTGTGTGTGCGTTTTTCTGTGTTTGCGTACAGGTAGAGGCCTTGCGACGAGCTGATCACCCGCCCAAGGAGTCCTACTGAATGTGTAAGATCGAGAAAAACCGAAGTGAACAGAGAAGTTCATGGAGGTAGGCCTAGGCCCACTGGGGCTGTAGTGCCAAGGAAAAAAAAAAAAAGAAATAACAAGCAAGTTGGCACCACTGTTGTAATTGGTAGTTGGCTTCTCACTGATCACTCTTTCCTTTCCCTGACTATTGTGAACAGCCACAAACTCCTGCTGTGCAGAGTATTCTTCATTTACATAACATTTTCATCTGTCACTTTTTTATAAATGTAACATGGCTTCATTACAGTTATTCTTGTTTTTGTCAATGCAGCTGTTAATCATTAGCTGTCAAGCTAAACGAGATGACATATGGAACTTTTCATTTTACTTTTCCAGACTTTAAGTACTGGGTTGCTGCCACTGACCTATGCAGTCACTCATACCAGCTATTATATTTAGCTGTTGTGTTATATAGTGAAACACAAATTTCATTGAGTAAACACACTAATGGAAATGTTTCTGTTATTTCAGTCCAGTTGAATTCAATGGCTAAGGTGCAAGTAATGAATGTGGTTGTGCTGGACAACCCATCAGCATTTCTAAATCCATTCCAATTTGAAATAACATTTGAGTGTTTGGAGGATCTGCAGGAAGATCTGGAATGGCGTATCATTTATGTAGGCTCAGCAGAAAGTGAAGCATTTGATCAGGTGTTGGACACTGTTTATGTTGGACCAGTTCCACAAGGACGGCACATGTTTGTATTCCAAGCTGATGCACCTGATCCTGCTAAGATTCCAGTTGCTGATGTTGTGGGAGTTACTGTTGTTCTGCTGACTTGTTCTTATAGGTATATAATATTGTGTAAGATTTATTATTCCCGTGAAGTGTTGTTACAGCAATTGAAAGCATTTATTAGTGTAGATGTTTCTGAAAAGGATAAAACTGAATAGCCTGGTAATTTCAATTTTGGTAACTTTATTCGTCTAATTAAGCTGATGTTAAACCAATTTTGTGCCGGTCACAGTAGTCGAGCGGTCTAAGGCATGCGCTGTCTTCGCTCACTCGGAAGCCAAGATCGTGGGTTCGAATCCCACTCAAGGCATGGATGTTTGTGTGCGTTTTTCTGTGTTTGTCTACAGGTAGAGGCCTTGCGATGAGCTGATCACTCGCCCAAGGAGTCCTACCGTATGTGTAAGATCTAGAAAAACCGAAGTGAACGGAGAAGTTCACGGAGGTAGGCCTAGGCCCATTGGGGCTGTAGTGCCAAGGAAAAAAAAACAGTTTTATAGATGAATTTATTGGTGAGGTTTCTGCATAATAGGTCAACTGTTGGTCATATTTCCACCATTCGGCAAACAGAAAAAAAAATAGGAATTCATTAGCATGAGACATCTGCGTAGAATTAGGACATTTATAGTTCAGTTAGTAAAGGAGTACTGCACAATATTTTCATTGTATTTTGAATATCTAAAAGAAAAGTTAATGTTTGCAGGATGTTTATGTAATGCATTTCCAGTTCACAGTTAAGTGTGAACAGTTTGTTAGATGGTCGTCGTCGTTACTGTCATATTGAATATGTACAACTACTTGTACATTTGATCATTAGATGTGTTGATCGCAATGCTGTTGTGTTACTCCAGGTACCTTATTTGGAACATCATCCAGTGAAAGAATGGGAAATTAAGGTGTTTATCAAATAGTGTCATTTGCCATGAAAGCTGGGCTGAGTAAATCTATTAGTACAGATCTTAAGGGAGTTGAGCAAAGCTTTAAGATATTTATTCCACTGCATTTGGGCTAAAAGAGTAAAAAAGACAAAGCTATCCTCATAATAGGCCGTGAAGGCCCATAAGATTGTGAGATGTCAAAGCTGCCACATTTTCTAGACATTCGGCTCGCAGATGGTGGTAAGGTTCTCAGCTTTACATGCCAGCTGACCCTAACCCCCAGGAAAATTCCTGGTACTCATTTCTGTTGGAGGCTGAGACAACTTCAGGGCCATATTGCAGCTGGAAGGATTAGGTTAATGGATAAATCCAAATGATCTCGTCAGGAATTGAACCTTCGACCTTCTGGCTCGTAGCGTAGTGCCTCAACCGACTATGCTACTGTGGTCCCCCTCTAAATGAGTACCCATACATTAATATTGTGTTTCTGAAAAAATAGCGTTGCTGTTGTCTCAGTAACCTTTGTGTTGTGTGTGTCACAAAAGTTACTTTTCATCACAGGGCCCAGGAGTTCATTCGTGTAGGTTACTATGTGAATAATGACTATGGTGACCCAGAATTACGAGAGACCCAACCTCCGTCTGCTCCACAGTTTGACAAACTGCAGCGAAATATTTTGGCTACCAATCCGAGAGTGACACGATTCAAGGTATGGTTCATATGATTGGTTCTGCCATGAAAGAACTGTTTTGTTTTATTTATTTCTGTGTATGGAGAGCAGTACTTGGTACAACCCATCTGAAGTGGAAAGTGGAATGTTTTAAGTGTAATAATTGTTCTCTTTGTTATATTCTCATTAGATCAAAAGATATTTTAGTTTTATTGGAAATAAGTTGTAGTTTTTCCAATTCATGAATTCCCATAAAGAAAAAATTTACATGTAATTTCAGCATCATCAAAGGATAAGCTATAATGATAGTATTTATGGAACAGTAAGGCCACATACATGGGGATGAAAGAGAACAAATTTCATGAAGTTTCTTTGCTAATTTGATTACTTCCATATATATATATATAGAAAGAGAGAGAGACAAACACAGGCACTGAGTATTGTAAAATAAGGGCTATCCAAAAAGCAGTACATCCATTTTGCCTTTTATATACATATCTTATGGAAGAACGTTACACGTGTTATATAAATATATGTACATACCGTGGGAAGCAGGTCCAGTATTTTCAGCTGTTCTTTTGCAACAGAAAGAGAAAGTCATGGTTGAATGGACATCTATCCTGTTTTATATCAAAAAGGTCTCAGGTTCAGATCTCGGCTCAGAGAGCAGTTATCCTAAATGAAGATATCTGTGGTTTCCCTCAGTCAGATGCCAAAACAGTACCTTAGATTAGGTCACAACCATTTCCTTCCACATTCTTTCAAATTCATTATTTACTAGTCTTCCTGTCATTTAGTCATGTATAGTCTGATATATTGAAAATGTTGTTAAATAAATAATAAAAAGCAGTGAGAGCCATAAGCTGCGTGCAGGCATTATTTCTGTGACCTTCATGTCAAGCGTTAAACTGTGTCATTGTCTTTTTGTTGTTTCACCATGTGAATGTTTTGCAGGTGGATTGGGATGACAGTCCAAACAAACAAAACAAGATCTCTTCATCAGCCAGCCAACTGGATGCCAGCATGGCAAGCATGGATGAGCCAATCAAAGCCAACCTTCTGAACTCTTCAACCAGTGACAATATTGTCAGTGTGGAGTTGTAAATTTGCCAGTCTTTTAATAATGATCACTTAAAATTAAATCGAAATCAGACTGATATGATGAGACTGAACACAATATTTTCATATGTAGATGTGTTATTTCAGGATGAATTTTGTTAACAGAAAAATTGTTACTGGAGAATCAAGACTAGACAAGATGACTGTGTAAGACACAGGTACAGTGACCACTGAAATATAAATGTGCAGTGGAACAATTTTCATTTATATTTTTCTATACTGAGTTTGGTTAGCATTAATGTAGCATAATGAACAGAGAAAACCAACAGGACATTGAGGCACTGTTTCCACCACACCCAGAGGAACCCCAAGAGTCTGATTGCTGTGGAAGTGGTTGCAGCCCATGCGTGTTCGACATTTACCATTTGCAGCTGGTAGAGTGGGAGAAACAGTGCAGTGAGATTCTCTATAGTGAAAGATGTTACTCAGAGACCAGTGACAGAAGGTCATATAAACCATTAATATCACCAGTCAAGTTCAGTCAATTCCAGCTACTTTCAGTGCAGCAACACACACATGATACATTTGTGTACTTGTTCCAAGCTATTACAGCCAGCCCAAAGAAAGACCCAGAACATCATGGTACAGAGTATATACATGTCAGAAGACCTCTTGACATAAAAGTGGGCCAACATCTCATCATGAAGTGTAGTACAAATGAAAATCAAAACAGTGCCCTAACTAGGGCATACACTCCTATATCAGACCTGAAATACAGCAATGTGGGACAGTTTGAAGTGTTGATAAAGCTGTATGAAAGTGGTAAAATGTCTAAATATATTCAGAACCTGAAGAAGAATGATGTTGTTGAATGGCGAGGCCCATGCGGAAACTTCAGTTATGTGCCAAACAGCTATAGACATCTGCTGATGCTTTGTGCTGGTACGGGAATAGCTCCAATGTATCCCATTGCCAAGTCCATAGTAGAAAATGATTTAGATGAAACTTTTCTTCATCTGTTATTTGCATGCAAAGGTTTTGAAGATATCCTCCTTCGAGATGAAATGCAGCAGTTATCTCTATATTGGAATTTCCATGCAGAAATCTTTCTCTCACAGGTTGAGTCAACAATAGAGAGCCAAACTCGTTATGGTGAATGTGTCAGGAAAGGAAGGATAGATAAAGCTGTTGTAAATGAATATCTTGTAGGAAAGGTGTTACAGCAGGTTTTTGTTCTGGTTTGTGGGACAAAGTCATTTAATAAAGATATGATAAATTATGTGAAACAAGTTGGTGTACCAGATGATAATATTCATTTATTTTGAAATATTATGTTTTTACCATATTTACATGGCAATTTTTGCATCTTTTTTTACCTCAGAACTGCTTCATAAAATTGGTTTGCCTACCTTAAAAATAGTTTAACTTTTTAATATAACATTCTTAATTATAGTTTTGTGTATATTAATGTTGTGGTAATGAATTTTGGTCTCTGCTGCATATTTGTTTTGACCAGATGTCTCACAAAACTACATCAGATGTAAGTTTTGAGTACAAGTTAAACTATCTTTCCACATGAAAAAGTAGTTCAGAACAGCTGCGTGAAAATATTATTCCAAGATTTGATTCTTTAAGCTAGTTGTAACAGGTGCAGGAACATTAAGGAAATTCTGGAAAAACATAGTGCATATGATTTTGAAGGATTCTGTGTAAGTAACAAAGCTCTTACATGTGGGAACAATATGAGTTTGTTACAGTTAGCTTGTGAATGGAGGACTATAGAGTATATGTGTAAAGGCTTAGTCATTGTCTTCAGTGGCTTCAGTAATTAGGGAATGTTTCTGCTAGCATTTGGAGTTATTATAGAACATTTAACATTTACAATGAAGACTGGGTAATAACTTTCCCACTCTCCCTTTATAATAAAACCACATTCATATAGAACAGTGTTCAATCAAATTTCAGATAGCAATAATTCCCTATAGTGAGAATGCACAAAAGCATATAAACAAGAGATGCCAGGAACATGCGCATATGTTATACATTATGTGAACAGCAAAATTGTGTTCAGCTGGTACAATTGGAACATTAGCATACCTACTGATATGATTTTAATCGAGTTTGACATTTCATGCACATATCAAAGGCTTCTGATGATGTAAATGAGACATGTCATGTGTAACTGCACATGAATGGCAAGAGCCAGCTTGGAAGATTTTGAGAAAACTAAACATGACATCTATATGATGCTATTAACTTCTTATCTTCAGCACGCTTTACCATTTCCAAAGAGTAACAGTTTCAGTAAATTTGATTTGTTTCATTCTGGTCCGTCACACTGTTAAGTTTACCATTAAGTTTATTTCAGTCTAGTGTGACATATAATGCCTTCACCCCTTCAGCACTTAGTTACCTAACATGTTTCGATTCTTAATGAATCATCATCGGAGGTATACCACTACGATCAGGAACCCACCAATACGTAAATGTTTTTATAAGACTGTATACACTTAAAACATTTATGATGCTAACTATATGTACTCGTTAATTTTCCATTGTTGAAATAGATGTTTGATGTAAGCTTTTATAATAAGAACATTCTTGAAGTATATTACTTAGAAGTGACGTAGTTGCAATCACTTCCATAAAGGATGGTTTAAAAAATGTAATTTTCCACAGCACTGTATATAAAATTCGATTTGTTTCATCACAGCAGCCTTCCTTTACGTTAAAATTATGTTATGAATGTGCGTAAAAACTTATTTTTAAGTTAAGAAATTTGTTCGTGAACCAATATGGATCGTGTTTTATCTTCCTTGGTAGTGGATATTGTCGTCTATCCCTTTTGGTGATGTGTTCTTATTACTGGTGTAGTTTATATGCATGCTGTGTTGCTTGTACAAGTTTTTATGCACATTCATAACATAATTTTAATGTAAAGGAAGGCTGCTGTGGTGAAACAAATCAAATTTTATATACAGTGCAGTGGAAAATTACATTTTTTAAATCATCCTTTATGGAAGTGATTGCAACTACGTCACTTCTAAGTAACATACTTCAAGAATGTTCTTATTATAAAAGCTTACATCAAACATCTATTTCAACAATGGAAAATTAACAATTACATATAGTGAGCATCATAAATGTTTTAAGTGTAAACATTTACGTATTGGTGGGTTCCTGATCGTAGTGGTATACCTCTGATGATGATTCATTAAGAATCGAAACATGTTAGGTAACTAAGTGCTGAAGTGGTGAAGGCATCATATGTCACATTGGACTGAAATAAACTTAATTGTAAAGTTTCAGTAACTTAGGCATACTATAAGCAGAATATGTACCTCAACAATTTGACTACCATAGGGTGAATGGTGATGAAATCCACACATGCGCTGAGGATTCACGAGGTTCACAAAAGATAACTACCTATTTGCACACACGTGTTGGCATGATCTCAGTGTCAGTTATGCAACTGCAAATAGTTATATCTGCAGTGAATGAAGTAACACAGATGCTTTAACCTGGATGCAGATCATTCAAAATGCAAAATCATATCAGCATATCAATCTCAAGTTCATAGTGTTCAGATATTTCTACTTGCTGAATGATAGTGATTTTGGTACTGTTGAGTGTACTGCTAAAAACTGACATGTTTTTCCGAGCAAAAGGTATAAAATTATAAGGGCATCTTGGAAAAAGAAGTCTGTCATGTTCCATGTAATGGAGTGGCTTGACTTCCTTTCAATTGAGTTATTAGGAATATGTGATGAAATGAAAGCCAACCAGCCAGCCAAAGATAAGAGTAAAGGAATTTCATTGAAGATTAATTGGAGTCAGGTGAGAAGGAAGTGTTCATTACATTTTTTACAAGGAATCTTAATGGCATTCTGGATATGAAGCCCACCTGCAATCAGTCTGCCTTGTTTTTGCATGATAGAACAACCACAGTGCCATCATGTTTCAGAACTAAAGAAAATCTGTTAGCTGTCATCATTCATTAAGCATATGATTCCTTCATATCAGTGGGAGAGACACATGAACCTAACCTGGTACCTCTTTAAAGAGGAAGCATCATGTGTGTTATTTTTATTACTGTTATTTTGTGATGATATGGATGTTTTGCACACTTGTTTTATAAGAATTGCACTCCTTTTGTTAAAATTCCAGTTAGTTCAGTAGTTAAAGTATTGTACATGATTGATATTGTTTAGAAGTAAAGTGGCATAAGTCAATGTAAATATGATAAAGAGAGAATTGAATGAAAATGTGGTTATTTTTGTGATATTTAATTATGCTCCATAATTTAGTATTAGTTCCGATTTTATTACATGCTTACACTCAAAATATTTTATTACTCAAAACAAAGACGGTCTGACTTAAGACACTTTTCTTCTGAGGAGTTTATGTACTAGGGTAAGTCAAGTAAGTTACAAATGGATATAGAACTTAAACAAATAAGAGTACTGATCTGTTTAAGTTCTATGTCCATTTGTAACTTCCTTATTGACTTACCTACATAATTGAGAATGCTGGAATTTTCTCTGTGGTCTCATTGCTACAAAATTCCAGCTCTTGCTTGTTATCATTTTGTAGATGTGAAAACATGCAAGTGAATATGGTATTTATCACAAAAGAAAGGCCGTTGACTAAGGTTGTGAAACAAACCAATGGAAAAGATGACTATGTAGGAGGGCTGTAGTATGTTATGTACATTGACTTTAACTTGTTTTACACATTGTTTCTTGTCTAAAGCATGATATTACAACTGCATATTTATTGTGGTGTACTTTGTTAGTGTTGAAGTTGTGATGATTCTGTAATTAAATAAATCACATTTTGTAGCTTCACATGTTTTAAGTTCAAGGGGGTTGGATTGGAAGACCATACTTGCTGCAACAAATTATACTTTCTTCACTAATGCCAATCAAGACAACGGAGAAACAGAACCATTCATTCACTAGCATGTCAAGCTGTGTGACCTCATCGTGTTTATTAGCCAGGCTTCAGCACTCTGAGAGATTAGATAACCACTGGTCTTTGTTGGAATATGTTAGTTTTCATTTTTGGCTTATTTAGCAACAGTATCAGCATCTCAAATATTTGTATGCTTAACAATATGTATAAATACTTTTAGTTGGGTCTAAAATTAATTTAGTATGCCTTTTAAGCCTTTCTGAATTGCTTTGTCCCCTGTAAAACTTCACAAGAGGGTTCAACTGTACATCAAATAAGATGTGCAGATCATTATCAGTGGTGTGCTGAAAATGGTTTCAAAAACAAATATGGCCTGAAAGGATGAAGATAACTATGAAAAACTTAAGATTGGACAACAGATTTCCCAGCTGAAATTTGGCATCCTGGCTTGATCTATTCCTAGTTTTATAAAATGCTCTTTTAGAGTTAGTGGCAACCAAAACCACAGAATATGTCTAAACTGCAACCTGTTTCAATGATTCAGCCAATTAACATACCCACAGCATTGTAATTTGAAATGAAATTTTATTACCTACAATGAGAATCAGATCCATAAGAAATACTTGACAGCAGTAGAACCAGGTCTCTGATTCAACACTTATTAAAATGTTGCTCTTGCTAGAGATAAGGGCTAACATCATTGGCCAAAATGCAAGAGCCATTCATTCATTTATCTGCTTGGTAAAAGAACTTACTGCGACTAAATAGTATACAAAACCGGTTCACATATCACAACCCAACAAGTTAACTTCCTCACTGTAACCTGCCAACTGCCAAGTCAGAGCTAACACCACGAACTTAAAAGATAGAGGATGTGGTAATTTGCTGAATGGTCACGGCTATCTCAAACCTCAGGGGGAAGGGACAGATGATAGATGAGTATGGAACAATGGGAGAATGATCAGCAGGAGAAACAAGAAATCCTGAAGAAAAATTTGCTCCAGTCCCACTTCATCTACCATGCATCTCACCTGAACTCACCCAGGATTGAGTCTGCAGTGAGAAGCCGGAAATCAGTGCCTAACTGTCTGAGCTATGGCATACCACATATGACACCATATTGCCTAAAACTTTTTTCAATTTAAATAAATAAAATGTTAAAATATATATAGTGGAATCTCTGTTTAATGTTCATCAGTTTAAGGTTTTTCCTTATGTAATGTTCAATTTTGCCAATCACAGTGGCCGAATGCCTAAGGCATGAACTGTCTTTCCCCTCTGAAATGCTGAGGTCATGGGTTTGAATACCACTCAAGGCATGAATGTCTGTGTGCGTTTATTCTGTTTATGCTGTCCTGTGTGTATGTAGAGGCCTTGTGATGGGCTGATCCCTGTCCAAGGAGTCCTCCTGGCTGTATATAGGATTACAAAACCTAAAAAGCAGTCCAACAAAGGGCTGTAGAGACACTGATGAAAGAATGAGTGTTCAGTTTCAGTGATCTTAAGCCAATTATCTCAGTGTTACATTACCGCCATTTAAGATTTTACTTACTTTATTATTTAAACCAAATTAGAAAATTACTTAAAAGTCAGTGATGTAAATAAACATTATAGCTGAGTCATTCCATGAAAGTCTGTGTATGACAGATTTTTGTTTATTGATGCTAATTACTAAAAGCAGGTTAACAAGAAACAACTATCTTTATAAAACAACAATATATTTTGCAAATAGAAAAAATAGTACACAATTCACAACATCATGAGAAACAAAACAGAGGTATATAAGATGCATGGCTCTGTCTCTCCCTCCTCTTAATGAGGTGTGTAAGCCTTCCAGGATGCATAGAATAAGTTACATGTCCTTGCTGTGACATCAGCAGTAGTTCTTCCACCTTGTGCAAAACATCTGTGTCCTTTTCCTGTTACAGTCTCTATCCCTCTTGGCCCCTGCTCATGAGACACACTCAAGAAAAGATATTTCAAAGGTGTGGGTGCCCACAGGGCAGAATTCCAGTCATCAATTTGATCTTGGACATGAAATTGCCTGTAAGATACAAAACAGAAGATATGCACAAAAATACACAAGTTAAAAATATTTAACTTAATATGTGTATGTAGTAAAAAGATTTGATACTGGGTATGACACAATTTTGTATGGTCAGAAAACCAAAAAAAGCTATCCCACTCAGCCACAAAAAACCTCAAGCAGGATAGCCAACGTCTTGGCTGAGATTGAAATTGACCACCTTCCAAGTACAAGTCTAAAGGTTATTGTTAAATCAATCGGATTGGTCAATAGTTTGCATGCTTGCTATTGTCTCTATTGTAAGGTTAAGAAATGGATGTTTTGAAAATCACCATGCTCTTCCCACTACCTCAGACAGCTTCCTCTTCTACATCATTTCCATTTTATATAGATCAACAGACAAAAATTCTCTGATCTCTTCTGACAGTTTTATACCTTAATTTCAATTTTCAGGTAGCTTTAAAAAATAAAACTTGATATAATTTCTTGAAGTCTGACAAGTGCAAGCCTCTAAAACAAGTAATTAGTTAATCATACATGCAAAATATCTATATTCTGTATAAAAATTAACATCTTTGGTCAACATACAGTATACAGCAAAACGTGCAGTACTGAAACTTGGGCATCTCGAATGTGCATGTGCGTTTGTCGATGGGGCATAGCTCCAGCCGCATGTGTTCCCAGTAGTGAAAATGAAGTTGTGTTGAGCAGATGTTGTTGGAAATGGGTCTCTCGACAGAGGAAAAAGTATTCACAGTCGAGTATTATTTCCACTCATATGGAAGTGGTTGTGAAGGGGGACCGAGTTTGAAAAAGGTGACAGAACAATTCCAAGAGAGATTTAATAAGACAGCACCAAGTAACACAGTTATGCTGTCTGTTATTATGAAATTTCGTTGTTCTGGTAGTGTACTGTGTCAACAGAAGGGGAAGTCTGGTCAACCAGTAACTCTTTCTACAAAAAAAAAATCATGCATGTGTTCTTTAGCAGGTGCTGCACTTGCCCTGACAAAGTCTACGATGAATGGCCTTGAAAATGAACGTCAGCAATACATCCGTTCACAGATTGTTTAAGGACATAGGTGGATTTCCGTACCAGAAACAGGTTGGACAATGCTTGACAGAGTCAGATATGCAAGCCAGGATGGTGTATTGTGGGACATTTGTGGTCATAGTGTATGAGGATCCAGATTTTTTGAAGAATGTGTGGTTCTCCAACGAAAGTCACGTTCACTTGGATGGCTACATCAATCGCCAGACAACTCACTTCCTTGGTTTTGAGCAGCCAGATGTTGTCATCCATAAACCGCTACATAGTACACATGTGACGATATGGTGTGCCGTCTCAGCACATGGTATATTAGGCCCTTATTTCATTGAGGATGAGGAAGGCAATGCTCTTACCATCACCCAAGAACGCTACTGGGACATGGTGATCGAACCATTTCTTCAGGATTTGAGAAGGTTCTGTCATGTAAGGGCCTTCACATGAATGACAGTGGTATCAACAGGATGGGGTGACCAGTCATACTGCTCGAGCATCTCTAGCCATGCTGCATGAAAACTTCCCAGGACGAATCATTTCAGGTGGAATGTTAAAGGAGAGTGTGTTCAACTGTGAAGATCCGCCAAGAACTGTGCTTGCATTACATGAGCAAATTGTCTCCTTTTGCAGGAGTCTGCAACCTCTGTTCTGGGATATGACTGAGAATCTGCGTGAATCATATGAACACTGTCTACAGCAAGGTGGTGCACATTTCAAAAACTTACATTACGCATACCGTGGTAAATCAACACGCTAATAGTGTGTATGTCAGGTTCTTTCAGGAGAAATAAACTCTCAGATGACAACAAGGTAATATTGTTCGTCTTTTCATTTCAGTACTGTATATTTTGGCGCATACTGTATTACAGTTTTATCTTTATTTTTCCTTAATGAATGAGAAATAAAATTCTGATAATCTTTTTATGGAACATCAATAAGAAGATTTGTAGATGAACTATTTTATACTCAGTGACAATCTGATTACATTCCAGTTATGTAGGTAAGTCAATAAGTAAGTTACAAATGGATATAGAACTTAAATAAGAGTACTGGTTTGAAAAATGCTTTTATTTCTCAACATAATCGCCCTGTACATTGAGGCACTTGTCTCACTGCCCATTGTTTCACAAGCCCCTGAAAACCAGCAGCATAAAATTCTTTGGGCTGGTGCTGGAACCAGGTGGTGACTTCCCTTTCAACAGCTTCATCGTTGGGAAAATGTTCAGCTGAAAGATGATGTTTAAGAGGGCTGAACAAATGGAAATCGCATGACAGGTCAGGTTTTCACAAAGTCTGTGCACAATGGGTGCCGCGCATGCTGACCCCACAACACAAAATGCAAAGAATGGGTCTGGCATTACAGCATCTCAATTGCTACCATGATGAAGGACACGATATGCTAGCCCGAATTGTCACAGGTGACGAGTCTTGGGTTCATCACTACCAGCCATTCAACGGAAGCGACCAGGACTCCTCACCAAAAGCGTGTTGCTCTTGCATGACAATGTGCATCCCCATACTGCCAACAAGACAAATGAGATGCTGCGAAATTTCAAGTTGGATGTCCTTGAGCGTCTTCCGTATAGCCCTTACCTTGCTTCAAGTGACTCCCATTTGTTGGGCCCTCTTAAAGATCATTTTTTGGCTGTATATTTTCCCGATGATGAAGCTGTAGAAAGGGAAGTCACTGGCTGGTTCCAACAGCAGCCCAAAGAATTTTATGCTGCTGGTTTTCAGGGGCTTGTGAAATGATGGGACAAGTGCCTCAATGTACAGAGAGATTCTGTTGTGAAATAAAAGCATTTTTGAAATCAGTACTCTTATTTGTTTAAGTTCTGTATCCATTTGTAACTTTCTTATTGACTTACCCTCATATAAAAAAAATCTGACAATAATTTTAAATGAGTAACTGTAAATGAACATCAGCAACATGGTAACTGATGAAACTAAGCATGTTGGGCAGCATGACTGACAATTCATGGGTCACACAAATCAGCCTCCAACTGGATAATCTTGTTTCAAACTTTTGTACAGCAAAAGCACCAACTTATGATATTACAATTTTCTAATAACTTACTGTGCTACAGTTAGGACACTCCCCATGAATATAACTGAAACTCTTACTACTAGTTGGGAGGGTCTGGAGCCACTGGAACATAAATAGTTGTAAATAAGCGTCAATACATTCTACGTGTGTCCACAATGCTAGAATTATTTTAACACTGCACAATCTCCAAAAGTGACATAGCAACATTAAGTAACCTCAGAAGCTATTTGATGGCAATGTCCCAAGTATTAAGAAATCTGATTATGAACAGCGAAAGATACAATATACATTGCAAGTATCTGAAAACAAACTGATAGGAAAATGAAGCATAAGAGAGTTAGACGGGGATGAGAATTAAATTACATATAGTGAAACTTTACATCTCCTGATATTGTTTGAGTACTTAAATAAGGTGACTAGTGCTACAAATGGACTCATGTAATGTCACTTTATCATATGACACAACAGGAAGAATATACATCTTGAAAATGTAGCTTGAAAGAAACGTGAAAACTTAAAAACTTCTCAGAAAGTCATACTTGGAAGCCAAAATGGAGATGGAAGCTGATATTAAACAATATCTTAATAAAATCAGTTCTGGTAATGTAGAATAATAGCCTTGCAATAGACCAGTGATGATGTTCAGTGTTCAACTCTCTTAACCCCTTCTTCATATGTACTGGCAATCAAGCCTACTGCACTTCACATGCTCTTTCCATTCTTTCCAAGGTCTTCCTTGGTCATGAGATCCTTGTGGTTTATGCTGTAGAATCTGTTCCACATCTTGTCCACCTGCATTCTCTCCAAATTGAACTCTGGGCTCTCACACCAGAGGATTAATTAAGCAAGTAGGAATAGTGGACTAGCCTGTTCAATAACAAAAGAAATCTAAGACAACCTGTCTCAGTACAGACTTGCTACCACAAGATCATTTCTGCACATATCAGACACATAACTCAGGCTGTTACACAAAATGCTTATGATCCAACAAAAATGCATTCATATATTTCTGTAAATGTTACATTGCATTAATAACAAAACCATGTATGTGAAATTTGTTCAGTGATATGGAGAGTAGGTCATAGTACTTTTGGCCAGAAAAGAAATTGGTAAGAATAAGTTAAGAGATAGATTCCTTCAATATAAAGTATCAGTCCAAAAGATGGATGTGCTTATAGATACCTCTAGAATAGGCATCCCAACTTCAAACAGGTTGTGATCGACTTTTTAGTGTCAAAACTGCCAGTGATCTACCACCCCCTCCTATCATCGTACCTTGCTTTAAGCAAAAATATTGGTAAAAATAACACGACGCATGACGTTTGTTGTAAAAGCAACATATATTGAAAGTACAGACTACTTTAATACATATTTTCCCTTAAAAATCTGAATATAATCATATTATATTACAAATGAATTTACATGCTCTTCACGTATAATTTCCTTATAGGCCTATGAGATCGGCCAAAAATCATCCCGCGATTGACGCGTTGGACATGCCTGCTCTAGAACATGGAACAGTTCTATTCTGTGAAACCAATAACACATTACCTAGGACAAATACTTTGAATAAGGATAAAACTGTACCTCACATAAACAGGCCGTATGATATTCTAAGCCACACTTCTCATTATCACACGCCCGTGATGGCAGTTCTCCATCCAGTCGAGCCATGAAGCAGATGGCACATTCCCCTTGGTGTATAAGCTCTTGTGAGTATTCTGTATGAATCTGTGGTGCTGGAAAATCTGACAATCCCAGTAACAACTTCAGGTTTTCTATGAATCCATCAGCACTGGACCACAACTGAAATGAGAACTGGCAGGTGATATAAACTTCCTTCCCTAGATGGATGTTAAGATTCATACTATATATTATCAAAGCTTTAATAACATTAAATGATATAAACATATAAACAGATTCACCTATATACAGTAATGACTAGGCAGATGTCTCATATTTTCAAGATCAAATCAGAAATATATCTTCACCTTGATTCAAACACTGATTTTCAGCCTTGTACTTTGATAATTTTGTGTTATCTGCTTTTTCCATGCAAACAACCTGATTCATCAGATTCATACCAGTGGGCAACCCTGTCATGAATGAGCCTGTCAATAATCTGTCTCTCTCTCTCTCTCTCTGCCCATGGTGAAAAAGAACATGGCCTGAAAATTCAATTTCTTTTAGTGAACTGTGAAAAAATGGCTACAGTTATAAATTATAATTACAATGAAAGAAGCTGGTGTAGTAGAGCAAATTGTTGTCATCTCAATTCTCAACATTTTTCCAAATTCTTATCTCCATCATGTGTTGAACAGAGGAAGTCATTCTCATATGTGCCTAGTAATGTCATTTTTCCCATATTAAATGTAATCATTATACCACCATGACTTCGTCCTTTGGAATTCAGTAGTGACAGTTCTCTCCCATGTGAGCTTTGTTTGTGAATATGCGAGGCAGCATGTGAGGTGAAGCGTTATCAGCATTTTGTATACTGTGTTGCACACCCTATTATTTACACCCCTTTCAGAAGTGTAGAACTATTCAGTTGTACAAAATGTTACTTCTGAGGGGTTATTTAGCAGAAAATGTGAACCAAATGATTATTAAATAACATGCGCTAGATAACAGAACCAAAAACAGCAAAAGCCCAAATTTTCAAAGCCAAATTTTGAGTGAAAAGTTTCAAGTTTGGAACTTTTCACTTGATTTTATCCAGAATGTCTAAGGAACTGTATTTTCCACTTAGCAGAATCAGCCGGCACAACACAATGGAGCACAGCCAGCCTTGGGAAGCTGATCATTCCTCAGCTTCTCAAGAAATTCCCCACCTATTGCAGAATCTCCAGTCCATATGATATTTCTTTAAAATCGATTTTAATAGTATTCTTCCATCTAAGCCTAGGTTTCTCTGCCAGTTTGTTCTCTCTGACTACAGTGACAAGTGAATTTTTATCTCTCCCATGTGCTACAAGGCTCACTTCTCTCAGTTCATATTGTCATGTGTTGGGTATGTCATGCGACAAATAACTTCACGCCATTCTGGATCTAGTGAATTTATTGCACATTTGCTCTTACATTTACACAATTCACAGTTTCACAATTACTTCTCCTGCTTCCATTCACTCCAGCGGATGCTAGACTGCAACTGACTGGTTATTCCATACTCACTACTCAAGTGACTGTGGTTACACTGACGAATACTCCTCGTTATGTAGCTTCTGCACTGACCACACAGAAAATAGTTACATGATAGCTACCACTGTTGCATAACGTCGTTTACAGGCATTGCTGGGGAACATTGCCGAGAGTTCTTTATTGCTGTGTAGTAACCATGGTGTCCTGTTACGTCACTGTGGGAAGTGCTGTTACATCACCGTGGGGGAGGGGGATGCAGTGTTGACTGGTCTGTTACTGTAGCAGCGGCAGTTGCTCCGATGCTGTTACGTCACCACTGGAGGGGGGAGGGTGTTTACTGAGCTGTCCACGTCACAATATTATTGAGAAAATAGAGGAGAATAAATTTTATGGAGTTCTTTTGAGAATTTTTGGACAGCTGTGAAATCTGTTTCATCATATCAGATATATGTATTTAATCCTATTGTATTCCATGAGCTCTGCCAAAAAACTTCTCAGTCTGGTCTGTTTCACACGTACTACCAAGTGATAAATAATTTCCTTCACTCAGCAGGCAGAAAGAAGCCATAACAGAAAAAGTCATGCCACTCAAAAGATGGAAAGATTCTATTTTGTTATAGCTATAATAGAACANGGTAAAGGGCGGCCGTTGGGCAAGGCTGACAACCTTACCGCCATCTATGAGCCGAATGTCTACAAAATGTGGGAACCTCAACATCTCACAACCCTATGGGCCTCCATGGCCTGTTACAGGGATACCTTTACTTTTTCTACTTAGTACTACTACTGGTAAGGATGATTATGAATGCTGATAACTAACAGATGCAACTTTCATTATGCGCTGGATATTGAGATCTTCAACAGTACATTCTACAGAACCTGTTACTGTACATACTGCACATACTGCACACTGATAAATGGTTACATCAGCTTTGCAGCAAAATACCTCAAAACAGAGTTTCTACAAAATGAATGTTCAAGAAGTCAATATTTTTTGCAATTTTACCTGAAAATTTTCCATAAGACACTCTTGAAATGATACGATGGCTCGTTCTGAACCAAGGAATTTGATGTCAGGCCTCTCAGTTGCTTTGAGGGGATTTATTACGATCTGCACTGACACATTATTCCCTACAACAGAAATCAAATATCAGATATGTAGAGACAGAAAAATGAGTTTCTTTGATTGATTCACAAGATACTTAATCCCTCTGCGCTGACAATACCTGCATGTCAAATGTCACTGTCTGATGGTAACTATTTATAATGATCACTTTAAAGAATCTTTGTGTCTGGTATGTTCTGAAGCACTGTCCCCACCACCCCATAATTACTATCATGGCATGAAAGCCAAAATTCCACCATTATTTTGCGTAAGTTATATATCAAAACTTGATACTTATCACAGGTGCCCGTGCATAGGATCTTCCCTTTGTGGAAGCACAGATTACAAAGTGTTCATTTGGTGCTTTACATTCTCAAATAAAAAGTTTATTAAAAATCATTCACAACATCCAAAGTATGTATGGAATGCATGCAAAACATTTTTCTCATTCACATATTAAGAGCAAAATTAATATAATTTTACATACATTTAACTGGGCAAATATACATATTCATTTAATACCTAAAGACAGCTCCTATTTGTCAACAGAATAAAATTCATAGATCACAGTCTAGTAGTAGTAACAGACCATCAGTTAAATTTGATCAGGTTCTGATAAGGGGTTCAAGAGTAGAAAGTATCAACAAGCAGAGAGACAGATGGTGAATGTCAAATGTTTTTACAAACAGATATGCTGTGACCTTCATCTAGAAACAGCATAGAATAACTAGGAATATATGAACACCAATAACTTCAAACTTTAGCTTTACCTAAAAAATGGCACCAAAAATTTTACCTATCCAAGAAAAGTAAAATCTTAAGAATAAACACAAGTCAGGGTTGTTTCATATTACCGCCACTAGTGGGATCCAGAAGTGTTCCTATAAAATACATTACAAACAGTGTCTAATTTCAATTTGTGGTGTAAAATTCTCAATTCTAAATATGGCTTCCTTTTTTCTAAGACTCTATATTGGTTGCTGAAGAAGCACATGAGAACATGAGAACATGATAACATGGTCATGCCACCATGTTATCACTCTACATTGTTAAGTTCCTTCCCTTATAAGTCATGGATTTAAAACCATACCGATCATTATCCTCCTGTATGTATCTTTCCTTGTTGGATTATCAGGATCAATCACCCAGCATTTATGATCGACTTCATCTAGTACTTCCCAGAATCTCTGTAATGCTGCAACTTGTTGCACAAAGCTCTTGTAAATTGTAGGAAGTGAAGAACTCTGTGGAGATAATATTTTGTTGTGAGGTTCACCAGAACATCAGTGCTTGCTAAAATAAGATAATATTGGACAGATCAAGCAACACAGGATAAGCTGCCATAACAAACAGGGACAACATTTCCAGTCTGGGAATGAAGGAGATTGGACTCCAGAGGACAGTAAACCCATGGTTCATTGGATTGTATGGGGGGTATGAATCTGTACCAATTGCAGAGAATAGCATCTAATATGATTACACAGTGATTATGTACAGCAAAAGGATTGGAGAGGAAACAGTTGTGGACTATTTCAATATGCTGTCCCATATTTATCTGGAGACCGAAGAAAGTGACAGCAACCTCAGTCAGGATAACCAGTAAATAGTGGTGTTACTCCAGCCATTCATTTTGACTCTTTTTTAATTAAAGTTGACTGTGCTTGAGTCTTTGTGCTGTGTTGTTCCTGAAGTATCACTAACTAGCCAAGTGCACTTAGTGACCCCTAGAAGGGCCATTTTTATAGCATTTACCATCCACTGTTCATACTGGCCTGGACCAGGTACGTGTCCCCTCCCCAGTTGGTTTCCTGGACCACAACCTATATACACACAAACATTAGCTCACTCTACTCATTTTGACCCTGGAAATGGAGTATGTGCCTCCAAAACACTGACAACACTGCTTTCATCCAAACAGTGCAAGGACCCAAGACCAGAATCACCAACAATGAACCACCCTGATAGCTTAATATCTACAACCTTTTACAGTTCATTTGCCAAATCGCATAGTTGATATCTATCTAGCTAATATCAGCTTATTTTCCTCACACAAAGAAAATTATTTTTGAAACACAATGTAAATGTTCAGCTGAATTGGGAAGTGTCAGGTCATGTGGGTTACTGAGAGGAACGAGGTCAAAGGAAATTCTTCGAAGGAAATATGTGTGTCACTTCATAAATAATGCACAGGTTGGCAACACTGTGGATTAGATGATGCAACAACAGTGAGCCTCACGTCAGTTACAGTTCAGGGCTTTAGAAAGAAGTGCGTTATTTTGTTTCATTTATAATGTACTCTGTTCTTAAATAATGTGAGTTAGAAATGGAGCCTGCACGGTTCTCAGGTATTGTGACTGTTGAAGATCAAAGGTTGTACATTAAGATTGAAACGTGGAAAAAAACCCGACAGAAATCCAGTGCTTTAAGTGAAGTTTGTGGCGAGTTAACAGTGGACCGTAGTACAGTTTCTCGATGGGCTGGTCATTTTCGTGGCGGTCGTGTGAGCATAAACGATGATCCAAGGCCAGGAAGGCCAAAAACATCAACAGATGAACGAAGTGTGAAACTTGTGTCAGATGCTCTTGAAGAAGATCGTTGAGCGACATGTGAGAAACTTTCTGAAACCATGGGGATTCCACCAACGTCAATACTCTGAATTCTGACAAATGATTTAGAGAAGAGAAAGATTTCTGCACAATGGGTCCCTCACTGCTTGACTGCTGAACAGAAGCAGAAATGCCTCGACATTGCACCCTTGCTGAAACAAAGATTCGACATTGAAGGTCAAGCATTCTTGTATTGACTTGTCACTATTGATGAAACGTGGGTTAGAGACTTTGAACCGGAGCTGAAATCACAGTCCAACGAGCGGAGAGGTCCATCTTCTCCACGACCAAAAAAATTTCGACGATCTCAATCAAATGTCAAACAGATGATGATCTCTGCTTATGATCACAAAGGAATCATCATGACAGACAGAGATCCACACGAGAAAAGTGTCACAGCAGTTTATTATCGTGACTTTAGGCAAAATCTGCGCAGAAAAATGCACAAAAACCGACCTCAATTGCTTGAGGCCGGGCCAATCATTCTCCATGACAACACTGGCCTGCACATCGGGAATGTCGTGACAGAAACGCTGCACTAATACGGTTGGGAGGTGCTGCCTCATGCTGTCCTACATCCCGGACATGAGTCCACCAGACTTCGACTTATTCCCAAAGTTGAAACAACCTATGCTAAGCCATTGCTTTCCCCTCTCTGGAACAGCTTTCTGCTGCAGTTATCCAAGCCATTCAACAGATAAACAAAGATGGTGTCTTGGATGGAACAGTAAAGCGTCCCACGCATTGGGACTCGGTCACTGAGAAGCAGGGGGACTATACTGAAGGACTGTAAAGAGATATTAAAAAAAAAAAAAACATGGACATAAACAAGAAATTGTGTGCATTATTTCTGAAATGACCTATGTAAATAATATTTTCAATAAAGGTTCATATATTCCAATTAAAAAAAAGGTTTGTGTAGATATAGTTTGGAAATTACTGCTCATCAGTAATACCCAATCACCATAACAATGTAGTTAATTTTATGATTAGCAGTTACAGATGATCTTGAATCCATGACCTTTTAAATACTCAAGCAGATCTGCTAAACACTGGGCAGTCTTGATGGTCTAGTGGTTAGTGCACTACCTCAAATATTCAAAACATTCCCAGTAACCACCAACAGCCTTCAAAAGAAAATAGTCAGGATATCAACTTGAAGATGAGAGTATGGCCAACTTTTGAAACTTTGTGTACATCAAAGCTCAGAAAATTCACAGTGCTCAACTTAATATTAGATTGATGTTTACTTTCTTCATATTTCCAATGAGCTCTTCAGGAAGGTCTGCCTGAATGACTGGTGGTGAGCTGGGATAGTTCATTCCAAGACTTAATCTGAGAATGTGGTTTCTCCCTGCCTGGTCCACAGTCTGCAGTTTCACCTCATCCACTGTATTTGAGATGTGAAGAACATGTTCCAGACCAAGGATTTCCAGCTCAGATATAATGTGTTTATATGTCTCAACTGGCAAATGGCGACCTGAATGCAGTAATGACGCAGCAGAGCATGTCTCCAAGCATTTCATCTAGAAGTATAAGAATTGTAGTTCCAATCTTAAAGTACAAAGTGTTTAGAAATAAAAGATATACATGTGTCTACATACAAGGTGTGACAATTTAATTCTTGAAATGGCCACAGCATGTCGCCAGGGTGTTGAGTCAGGCAAACTCATGTGCCTAAGCACATGTGGACATGTCCCAACTAGCATTTACATGAGCCACATATCAAATCAGTCTTTATATATAACTTGCAGTACATCCAGTTTGTGGTGCTCATTTCTTTACACAGAAATTTCATTATAATAACTTACTAGAAACAACAATTTTTACAGAGCCCAGCCCATCTCAAATAATAGTAGACCTTTAAAATGACAACCAGAAGTAAACCTCCACAAAGAAAATAAACACAGATGCTCTTACAGCACAATCAAAATAACTGGAAGATCTGACCACCATCAGGCCAACTTCAAAAACATCCAAGAACCTGCATGCAGTGCTTCAAGTAAATTTTTAAAATTCTAACACTGTGTCTAATCCTAATTTAAGTTCTAATGTAAAATTCTAATTGTATATGCAATACTACTGTCTTCGCTTGCTCGGAAGCCGGGATCGTGGGTTCGAATCCCACTCAGGGCATGGATTTTTAGTTTGTGTGTGTGCGTTTTTCTGTGTTTGTCTACAGGTAGGGGCCTTGCAATGAGCTGATCACTCGCCCAAAGAGTTCTACCATATGTGTAAGATCGAGAAAAACCGAAGTGAACGGAGTTCATGGAGGTAGGCCTAGGCCCACTGGGGCTGTAGTGCCAAGGAAAAAAAAATATGCAGTATTAAGTTGGCTCCCACCCATTTTAGCCTAACAAAAATTGTATGCTAGCATCGCTGTTTATATGTTTACCCATCACCATTTATGTATTCCTCAAGAATCACCTGATGATGGCCTATCTGGGCAGAAACATATGGTGAATTGACTAATAAACACATCTGCTTGTGTGACAGTATTCTCAGATATAAAGTTAAAAGTTTTGAGTTTTGCATGCCTAGTTACAATGGTTCAGCATTATGACATTTAAACAAATTCTGTAAATGACATGGTCAACATGAGATTAAATTTGTTTCCCATAAAAATAGCCTGAAGAAATCAGTCTGCTTTGCACCCATGTAACATCAAGCAAAATATTAGTATCAGGCGCAGAATTATATTGGCAGGTGTTAGTGACTAGACATGGGGTTTGGATGGACAACTGGATTTACTGAAAGCTTATAACTTGTAACCACAAACAGTTATAAGTCTCACTGATTTACACAGTCTAAATCATTAATGCAAACACAATGTCTTCATTAGTTGTTGCTACGTAATGGCTTCTAACAGTTGAGAATCCTCTATGCCCATGCTCATGGTTAACTGCCAGCTATGAGTGCCGGGTCAAGAATAACTGTCAGCTCAGCTGGTGTCCTCACTATACAAACACAACATGGACTGCACAGAAAACACCCTATAAGGGCACTGAAAGTCTTGTTCATTATAAGCTAAAGTCATGACAAATACTGTTTTCTGGGATGAAATGCTGCATAGTCTGATATGTACACTCAACTCTCGATTATCCAGGATAATAGTGGGGATGGAAATCATGATTACTTGCAGTGCATACACTCATCTATCTCCTTCTCTCACTCGCACTACATGTTTCGGCATAAAAATGCCATCTTCTGGTGCTTACTCAATCCACGCCAAACTAGTTCATTGCATGCCTTGTCCTCACATTAAAATAACTAAAATATATATTTATCATATACACTGACAAATGTCAAACATAAAAAATATTAAAACTGTTCCGGATTCCTCATCGCTACGTCGCATCTCACTACTCCAGTCACGCCCATTCTCCTCTGTTGGAGCACTCCTTCACTATCGTGTGTNTACTGTAATACTGTACCTTCATAATACTATAGGCCTACCTGCATTTAAATTTATTGAACCTCATTTTTATGTCATCTCATGGCCTATTTAACACTTTTTTTTACATTACACTGAAGTATGAATTAGTTATTTCAATCACAATGTTCAACAACATTAAACACTTTTTACGAATATTCACACTTAACACTTAAAAAAATTTAATATTGTCGTTTGTTTTTCGCAGCATTTTCCTTTTTACGGATATCTGTATGAAGCCTATGTAATATTAGCTTGTCACGTAATAAACTGTTCTCTTCATTCTGAAGGATTCCAAATGATTAAGAGCAGCACCATGTGATATTTTCTTACTAGCAGCACTGTCCACCTCTTCCTCATTCTCACTTTTTTCCGCTCTTCTGGCTGCACCCCCACTTAACTTAAGATTTCGTCACTGCTTAACATTTTGAGTTAACAAGAGTTTCTGTTGAATACTTAACACAACACGCTTCCTTTTACACCCTGACATTTTGCTAACACACTTGAAGATCGATACAAAGAGACTAACTGGGGCGGTGTATCTGTCCTTGAAACTTTCCACAAATCCTTGCATTCTTTCACCCCTACCCTAGAACATTGTGTTAGCATAACAGGACCAAACAATGCAGAACTCGGTTCACACTAGTGCGAAAATAGTGTTACAACTCACCATGTGAAACAAAAGTGAATGAATATTAAACAACATATAAGCCTCAAAAAAGCCCCGGTAGACCTGGTTAAGCCACAAACCAGTTCATCCGCCCCCGGATAATCGAAAGTTGAGTGTATTTAAAAATTATTTCAGAGAAACATGGGGAATATGGCCAATGGCTTTGGTAAATATACATGATGTCAGATTACAAAAGACAGTAATCTTCAAATCAGAATTCCTCCAATGTTGACTGATGTGTTAAGTGGGCTGTTGCTCCACAATGACCCACATATTGTTGATGAGGGAGTGTGTTTTTGTTATCACAGAAACGTGTTTACCGGCCACTGCCTAGCAATGGATGACTCTTCTTTTTAAACTATTCCAGCTTTCAGTCATCATGCCACAATATCAACAATACTCCATCCCAGTATCTTAGAGAGCTGCTATATTGTACCTACTGAAGGGATAAAATTAACAAACTTGGCATCATGGCATTGCTCTTTGGTATGATGTAAATCAATACTGTCGTTCTGTGTTGGCTGGTATGTAGATTGAAAAACTGCAGGAGATACGAAGACAGAGACATTACACGTCAAGATTGTTTTACAAAGTGTGAAATGTAGATTATAAGATTTCTATATTAAATATGTCAATATACATACAATTAAATTTTGCATACATTCCAGGTAAGCAAACAAGGATGAACAGCTTTTTGTCCACTGAAACAAACAGAAGCAGTATTCAGTAACAATAATGAAATTATGTTAAAATCAATTACATAAGACAAGCTTGATTCCCAAGGATAAGGTTGGAAAGTACATAAGTGCACTGTAGGCTGCTACACTAGCTGACAGTTATCAAACAAGATGTGAAAACGTCTATGAATGGATAAGGAGAGATTCTGAAGTAGCTGTGGCTTGTGTGAACAATATTCATATGAACTAATAAATTTTGTCATGGGTTAGTAACTAGACGCATGGTTTAGACTGATAATTGGATTTAATGAATGCTTATAACTATAAATAATTAACACTTTCATTAATCTACACACTGTACAAATCTCTACTGCTAACACCAGTCTTCTATGTCTTCATCAGTTGCTGCTTGATAGCAGCATCTAACAATGCAACTCAAGACTCTAGATTGGCAACTGCTGACTTTGGACTCTGACTTCCGACTGACTGTCGGTTGGGCAGTTAGTTACACTGCTACTGACCCTTGCCAGCACAGTTAATTCTTGGTTTTGTGTCCCACTGAGATCCATAAAGATTTTTGTTTTCTCCTGGACATATGTTATTCAAGGTCGGGCCTCCTCTTTTAATAAGAGGGGTTTGGCTGCTACTGGTCACTCCTACTAGGAGTGATCCTGTGATCTTCCTGGAGTGACTAAGTAAAATATCGAAAACCTCAGTTAGGATAGCCAGTGTCCTGTGTATGTTCTTTACCATAATTTCGCTAGTAATTTAAACCCTGCAGTACATGAAAACCTCTTCTGCCTTGACTCCGCTGCATTATATACGAAAAAAGAGCTACAACAAAGGTTACGCCACAGCACTTTCACCAAATCCCATTACATGTGTCACTGTTGTGCACTGCACATAGATATACAGGGGTTGCACAAAATAATGGAACCACTACAGACACTGCACACATTTATTTATCAATACGATGTTGGACAACCTTCTGTCCTCAATACAGCCACAGTCCTTCTTGGAATGGGCTCGTACAAGTTCATCTTCAAGTTGCTTTACAGATGTTGGAGGTGGAAACCTGTTCCTCATGCTAGTCTCCAAAACTGACTAGAGTGGATCAATGATGTTCAAATCTGGTGATTATGCTGGCCAGGGATGATGCTGAAGTACACCTTCATGCTCTTCAAACCATGATAGAACAGTTCCAGCTGTGTGAATGAGGGCACTGTCATTTTGGAAAACTGTATCATTTTTCAGAAATATCATCTGGATCATGGGTTGCACCCAATTACCCAACCTGTCCACATATTCCCTTGCAGTAATTCGGCCATGAGGGGTAATAATGGGACCAACAGAATATCACAATATTGGTGCCCAAACCATTACAGATCTGCCCCCATGTTTCACTGTTCGAACCAGGCATTCTGGATTTTAGGCTTCCTTTGGGTGTTCTCCAAATGTAAACTCTTCCTGATGGATGTAAGAAACAGGAACATGCTTGTTTCCAGTTGTCTGATGCCCAGATTATATGGTCGTGACACCATTGTTTACACAGCTGGGTACTACTTTCAGTAATCAGAGGTTTAGCAATTGCAGGCCTACCGTGGATGTTAGATGTGTGATGCTCATATTGGACAGTTTTTGTGGGAACAGGGTTTTCAAGATGAATATTCAGTTCTGCTGTCACCTGTGCTGCAGTGCTTCTGTGATTTTTTAATACAATCCTTCCCAATGTAGAACAATCTCTTTCTATCAATGCTGAATTTCACCCACTGTTCTTCTTCACTGATGTTGTCTTCCCATGACTCGTGTATGCCGACATAACCTTAGAAAGTGTGACAGGCCACGCCATAGCTCAAGTGGTTAGTTGCTGGCTTCCCCCCGTGGCGGCCTGGGTTCAATCCCGGGCCTGGTCAAGTGGGATTTGTGGTGGACAAAGTGGCACTGGGGCGGGTTTTCTCCAAGTACTTCGGTTTCCCCTGCCAATCTTCATTCCACCAAATCCTCCATCATCATAATCACCCGGGGCAGGCTAGAAGCCCCAAAAATAAATCAATAAATATGTAAATCGTTTAAATTAAAGAGTGGAAACTCCACCCTATATTGAACTGATACTGATAAAGAAAATAATCTGCTTAACAAATTTTGGTAGGCAGTGCGCAATATGAAATGAAATGGAAATTTGTTAAATAATTTCAGAGATAACATAGACTGAGGGTGTTTGAGAACAGGGTGTTGAGGAGAACATTTGGACTGAAGAGAGATGAAGTGACAGGAGGTTGGAGAAAACTGCATAATGAGGAGCTTCATAACTTGTACTCTTCTCCAAGTATAATTAGAATGATAAGCCAATCAGTGGCTGTTGTGCCAAGTGGACCCAGATGGACTCCACCCCTCACTAAGTGAATTTAATTTTTTTTATAGAAAGTGTCACTCTCAATACACCTAATACTGTGGCAGTTCTTGTCACAGATGCTCCAGCTAAATGCACACCAACAATCTGTCCTCTGTCAAAATCATACAAGTTGCCCATTTTCTGATTCTTTCACACCTAATGGCACTCAATAGAATCACCAGTACACTGACATAAGCACTACTGAAGTATTTTGAATCAAGCTAACAAAAACCAATTCTATTCCTCAATTTCTTACTGCTTCCATTATTTTGACCATCCTCTGTATTTCAGTTCTTCAAATTAACTCATCCAAAACAAGGTATCACTGGGATGTGGGGTAAATATTCCGTGAGCATTACCCTACATCATAATACATCATCATTTTCAATGTCTTCTGCTGTGCCTTCAGACTGTAAGATGCAAAAATATTTTAGGCTGCATTTTCCAGGAAGAGAAGTGCAATGGTACAGTATTTTGGAAAATATGGTATGATCTGAGAAATAAATAGAAGTAAACAATGACATTAACAAGTACAGTCACCACCCATTAACAGATAATGTCGAGTATAAGGGGCTGCATGATGGATAATAAAGAGTTCTGGATTTGGTACATTGGCACTTCTTTAAAATTACAATTGCTTATAACAGCTCACAAGCAAGGACTGTCTACGACTTGCCCCAATCCTTACTGGACTACGAGTGGATTCTCTTCGAATGACAAACCATAAATCACTGCTCATACATTGAATTCTCTTATAAATGAATTGTTAACAATTTTGGATTTGTTATCACACAGTTAACTAGGTGTGAAAGCATAATTGAGAGTCACAGCAAAAATGGAATATCTACCAAATCACCTCATATAAATCTTTTTCATGTCCTTGAAGAATAATACTCAGTTCCCATGAGCATTTGACTGACAGTTCTTTCAAGGAAGGGTAATGTGGTACATGCAGACAAATGTGGAATTCTTCATTCTGTAAACAGAAGCACAACATTACAATAAAACATAATAGTATTTCAGTAAACACATTCCTCTTAGCATTATACACATTAAGGGTACAGAAATTATTGTATCTTAGTGCACAGAAGACAAAAAACTGTAATGGGCAAGCCTTAAGAAACACAATTTCTCAGAAACAGCATTCAGGTTGCAATTTGCTAAGAATCTACAACATTCAGGAAGACATTTGGATTTATACACATTTCTATTATCATTATTGATTAAATAAAAGTAGGAACAAGTATAGAAACAAGCACATTTACAGCATCCAGCTGCATTCCCTATATACTACACAATTCTCAGAAATGGCTCCATAAACAAAAGTGCAGATTTCATTAAGATAATTAACTTTAATGTGACATACTTTCCAGTTGATGGTCATATAAAATCACATAGCATTAATTCATGGTCATATGTAAAAGATAGACGCCAATTAGTAAACATGAATAAATTATATGTTTGTGATACCATTCAGTGTAGACCTCTTACAACAGTAATTTCAAGTAAAGCTATCAGGTGGTTCATGATGAAGAGACATGACATCCCCATAAGGTAGACTAATTTTATACATGTCTGCAGATAAAACTTAAAACTGAACTACATATACAATACAAAAGAGGAAACAAATGCAGAATTACAAAATTATATACCAGCAGCAAGTTCGATAGCACTTAGGTATCATGTTCTAACTTGTATTCCAAAACAGCAGATCTGATTCCCAGTCAACATCGCCTCTTCTGACAAACGTCTCCTGAGTGTCTCCAGAAAATCCAAGATACTGTAACTTAAACCGGGGCTGAATAGCAGCTTTATGTATTTCATCCCATATGACATAGTTAACAATTAAACCCCAACTTCTGCATATCATTCCGCACTGATGAATTTAATTTGAGGGGGCCGAAACTGTACATTTTCATCTTTTTATAACTAACGTCTTTTGGGGATAATGTTCAGCAGTTACTTTAGATCTTACTTTGATATTCGTTCATACACACTTACCCCTACTTGAATAAATCCTTTGTACAATGTAAAATATTTGTTCTGAGGAATAATAAATGGAAACTTCTTTAGAATAAGTAACTGGTCACTCATTGCAATTCATTCCCTTCCTCTTCCAACTTTCGACCATCGATATTCCACTTACGTTTTTTTAAGGTCAATAGCTGTGAGAGTACACCAAAATCGGAACAGAGCAGAAATTATTATATAAGCTGGGAGACATTTCAAGTTCATTCCACATGAGGATTCTATTTTTCTAATACTTAGAATGATTTCGGTGACATCGACCAAAAACAAGAACTCAATATAACGTAAATGACCTGACTACGTAGGTACATTTCGACCTCTACTATTGGTATCCAGCTCGTAGGTACCTACCAATGAAATATCTGTGAATTATAGTTGCCAAGAGATAGCGCAGTAATGCAAACTCGCCTGCCAATTTCCCCCTCAAAAAATTCTAGTACGTTTACTTTACCACAAGGGCAGTCCTAGTAGAATCGTGCGCCTGTGGCAATCACGTGATCAAAGTGGCTGCCGAGCAGAAGAGTTACAGCCATTTTGGTTTTGAAGATGGCGTCGTCTGATATTATTACAGAGGTGGAAATACATCCAGATATTCAGGAAGTTGAAATTGAAGCAATACCTGTAGAAATTCCTTGTGAAACTGTGGAAACAACAATAGACGGTGTGGAAGGACAGCCTATGATTGCATTACAGCCTCTACCAGAGCCTGGACGTGAGGAAGTTATTTTACAAACACAAGAAGAAATTGTAGGTAGTGGGGACCCTTTATCAGTTTATGATCAAATACCAGTTCCATCAGAAAGTGATATTTACATTGAGTCAAGCCCAGGACCATCTAGAAGAGGAAGCCGTAAAACAAGGAGAGGTGGGAAAATGCGTGGAAATGAACATGTTATCAGCGAGATCGCAGAAACGAAAACTCGCAAGTGGGAGCAAAAACAAGTACAGATTAAAACTTTGGAGGGTGAATTTTCCGTTACGATGTGGGCTTCAGGAACCGATGATGGTAAGAATGATGACATTGTTTTAAATATGCTATTTCAAAATGTGTTACAGTTTTAAGTAGGCAGTAATTAGTCTATTTTTGTATAGCGTCATTTTCGTACAATCCCAGGGAATATACGTCATCGCTCCTACATCCGGGAGTGGCGATCGATAGGGCGTTAGTATTGCTATAAGGCTTGCCGGTTTTTATATAAGTGTTTCATTTTAATAACGTTAGAAATGTAAATATTTGGGTTTGTTTTGATACTTCGCCGGCCATGAATGATCCAAGGGCGCAGCCATATTTTACAAATGGCTTCTCTTATATGATGGCGGAGGGTAGCCATTTTCGTGTAGAGAAGGTTGTGGACAAGGGACCAGTTAGTAAAGTTTATATGAAAGTTTGGAGTTACATGTGTGATATGACACCGTGAATCATAGTGTTTAATTAAGGCGTACTTCGTCTTCAGTTTTTATTGTTGCTGAAATGTATTGTTTTTATATGGCACTGTTTTGTAAACACGTATTTCTGGTTTCTTTGTCCTTGATGAATATGAACGGCAAGCGTGGAAGGGGGAGTAGGATCAATTCGGGCGCTGTAATGTGACGGCACCGATGCGAACCTCTGCAGGGCAACTAGAGGATGTAAATGTTCATAGGTAGATGTCACTGTTGGAATTATTTTGGTATGACGTTAGAGTTTGTAACCAATCCGTAACGCAAAAAGAAGTTGCACGTAATTTAATAATATCATTGTTTGAAAATACCATCCAGCAGTAATGTAAAATTTCTTTTTATGCAACAGTATTCGTGTAATATTGATTGTGTGTTGTGTTATATGATAACGTTCCAAAATCTTGTATTCGTTATATGTACAGATGAAGGAAGTAATCCGGAGCCTGATCCTGATTATGAAGAATATATGACAGGCAAAAGAATTCCACCGGAAGGGATCCCTGGTCTTGACTTGAGTGATCCAAAGCAGCTTGCAGAATTTGCAAGGTACTGTGTTACATGCTGGAACTGTTTATTTCAAACAATTTTTTCATATGATTAATATTTGTTATAAGTATATTGGTTTGTTTAATGGCATTTCATACTCGATACTATATATAAATACTGAAAAAAAATGATTTTCTTGTATATGTTAACTGTTTTTGCTTTATCACTTTAACTTGATTATTTCAGCAGTTGTTTTCTGACTCTCAGAATGTCCAAGTCTCTTACCATGAGCTACTTGATTTCTGTAATTTAATGTATTGTGGCATATATACCTGTTGCTAAGTGGGGACTCTGTAAATAATGACCATTTTTGGACAATGGCTTGGTAAACATGTTCCTGTGGCAATAATTATGCTTGTAACAATAGAGTTACTGTTGGAAATGGAGAGTTTTCTTTGTGGTCCATGCTCAGATGTAATAACCAAGACAGTTGGAATAATGAGTTCGGTCAAAATTCCATACGTATATGATTAAATAACAAAATTATGCAGGCAACAAATATAAGTCATACAAAATCATGATAACGAAAATGTTCACGATATTGGACCAGGCGAAGCCTGACGCAGGAAGTATAAGAGGCTTAAAATTGGCGACAGTCAGGCATACGACTGTACGAGTATGTGGAAGCTACTAGAAATAGGGCAGAATATGCTGTACTGAGCCTGGACTGACATTTGTATATATTTTATTTACATATATTAACATGTTTTATGTGTAAAATGTAAATATCCTTTACATTATGACAAATGACTTACTACTGCAGACAGTGACTCTGACACCCTTATCAGAGAGGGCACCCCCACAAAAACAAGACTGAAACTGTCAAATACTAATAAATATCTGGTCGTAAGCCCCAGATTGGGCTCGACACCAAGACTTGACTGACAATCAGTTGCAGTGTGACCTTGATTTTGAATAATGAGTTCAGTTGTGAATAGTATTGGCCAGCAGGCAAAAGCGTGATCATAGAAGCTGAAGAATCCGCATTGTTAATTGCTGTTACCAAGTAACAAGTAAGGAAGACTAAAAGACTGAGGCTTAGCATGTGCTGTAGTGATTTGTAAAGTGTGTATATCAGCGATAGCACTGTAATTGCTTGTAGTTCCAAGTCACATGTGTAAGTGGTCAGTAAATCCATTCACCAATTTTTAAGTCCTCTCTATAGTTACCACTACATGTTACAGTATATGCATGGGCTATTTGGAAAGTAACCTTTGATAAGCCGTTAACAAAACAAGCAATGACTTTTATTGTATACAAAAGATATATACATAGTTAACCTTTATGAGCCGAAAGACACCGTATGGGGACCTTTAAAGTAAAGGCGAGTGGCCGAAAGACACCGTATGGTGACTCGCAGACTGCGCATGCGCACAGTGTTTTAAAATCTAATTTTAAGATAGAAATTCTTGTTCTACTTACATTATTTTTGGACACCAGCTTTATAAGTAGACTGTCTTCCCTCCTGCATCATCTAACTGAATGTTGCATGTCACTGAATGCAGAGTCCAACGTTGCAATTCATGCACTTTGTCCGTAATTAACTCTGTTTTCCATGCGAAGCGCACACACGCAATGTCAGTCTCGCATTAGCAGGAAGTAGGCCAGTGATGGTGAGTGGTCTCCTCTATTCATAACGCTTATAAAACATCACAATTTCAACTATGCACCATGGCCCCTTTTCGCATTGAAGAAGCCGAAATTGAGAGGCCGCTCGTAAATCACACCATTCAGAATGCGTTACAGTCGATTTTGAAGGGATGAGGAAGCAAGGGGAATGAGGGGATATTCCAAGAAGAATAACTCTGTGTGGATAGTCTGACATATGTGAATAAACAAGCAGAGTTTCATAAGGTCAGGGTAGGATAAGAACTCGCCCACACTGGGTATACAGGAAGCCATGACTGGAGAATGTGCAGTATGTAAACATCCTCCCCTATTGCCAGATAAAACACAGACAGTGCGTCAGCACCATGCATTTATTGTGCAGAAGCGTTTTGCATTTTTGTGGACAGACGCTCCAAATTGGGGAAAATTTTTTTTGGGAATCAATGTAACAACTTTTACGGATTCTAAAATCTGTAAATTACAGTATCTGATTCTATATTCTCTCTAGATAAAAGCAGCGTTTATTTCGTTCATTTATCACAAAAATTATAGAAATCACATCATTTTGAGTAACATGATTACAATTTTTATTACTCTACAATGGCAGGCATTTAAATTAACTCCATCCTGCTGCCATTACCGGAATTTAAATGGCCCGTCTCTTAATGGTTAAGCTACTTCTCAATGTAGTCATCATCAGACTTGAAGCACTTGTCATATTGAGGAATAAGTTTTTGTATGCCTGTGTCAAAGAAGTCTGCTGCCTGTGAGCTCAGCAGCATTTTGACACTGTCCATCAGCTCCTCATTACTGTTGAAGCTCTGTGATCGCAACCAGTTTTGAGGTAGGTAAACATACAGTAGTCACTCAGCAAGATCAGGCTGGTAAATAGTAAATCTAGCTACGTATCTAGAAACAGTACGGACAATTCCCAGGTGGTGATTCAGCCTCTACGTCCATTGATGTGAACATCGCTGTTGAATTGTACTCTTGTATAAGTTCTTTGTAGTTACTTGCTTTATGTTTATTCTCTGTAAGCAGCTTTTGTAATAGAGGAATAAAATTGTGCCTTGGTGTTTTCACAAACTCATTGCAACTGACGAGGAGCAGAAACTTACCAAAGTTTTATAAAGATCTTTGGCTTTGTCACTAGACCATATCAATTTGAAAATTTCATTGCGAATTGCTTCCATCAGAATTTGTTAAAACATTTTATTTGTGTCATGTATGACAACTAACTGTATGCTGGTTTCCCATATAATTAAGGAGTTCACTTGAGATTTAAAAAAATAATAACATGACTTATTTGATGTGAAATTGATTATCCTTAGTTGCTTGACCATCGCTGATTTAACTAGTAATTTGGGTGGTTGGGGGAAGGCATATGTATTGTATCTTGTGCCTTAGACTGAACAGCCACTGTAGTGGGCTTACCATTACAACTTAGTGACAAATATATATGTGCCAGTTATTTATGAAACTATAATCAACCTAGTTATTGTTGTGTCGATGGCTCCAGTATGAAATAATGTTTTTTTTTCTTAAATTTACACTAGTGTGTTTTATAAATATAAGAATGTAGATTAATTACAATGGCAGTCCAATATTAAAGGGACAAGTGTTTGTTATGTATGGTCTGTGCATGACATCCTGATGTCACTTGCATATATTGATACGCTGGGTAGAGGAGAAGTAGCCGTGCTAGTGTCATTCTCCATCCACATGTCTGAGCTTTACAAGAGAACAAAATGGCCAGTGTGATTGAAAATTATTCCGTGTTTGGGATCTGCGTGGTGGTCAGATTTTTGCGAGCAGAAGGAATGAATCAGAGCGAGATTCATTGCAGGTTAGTAATTGTTTATGGCCAGAACTTTTTCAGCTGAAAGGAAGTGTCTGTATGGTGCAGCAGATTAAAGATGGCCGAACAGCGCTGAATGATGATCCATAGAAACAGAGGGAGACCAGGACCTTGCACACTGATGAAAATTATGTCATTGTCGAAGGTTTTATAAAGGAGGATCAAAGAGTTTATGAAATACTGCAAAATCCTCAAAAAATTGCTTGAAACCATTAATCGAAAGAGATCAGGATGATTAACTGCTGGAGTAAGGCTTCTGCATGATGGAGTATGACCTCACAGCCTGGTTGCAAAAGGGGAAGTGTGAAGTTCTGCAGCATCTGCCACATAGTCCTGATCAGGCGACATCAGATTTCTACCTCTTTGGGTCATGTAAGAAGTTCTTATCAGGTAAAAGATTCGAGGACCAAGATGCATTACAAAGGCAGTTGTGCAATACTTCATATCCGTTGGAAAGGAACACTACTCTGAAGGAATGTTTAAACTTGTAAAATGATGGGATAAATATGTCTGTATCATGACATTCCGTAACACAGACATTTACTACATTGAGTTCTGTGTTATCAGTGGAGTTGCATTTCCCCAGAAATTTTTACATCATATTTTACCTAGTCACATGGTATATTGAAACCACTCCAGTATTTAATGCCGTCTTCACCTTAAATAAGCTTTACTCATTGTACAATTGATAATTTATTCAGCATCTGGTATAGTATAATTTTGGACCATAATTTGACCATAATTGGCCAAAATATGTAATTTTAGGACTGTAAAATATAGTGAAGGGGAACAAGTAAAACTGAAATTTTTCATAAAACCATCTGTCAGGGATCTAACTCCAACAAATTTAGGTGATGAACCATCTGCTCGTAGGTAAAAAGGTACAGTTGTCCCTTTGCTTAACTAATTAAGCTTTATGCCATGAAGATGTGTGGTGGGTTTGGATATATAGACCCACATTTTCTTGACCTTGGCACGAGCTGAAGGTGAGTGGTCAGCTGTACTCCACGGCTGCTTTACCCCCGGGGAAATAGCCCCAGATACACAGTGAATAGGAGGCTGGGTGGGCCCTAGAGCAAGTGTGAATGGCATGGAGAAGTGAAAATTCTTGCCCCCACCAGGACTTGAACTCTGAACCCTTGGTTGTCCAGCTTGTAACCAGTCACTATATTGACTGTGCTATCCCAGCTCTACCATCTGCCTATTTAAGAAAAAAATAGTACATTAAAAAATAAAAAAAAATAATCACGGAATGTAAATCAAGAACATATTTGATGCCAGTAGGGGAAAATTTAGAGGTCAAGATGGAGACCAGTCAAGAAAGGACAGAGATTGTAGCATAGCACTTTGAAGGGGCACCATGCATAAAAGCTGTGTACGTGTTTACTGCCCTGCAGGGCTGGACTTATGATATTCTACATAGAGCCCTTAAAGGAGTGACCTACAGGGGATAATCAGAGCAACTGAAGACCAATTTGGGGAGCAGCAACAGGCCATAGGGTACTGCAGTCAACTGAGAACATGGACCGAAGATGATGGTGAGCCCCTGCTTGAGTTTACCAACACTGTTGAACAGTCGCCTATCATGTCTTTCTTTCTTGACCCAAGAACCACGTTCATGGAGGATCAGACAAGGCATTTTTCAATGGCATAAGATACCAAGACATAAAACAGCAGTTACTTCTGGGAAGTGGGAGAACTCAGTGAGGCCCTTCGGCAGACCATAGAGCTGGAGATCGCAAACCTAGTAGTTGGGTCTTCTGTTGGGCTCTGGAAAACGAGTGACTGGACATTGTGGAGGTGTTGGCCCTCTCCGAAAGGGAAGCAGAAATGGCAGTACGCATATGGGCTACCCAGAACATGTAGCCTTAAGGAGGGAGAAATGTGACAAAACTACTTAATCATTGTTTGTTACGTGGTAACAGCTGGGTGAACACATAACAGTACCTAGCCCATTGATTGGCAATAGCCACTACAACAGTTGGTGGTGTTAGAAATGGTGTTTTCTGTGTTGTCCATTCTGAGGCTATATGTATATAACCAGACCAGAAAAGTAAGTATGAAAGCCAGGAATAGCCAGTGACTGGGCAGCCATGGCTAGAAGGTCAGTTAGTTGCTATGGTTGGCCACGCCATAGCGCAAGCGGTTAGTCACTGGCTTCCCACCGTGGTGGCCCGGGTTCGATCCAAGGTCTGGTCAAGTTGGATTTGTGATGGACAAAGTGGCGCTGGGTCGCGTTTTCTCTGAGTACTTTGGTTTCCCCTGCCAATCTTCATTCCACCAAATTCTCCATCACCATAATCACCCGGGGCAGGGATAATAGGCCAATCAGTGGTCATCATGCCCAGTGGACCCAGTTGGACATCACTCCCCACTAAGTGAATTAAAAAAAAATTAGTTGCTATGGTCAGTTAGTTGTGAGACAGTCACCACCCATAAAGGATGTGAGTACAGAAGCAGAGGAGTATCCATTGTCTATAGCCATTACCGGGCAACTACCAGAGAAGACAGACAACTTTATATATGCTGCAGTACAATGATCTGTAGAGTGTGTAGATCCTTGAAACAGTTAATAGTTACCTGTAATTACAAGGGGACGGAGTTTGAGTCCTGGTAGAGTCAATAATTTTCTCCATGTCATCCAAATCGTCTCTGGGCCCACCCACCCTCTAATCCAATGGGTAGCAGGTACTCTTTCCTGGAGGTAAAGCGGCCACGTCGTGAAGCTGACCATTCATTTCCAGCTATTGCTGAGGGCAAGAAAACTTGGATCTATACATCTGCTTCCCCATACGTCTTCATGGCATAGTGCTTAATTAAGCATAGGGACAGCTTTACCTTCAAGTGTTCAATCAATCCTGTTACTGATCCATACCCTGTGTCTGGTCACCAACACATGACAGTTTCATACATTCTGATCAAGTGTTTCTTTACTCTGTGAAAATGTGAAATGTTTTTCACGTGACAGCATTATGTGTTATTTGTAATACCATTAGTCAGTTTTAAGTTTCTGATGTGTGGTTATTTTTGTGTTCATAATGTAACATTTATTTGCCGTATTCCTTGTGTTTCTAGGCCTGGCCACAAGATGAAAGTGAAGAAACAGATGAGTGATGGAGTTGACAGGACAATAGCATGTCCACATAAAGGATGCACCAAAATGTTCCGTGATAACTCTGCGATGCGGAAACACCTTCATACTCATGGGCCTCGTGTTCATGTCTGTGCCGAGTGTGGCAAGGCATTTGTGGAGAGTTCAAAATTGAAACGACATCAGCTGGTTCACACAGGAGAGAAACCCTTCCAGGTGGATATCCATGTTTTGGGTAACATATTAAACCTGGAACTTGGTTTAGTAGAATGTAAAATATTGTGCCCGTTGAAATTTCAGTGACAGATCTTCTGGGTCATTAGACAGAGATGTAAACATTCTATGTAAACAGCCAAGTTTCAAGTCAAGAGATGGTAGTGTTAAATGTCTGTATGAATTGAAATATTTCACTTACTGCGTTGCTTCCTTGTGACACTGTGCTCAAGAAGTAGGGGAGTTTGTAATCTTGTGAAACCATTTTCAACTGTAAATCCAATAAAATTTGCAGACATTGACAGACATCATCAGTGATTGCAGCAAGTGTTTCTTTAGTAATGCTCTCCTAAGAAAATATAGTCTCTGCCTTAAATTTTCAGTTATGCGTGAATTATTCTGTCACTGCCCTTCCGGAATACCAATAAGAAATACACATGGCAGTAACAATCCAGAGAGTGGAATAGCCAGAACCATCAAATTCCAGTTTGCCTAGGATATGAGTTAGAGAAGACCCAAAGCGGCCTCCGTAGTCTAGGGGTAATGTTCCCCACCTCATGACTCAAGACCGCTGAGCAAAATTAGGCAAAAAGTTTCCCGCCCAAGTAGTTTCCAATGCCTCTGGTAGATGGGGAAGTTATCGGGTACCACTGCCAGAAGAGGGCCGACCTCACTGGCAGAAAGGGGCTGATAGCAAACACCAGTACCAACAGGGTATGGCGACAGTAGAAATTAAAGGGGACATACAATAGACTACTATTCGCGGTGCATAGGGAAACCCACTCCCTGTAATACTGAATAACTGAACTGAATAGAGAAGACCCAATCATGAAAATGATTGTTTGGGAAATTAAGAACTACATTTGCTGTATGTGGTGCCCAGTCTTGTTTGAATGTTAGTGCTGAATGTGCCTTCGAGAAAGACTGGCGTGAAAATCCCAGCAGATGAAATAGCACATCATATTGTGTACTGTTGTGTACTTCTTGGGATGCAAAAATGTCTTGGTGACTGCATGTGGATTTTCAGAACTCCATACTCATGCCCCCTCTTCAGGGACATTTGTTGGTGAATGACTGATGTAGTTTATTCCAAATACTGATGAAATGAACAGCAAGAGTTCCCTCTTTTCTTTTTGTGAGCATTGATGAGGAATTGTTTCATCTGAATTTGCTAGGGATATATTTTTTAATCTTGGCAGATGATAGTTGAAGTGGATGTTTTTAACCTTTAATGTACAGACTTTTAAATTGCCGGGAGCCCTCTGTGGCCAGTATTTAAATCACCCTAACTAATTAACATTGCAAACTTTCAGAAAAAAGTACATATTTTCCGTTCTATGCAACATAGAAATACGAACTAAAAACAGTCTGAAAGACAATAAAATTTTCTACATATACTCAAAAGAGCAATTTTTACAAACGAAAAGTAACTGTGGTTATTATGTCATGAAATGCAAAATATAATCTTTATTATATATGTTATGAAATTCCAAAGGACTTACCCGTTGTTTTTTTTTCTTCAACCTTGAATCATGGTGATATTGTAATATAGTCACACTATATACAATAATATTTTGTTCAGACTGTACACGAGTTTGAACTGCGTCACTTCACAGTTTACGATACACTCTGATGCGCGTGGCACTTCTCGAAGCAGTCCACCTCACACAGAATGACAATACCATTTTTACGATATAAGAGCATGCTCCTGTCTTTCTTATTTAGTGAAACACGCAACGTCTTTGTTTCCTTTTGGTTGGCCAGTGTTGTGAATGTTTCACCTTCAGTCAGCTCGGTTGGGCCCCCCGAGAAATGCCACTGACCGTGATATTCAGCTTGTGCGATTGAAGAATCATCTTGGGGGAGGGAGTTTCTAGCAAAATCGAATAAATTATGTTGATTGACAAAGCGACACTCTCACCTATTAGTAATACTCGCAAAATATTGATGCAAAGTAATTATAATACTAGTCGAAAAGAGTGTCAGTCCAACACTGATACTGAAAGTCGCAGTTGCGAAGATGCCTTTTGCTCACAACGTAACACTGTCTCAGTGGGTTTATACCTCTTCCGAGACACAAAATAAAAATGATATATGAAGAAATATATGACAGTCTAGTCTGACACTGACTTCCTGACTGATAATTCGTCACTAAAAACCAATCCTTGCATGCGTCACACTTCCTTGAAGGCGCTGGAAGCACTCACATGCAAGCACCAATGAATATTTCCTCATCACTTCTCAAAACAAAGCTGGGCTATATTTGGCTGACCAAGTTATAAACGGTCATATCTAAACGTAAATAGTATCTAAACCAGTACAGTGATAAACAATTTCATTGTTCATAGCTAAGGAATGGACCACTGACATGACCTCACGTAGGTTTGTTTTGGTTTCAAATCCAAGGTCAAACTGTCAGCACTCCCAAAGAGAGCATGAGTACTGCATTAGATATATATATATAACATTCGGCCAACTCAGAGTGCTGCTTGCATCATATTTATCATAACATTTGGCTGTTAAAGGTTAAACACAGATTTTGGGAGAGCCACTTTACATATTTGTATGAGCTAATGTAAGCGCTTTCTGTACATGCATATTATTGTCTGGCTGGTATTCTGACTTCCTTCTACCACCACAACTTCCTTACTGTGCCCTGTTAAATCCTGACCTTGGAACTTTGCAACAGTTAAATGTCATTTCAAACTTATTACACTGCATTGTAACAATGCTACATCAGAATTATAGGCTTTCCTGTTAGAGGACATTATTGAATTACCAGCATCTGAGCTAGTGTGGCTTGTGACACCAGCTTCATTGATATGATTACAGTACCTCAATAAACATAGACATTAAAAACTACCACGTCTTTCTTTGATGACCCTGTATGTAATGTGTTCACAGTGTTGCATTAAACTCAGTCACTCTCAAATCATCCCTCTGGGTGAATGGAGCCTAACTAATTTCTTTAAATATGTGCAAGCTGCATCCTCAGCTGTTGCCTCCTGTCATTATATAACATAACTCCCCCCCACCATCTTGCTGAACACTGAGTTAACATTGTAGTTTTTAAATAACCTGTAGCTCAACTACAGGTCAAAAGAAGTACACCAACTACAGTTTTTGTTGTAAGCAGGCTTGATCACAGGGTAAGACACTGGACTGTTCAAAGCTAACTTGCATAGTTCGTATAAGGAATGTTTTATAATTGTTGAATTGCTGATTTTTCCAGTGTACATTTGAAGGATGTGGAAAACGGTTTTCACTGGACTTCAATTTACGAACCCACGTTCGTATCCATACTGGGGACCGTCCATATGTATGTCCATTTGATGGCTGCAACAAGAAATTTGCCCAGTCAACTAATCTCAAATCTCATATCCTCACACATGCCAAGGCCAAGTAAGTTTTATCATTGTCAGTGGGCAGATGATTTTTGTGTTATTGCAGTTTTGGTACTGGGTGTTAACTTTGCCATCAGTCTGTCCCATTATGTATAACAAGGCCTCTCTGAACACTCTTTAATGAAATAAAGGCCTTTGCTCAAATTTTCAAATTATATTCATTTTTTGTCCACAAGACATAGGAGACTGTTGTTTGTATTAGCTTCAGAAAGATGTAACAGGTAAAGTTGTGGATGACAGGTGGTATTGCTCTACCATTCTTGACCTCTGCACTATATGGAGGTGAGTGGTCAGCTTCACACCCCGGCCGCTTTACCTTGGGGGAAATCGCCCCTAATAACCAGTGGATAGGAGGGCTGGGTGGGTCCCAGATTCAGTATGGGTGCTGTGGAGAAAAGAAAAATCTTGCCACATGGGGAATTAAACCTGAGCTTCTGAACCCATAGTCCATTGCTGTACCAACTGAGCTTTCATGACTCCTTCAGAAAGATTTCATTTAATGACATCAGTAGGTCAAACTATACGAGGTTGAGTGATAATGTATGAGTAAGGAATTGGGAAGGACATAGAAGGGAACAGTAATGGCCTAATGCTAGGTACATTTGCCTGAGTAAAATAATGAAAAACCACAAGATGGTTTGTTCCCCTGCCAAGAATGAGACTGGACAACTTTTGAGTATTTATCAGGAGTGTTACTGCTTCAGCAAACTTGGTAAGTGCCGAATCCTGATTAGCAGTTCACACATTAAATGTAGACGGAGCAGAAATTTATTAAATAGTGTTATGTAATTGCAGTTTTTGAAGTAATAAGGTTTTATTCGTTCTCTTGACTGAACTATTTACATACATTTTTCCATTTCAGATCACGTAATGCTATGAGTCGCTCAGTGCCTACTATTCATGCACAACCGCTGCAATCACCACAATTTGTGCAGGTTGAGGTATCTGATGCAGATAATCAACAGTTCATTGTTTATGCAGACTAAATACCTCATTTTCCTTCATGCCTTAATATTGGTTGTTGGGGTAACATTTCTGCTACCACATGACTTATTTTATTGAGTGTTGTGAAGTTTGACCCGTGCAAGTTGAAGTGAGGCAAGGTGGCATTTCAAGACCTTCACAGCACTGCTGATATTGTGGTGTTTAGTGAAAGAGTTAAAGAATGTTACTCTTGACAAAAGGTACAAAAACATTAAGAGCTTACCATAAGGCTGGCATATGAAAGACTGAAAACGAGAACCCTGTTGTTCATATGTAAACCATCCTAAAGGTTGGAATGGTTGATGTACATTTTAACTAATCTTTTAGTTACAAAGTACTGGATATACCTACAAGAATTATTGTGTGTAGTGGTGGCCCGTTGTGCCATGATATCGAACTTTATCCAGATAATAACAAACTGTTGAAAAATACCATTATATTTTTAAAATCCAGTTTTGTCTCATTGGTTTGAAAGTGGAAAGTTTCATGTTCAGCTTTGAAAACAGGACTGTGCATGGAGTTTGGGTTGTCACCAGAAGCAGACAAGGACCCGGTAGAATTAAGCCCAGATACTGTTCTATCTCAATAAGGTGGCAAGGGCTCAATCTATAATTTTGTATTTATTGTGGACACATCATAAGGCAATTGTGTGCATTTGGCAACTGTATTCTGAATGAAATATTAGATATGATCCCTTAATATTTTTAAAAATAAAACAGAAAATTATACGAATTGTTTCCAGCATTTCCTTTTCCAGAACTTATTTTCTTTGGTATTCTGAGACTCTTGTGTGTTTACATATAATTAAATTTATGAATATTATAGAGAAGCACATAGCAGTTAATTATGTCCTTTCCAGTGAATCAACACACAGTGAGAGCATTTCATATTATGTTTACAATAGCAAATTTCTAGTGCTTGTCATCTTTATCTACTCATTGCTGTAGAAAGGTTGTTGATTTTATCCCCATATAAATTTGATACATTTCATCTGTTAGAATAAGGATATTATCCTTATGAGTGTGCAGTATAGTGTAACATATTTATTTGAAAGCCACAAGTGCACCATACTGCCCTTGTGCACTTCCTGGATATATTGCATTTTCTTCCAGTGAAATAATTTGTCATCTCTTTGCTAATGAAACTTCAGTTTTTCAGCAGTTGTTTTGGACTGTAGACATTCATGTTTTCTCATGTTACTTAAACCACCATTTTAAATGTTTCTGCAAGAGCTGCATATTGGCAGATTGATGTCATATGGCCCATGTATCACTTCTGGAAAAAAAAAATTATAATTTATAAGCTAAAATTACATATCTCACAAGAATAAATTAATGTAAAAGGCAGTCTGTCCTTTGTATATTATGGGCTACACCAGTGCAAAGTCCTGTTGTAATTAGACTTACTATATTGACTCCAGTAGGGACATGGCTATGAAATGTAAAATTCTGAGTCTGCCTCCAGGAGCGGAATTCAGATAAACATGGTGTTTAATTCTACATTTATGCTTAGCCTTTTCTGTGATTAAATGAGAACAGTTAACCTCTCCTAATGCAACAGATGAACAGAATCTATTGTTTTTTTCATCTTTAACATAAATCATATAGTCTCTCTCATAAGGTGTTTTGGCTGCAAGGAAGGAATGATTAATTGCCCAAGTGCAGGGACACATGAATTTTTTTTTAACAAAGGTTTATTTTCTTGTCTGGTGTAGTTAACTTTTTTTGTGTAGTCATACCAGTCATGTGTTAACAAGTCAGTCAGCACTAAATATTCTTAAATATATATAAAAATATGTACATTTCATTGTTTGCATTCACTGATATGTATTCAATAAATACGTATTACAAGTACGTTTTGTCTTTCAAGAATGGTATCTGGGTGAGTTTATGTGAAATCACACAACCTTACCCCCTCAGATTTTAATAAAATTTTGTGAGGTCCAACCTATCAGAGAGGTGAGTTGCCATTCCAATTTTTAGACCTGTAGGTGAAATACTTCAGTTTTTGGTTTATTAATATTTGAAGTTGTAAAAAATGACATTTCATGACAATGAGTCATGCTCATAAAATGCTATAGATGTGACCCTAATTGAGGTAGGAAGCTCAAATTAGTCTCATTTTAAGGGAAATTAATCTTTCCAGTGACATTATGCATTGTATTTAGAGAGAAAAGGTCTAATCATTTAAATTTTGAAAAGTATGATTCTTTTTTATATATAAATATATATTACACACGTGCTTATGCTCCATGTTGTCTGATTTCAAGTTTGCACTGTTGGATAGTTGGTGTAAAGTTGAATGGCTATACATGAAGTGAGATTGGATGTACTTTTAAATTTCATGTGTAAGAATAAAAAAGAGAGCAAACTATAACACATGTAGTGATAATAAAAGTGTATGCATTGTTACAAATTATAAAGAGAGAATACTGGTGACAAATAATGTTAGGAATAACAATCAAACTTAAATAAAAACTGCTTGTGATTTAATTACTTTCATTTTTTAATAAAATGTTCAGGCACATTATAAAAATATCTAGATTTTTCTAACATAGAAATGTCCATAATGTGTTACATCTCCAAAGGTCTTCCCAAGTGTGCCTGGAAAATTTGGGTCTTGAATGTAGGGAAGTGTCCTGTATTTTGGCAACAGGAGTTCTTGCAGGTGCAAGTCTGTTGAGTGATCAGGCATTAGGTAATTCTTTTAGCTCTCCTCCTGTTAGACCAGACATCAGCAAATATTGTTCAAGCCCTGGCACCATTATATAATTTTAGGTACTTGGTGATATTATTTATAGGTGTAGTTTTTATTTCCATGCATTAATGATTAAACCATTGATTCAGTTAAATATGAAATCTTGTTTTGCTGCTGTAGGTGCTATAGTCCATTTACTCATAATTAAGGTGATCATAATAGCTGTAAAAATTTACAGAATGTGTTCCCATGGATGACTGAAAAATTCCACAGTTTAAAACTAGAGCAGAAATTATATGTTATAAAATTTAGGTTCAGCATCCTCTGACAGGACCAGTGCTGTCTTTAAATGTAAGTCTTGTCAAGAGGTTGGGAGTCATCCAGTAAAGTAAAGTGGGTTACTGAGGCTTGGCATTCCAAAAATAGATGGTCAAAATTGATAATTTGGCAGCCAAAAATTGTTCACTTGCCACCAGAGAAAATACAACCAAAACTCTACTTCAACCGGGTAATTACAGGTCACATTCTGTGAGACAGACAAGAGCATAAGAGTGATTATTGTTAACACTTCTCCATAAATTCTTAAATGTGTCAAGCTACATAATACAAAAAGCCAAACAAGGTGTTAAAGAGCAAAGCATCATGACTGCCAAATCCAAGACCTGGCAGAAGTTTACATCAAGCTACAGATGATGTACAAAAATTAAGTAGTGATGGGAATGACTGAATTATGCTAGAGAAGATTTTTTCTGCCACAACAAGAATGACTGATTTATGCCAGAGAAGATTTTTTCTGCCACAGCAAACTTCTGGTGGTTAAGTTGTGCATAAATGAAACCAATGAAAAAATGAACAACTTTCTTCACCCTTATGGTCCTTCATACATTTTTCCACCTCATTCGTAAATTGTGTGGATTCATCAGCAGTGCTAAGGCAAATCCAAGGACTAATAGAAGATGTACATAAAACTTCACTGATGCTGAAAATACACATGTCGGCAACACAGAAAGTAAATGAACTACTGAACCGTGTGGTTGCTGAAACATTTTTAACCACCTCTTTTTCAATAGTCACATGGATGCTCTGCTGAAAATGTTAGCCAAAAAGGCCGAGAAGGCCCAAAAAAATATCTTTAAAGGGGATGAGAAGAAGTGAAAGAGGAAGGAGAACAGTGCTACATACATTTACAGAGTCCTTAAACAGATATCTCCAGTTACAGGAATTAGTTTCAAGGCAGTGAGTATAAAATCGTTTTGTGAACTATATCTTTGAGTAAATTACAGCTGGGCTGCGCCATAGCTCAAGCAGTTAGTCACTGGCTTCCCACCGCGGCAGCCCGGGTTTGATTCCGAGTCTGGTCAAGTGGGATTTGTGGTGGACAAAGTGGCGCCATGGTGGGTTTTCTTTGAGTACTTCGGTTCCCCTGCCAATCTTCATTCCACCAAATTTTCCATCATCATAATAAATCACCTGGGGCAGGTACAATAGGCCAATCAGTGGCCGCCATGCCAAGTGTACCCAGTTGGACTCCACTCCCCACTAAGCATCCAGGCTGGCTCACTGCAGCAAAAGGTCCACAATCACTAGATGAGAAATGCAGACTGCTGTGCAACTTTGTTGCCATGAGAATTTGTGGAACAGGGTCACAGATGGTACAAAGGCTATCACTAAATATATGAGCTAATAGATTACAGTACAGATCCCACCTTAATGGATAATATCCAGTCAGCATCACCTCTGACACAATCCCTAATACTATAATGTCAGCTATTTAAGAGCTACTTAACCCCTTTCAACTCCATTAACCCTGAACATGACAATTGAAGGTTTTGCCAAAATATTGCAAAACCCTCAACATTTAACATGTCATATTCCTGAAAGCTAAAGCAGCCACACACTATGGCTGTGAAAATCTACAGACCAGAACTTCATAAAGTCAACAGTCTATTTCAGGGTATATGTACATCAATACATATAAGAATTACATTTAACTCCTGAAGCTGTATTAACAAAATCTATTCCCTATAATATTTAAAGCAAGATTACCTTCAGAACTATTAGGCTTATTTTGGACTCTGTTTCCTTCATCTTCACTATATGCATAGTTACATGATTTTATACCAACTGATCCAATGGCAGTGACAATTCAAAATCAGCTGTATGTTACAGCATAATAGTGTGCATAAAAGAAATATTACTTTTAAAAATAAAGAATTTAATTTAGAGAAATTCATGTCAAGTTATACAACATTGAAAAATTAATTTCTCTAAGCATAGTGTGTAATACATCACTGGAAAATTTATTCAATTCACCTTAAAATATGATTAATTTGAATTTCAGATCAGAAGTAGGACAGAAGTATAGCAATTTAAGGACATAAAGCCAGCAAATCATGTTGTTAACGTCATATTTAAATAACATAATTTTATAATGCAACAATGAATTTGTTTTTTCCCCCAGGGACTGTTGTGCAAGAATCGTTTGTAGTCATAAGACTGATGTCTGGTGAAGTCAAATTTTTACTGCTTGCAAGTGTAGTGTGTATTATCAACATAACTACAGATTTTGTTCATAGAAAATCTGTTGGACAATCAGGGCTCTGAGTAATTCAGGAGTGAGATTATTGACTTGGGCTCATTGAAATTAAATGTTAAATGGGTGAAAACCTTAAACTGAGTAACATTAAAAGGGGATTTCACTGTATATGTCATCTCAACTCCTTTGTTATGTAATTCTTTCTGTTTCAGTTTTGGTCCATCTCTCTTTGATTAAAATATTCCCCTGCCAATCTTTTAATTTTTTTAGTTGGTGATTTAATGATGTTGTCGGTATTTAAACTAGTGTCAGAAAACAGGATGATTTAAGGAATGTGAAACACCTTTTAATGTTTAAGTCTTACAGGAGACAAGTGTTAGCTCTTACATAAAGTTACAGTAGGCTGATAGTTTCTTTGAGAAGGTAGACTGCTCTAAATTAAATGAGAGCATACAGAAATTCATCAGTTGTTAAGGTTTCAGGATAAGTGCCATATGATGTAACAGATTTATAGGTTGAACTAGACTGTACTTTGTTTTTTAAAGTAATTCTCATAAAGCAATGAACAATATATTTTTGCACAACAATTTGTATGCAAATACAAAAAAATTACACATCCATTTGCCCTTTTATTTTAGTCTTATAAAATTATACATAACACCTCAAAATAACAGCAGCCACAATTTAAAACACCCACATTAACATTATTATATAAATATTTACATATAAAATAGACATCAATTTATCACATCATACTTCACACCTATAGAGTACTACAGATACCTCAAATGGTCATTTGTATACCTCCAGATTATCAATATCTTGAATACTGGAGTTTGCTTCCTATGAAATGAAACTGAGAAGACAATGAATGTAGTCAAAATACGGACCCTTAGTATTTTTTCAAAAAGCACCTCAGACATGCCCCAAGTTAGAAGTTTCAACTCATAAAGAAGGCAGCACTTAATTTGTGCCTGCACTATTGTTCTCCTTGGAGTCTTCAAGAACTTAGCTGCCTAATTCAGTTTTGCATATGCCTTAATCAAAATATTTGAATCCTGACATAAGAAAGCACCATAAATGTTATACAGTGTCTGATATTTACCAACAAAATATGTATTTTTGATTGTAAACCTACAGATAGTCGGCAAATGATTATACATCAACCCCTCAATAATCTGGATTAATGAAGCAAAAAACAGTCCTAAAAGACCAAAAAAAAAAAAATTAGAAAACAGATGCATGGAAAATTTAATAATTTAGTGTTGATGAAAATAAATGAAGAAATATCACTGCAGCAATTTCTTCCTCTGTCAGAAGCCGAAATGCATGGTTTCCTTCATTCACCTGAAGCCAATCTCAGATATTTTCTTGTGTGGTTTTGGTCCCTCAGCACAGTCTGAAAGTCCTTTTGTGCTAATCTGTCTTGCTTCAAAATCCAATGTGTTTTTTAAAGTATGTACTCAACTGTAAACAGATTTTTTTATATTTCAGTCTGGATTAACTGTAATCGATTAGCAAGGGTTTACTGTAATACCACATAGTTCACATTTCTTATAACATTATTATAGCTATGGACTTCTTTCTTTTCCCTTATACCCACAGGCAGGTAGCAGTGAAATAAACAACAATGGAAAAGTGTAATACACAGAGTTTCCACATGCATTCTGAGTTCCTAACTGCAGTGGTTCATTATGAATATTAAACTGAAAGGTAAATACAGATTTCATGCAGCCATCATTCTGCTCTCTTATATTTTACACAAAAAAGAAATTTAATAGGAGCTGCATATTTTTCATAATTGCACTTCCACCTTACAAGTTTCCACCATGTTGATTTGTTCCGAGCATCTCCCATATACAAGTCTACAGTGTTACCACTACACAGCTGGGTGAATACTATATCCATGTTAGTAGGGTCCATTTCTTTCTCGGCATAATATCATGGCCAATTAAACGAAAATTGGATGGCCATCATATGTGCATCACATTGGCCCATGATGCATCTTCATTGTCATTTTTCAACTGCCAAATAGAAATATATGTAATGTTATGTTTTTGAAGAAACTGTATGTAGGCATTTGTCATGTTAGATAGCCATTACTGAAGTCTGAGATGTTAAGAGTATTTTAATGGACAGTCTTAAGATTATTTTTTGCCATTTTACATGTAAAAATCTGGTCTTTCCTGAATCTGAGGATTATACCACAACCTTCACATAAAAACAAATCTAATCTGCTACATAGATTCATGTCACATGAATACTAATCATACACAGTTTTATTCATTTGGCATACTAGCATTTTCACACTCAGTGAATCACATGCACCTTGTCAGGGAAGGGACTAACTAGGAACCAATTTACCTGAAATAAGTTTTAACCCAGCTGAAAGAAATTGAAAGTTTCAGGATTTATTAGAATACTTTTTCATTAAAAAATTGTATTTAATTTCTTTTATATTCAATAAAATGAATTTTCAGGGATGTCAAATTTTTGCTGGTATTTTGGTGTAATATTATAAAACTGTTAATATTTACATTGATATTTCATACAAATATATGTATTGACACTCTTTTAAAAAATATACATGTATATTCTCAAAATCGGCAGCTCTGTCTTACAAAAGTGAAATGCAATCTAATGTGGCAGTAGCCATGCCATGAAATTAGGTCTGTATTCATAAAGATGTATTACAGCTTTGTTCCATAGTACAAATACAGCATTAAGTAAGAATGTGTAGTGTTCTGATTTCATAACATATATAAAGTTTCTATTTTTTCTGTGAGCCACAGTATCAGATATGTGCACAAACACCACTAATGCCTTGTGCTTATACAAAGGAATGCTTTATTGAATGGCTGTAGAATGCTGTGAAATCCTTAAAAAGTAAAGAGGAGTTAAGCTACCAATATTCATACCAATCTCAACTAAAACAAACAAACTTCTTTTCTCAACTTATGAAATGTGTCTTCAATTAATAACCATGGTGATTTTCTGCAAGAATATAAGATTTTTAAACAGAATATAGCACTGATTCTAGCAATAAACAAATATTATAGTAACTTGCCTTTATTTGATTTAAAGAACAATATTTATTTTGGGTCAGAAGTTTTCATGATGGTGACTTAGAAAAGTACTGTCTTCTAGGCTGTAACACAATGTAGTTTGGAAAGTGCTCAACATTTTGGAGGAACAGACTGAGCTGAGCTTGTTGCCTGCCTCTGCTGGTTTCTTGCTTGTCTTGCTCTTTAACCCTGAACGTGGAGATGACATGTTCCTCCAAAACATTGGGCTATCTCCAAACCACGCAGTGTTACAATTCATACAACCATGCTCTTCGACAATTTATTTATTGTTTACTAAATGGTGGTGTTACTAGCTCAGGCTGTACAGTGTTGAATGGTAGGATGATTAATGAGTGATGAACTGGAAAGCATATGGAAGGAAGTGATCATGAAAGTGTATGATACTGTCTTGGCCTTTATATGAAGAAATTAAGGAAAACCATGGGGAACCTGTCAGGATAGTTGATTGTCTCGTTTTGAGATTCAAACTGAGCACCTCCCAAATACAAGTCAAAGCATTACCACTTAAATGACTTGTTCAGTTAATTTAAAGATCAAAAACAATTTAACTTTAAGGAATGAACCATTCCTGGTATTGAAAAGACAGTACACAAGGGCAGATTGTCATTTAAAACCCCTTTGTGGAGAATGTGTTCATGTGTATTCTGTTACGTTCAAGTCAAGTTTAGAGCCTAAAATTCCACTCACTAGTCAGTTATCATGAAACCAATTCTAATCCTGTTTACTGGATTTCTGGTAATACTCAAAACCCTTACTAGAATTTATCTTCAAAATTTATCTATAGTCTGTACTGGACAATTCAGAGTCTTTATCTAAAAAAGGTTTCAGGCCAATAAAATGCAATATATTCTCCCCTCAAACTTGGTTACATTAAATGTGGGATGATGGGAAAAAATTGAGGAACATTACAAAGGGCTTTTAATACATCAATCAACATTTGCTGCAGCAAAAAATTCTTAAACAATACTTTTGGAACTCAATGAGATGATAATTTTCTGTTATGTTTATTTGATATCAATATCTATTTTTGAAAACCTTGAACTTGATTAGATTCCATTAAACGCCAAACATTCTCCTTTATGTCTGATAATGATGTGCACTTCCCAGGATTTGTGTACAACAAAAATTGAAATTTTAATTCTGATTTAAAGCAACAGTTAAAATCTGGTCTGCTTAAGTGCAGAAATTTCTGTATTTGGTATTCCTGTTATTGTATACATGTACAAGGGCTGTTTGGAAAGTAACCTCCATTTATTTTAGGAAATTAATGTAGGAGCGGAGAACTCAAGCACAGGAGGTAGCGTCACATGACTCTTTGCCTTGTAAACTATCACGTAACTGGTAAACTAGTGTTTGTTCTTGTCTCTATAGAGTGAGTTATAATGTGTCCTATGATTGATAATCCTGCCAGCTGCCAAATTTGTACTGTTTGTTCATGCTAAACACATGAGCGCTGCAGAAATCCATAATGAATTATGTGCTGTTTACAGCCAAAATGTAATGCACTAAGAAACTGTAAGACAATGGTGCAGAATGTTCAAGGTGAAGAGCAAAGTGGTCAGCCATCCGTAGTAAGTGAAGATCTTGTTCGAAGGGTTGAGCAAAAAATTTGTGAAAGATGGCCCTTCACAATTTCAGCTCTCTCGTGTAAATTTCCATAAATTCCACGCACCGTTCTCTACCACATTATCACAGTCAGGCTAGGCTAACACAAGTGTTATGCAAAATGGGTTCTGCAAATGCTCACGGGTGCAAACAAAAGGTGGAGAACAGCTTTGGCTTTTGTCGACTTTTTCAGGGTGATGCCACAAATATGGCAATGTATTTCTCAATCACATCATAAGAAGTTATCAAACTTAGGTTTCATTTGTGAATGTTGAAACCAAATGGCAGTCAAAGCAGTGGATGCACACACATTCACCAAACAAGTTGAAAAAGTTTAAACAAACATCTGCCTGCCGGAAAGCTTGATGGCAACAATGTGTTGACATCTGGAACAGTGCTCCTTCATGACAATGTGCATCCGCATATAGCTGCTTGCACTCGAGAACTGCGGGAGCATTTCAACTGGGAGTTCTTTGACCACCCTCCTTACAGCCCTGACCTTGCTCTGAGAGACTACCATGTGTTTACCCACCTGAAGAACTGGTTGGGATCACAGCACTTCAACAATAATGAGGACTTGATGGAAGGTGTCAAAACATGGCTCAGCTCACAGGTATGCAAAAACTTATACCCTGATATAAGTGCCTCAATTTCACCAGTGACTATGATGAGAAGCAGCTATATACATATTTCAGATGAATCAGCCACACACATCCTATTTGATTGTGATTTAAGATATCGCCACTTGGGTCAATTCTTCATGGAACCAAGTGACTTTTATGACGTCCCCATAAACAAAGTCCTACATTTCATTCGAATTGTAGGATTAATGAAGGGTTAATCCAGTGGGGAAGCACAATAGACCACTGAAGGTCACAGTGCTAGGGCCAGTTTTATGGCTCACCCCTCATACTCAACTCAACTCAACTCATATACATATTTATCTTATATAATAAATTTATTTTCTTGCTGCTTGTTTTGTTAACAGATCACTAGAGTTTACTTTCCAAATAGCCTTCATGCAAGGTTCAGAATTAACATACTGGCCTAAAAAATGTGTATAATCAACTGAAGTCTTCAACACAAAACAGAATTTGCTTTGGTGTTCTTAGTTTTATTTGAATTGTGATACATATCAAGAAATGTAAAGAACAAAGTAACCACAGTGAAACAGACATTTTGGAAGACCAGTGTAAAAATGGAATGATATAATTAATTCTGGAGAAAATGTTTTAAAAGGAATTTGGACACATCTGATCTGGCCATATCTTAATGCTCGATTGTTTTTATACTCAAACACAAAATTTGTATCCAAATGTCAGTGATGCTACTAAAAATGGGTCCACGAAGAATCCCAGGCCTCATGATGTTCACTTCCATTGAGGTTATATGTAGGTGCACAACTGAGAAGAAGAAGAAGAAATATGAAAACTGTGCATCTTCCCACATTATTACCAAAACATGATCCCAGTCAAAACTTTTCTGACATCAGCATCTGGCTTATATGCATAGCATCTTATCCCTCTCTTCTGCAACCCAAAAAACTTGGCACAAAATTGTCTTAATTTCTGTGCAGAACCTTTGGTTTAAAAGGAATTAACTTAAAAAGTTTCAGCTCAAAGAAATGGATTAAGATGGCTATTTCACAAATCCTAATCATTTTTGATCTGTAATAAATCTTAATCATTTTTAAAGTGTAACACAATATTTATGTGGGAGCACGCAGTAGTGTAGTGAGTTGAGGCACTATGCTACAAGCTGGAAGGTTGCAGGTTCAAGTCCCGATGAGGTAATTGGAATTTTCAATTGACCTAATCCTTCCAGCCACACTATGGCCCTGGGGCCCACTCAGCCTCTAACAGAAATGAGTACCAGGAATATTCTTGGGGGTAAAGGGTGGCCAGCGAGTAGGGCTGACAACCTTGTCGCCATCTATGAGGTGATTGTCTAGAAAATTGGGAACCTCAACATCTCACAACCCTATCGGCCTACATGGCCTGTTACAGGGATACCTTTTTTCTTTTTACTTTTTTAATACAATATTTTTGTGATTGGAAACAACATATATACTGTACTCCTTCAAATATTTCACAAATGCAAAAGGTTAAAAATGGCAAGTAAATTATAGAAACAATCTCTCATATTCTTAAAAAAAATAAAAAAAAATCAAACAACAAATTTACTAGATAACAGGATGGTGAATCCAATAACCACATTACTTGATATCCCTGAACATTTTGGCTGATACCCCTCATGTCTTCATATTACAGGCATGGAGGCAATGTCATGCTATATCTGGGAGTAACTTGAGTCTGCTTCCTCATTACATGAAGTCGCTATCAGCAGTGCTTGAAGTAGGATTGGGCAAAGAAGGATGCCATAATGCCATTTTGCACAAAAATCAGCTTTATCTCATTCTTGAAGTTGCCTTGGGCTACGCAAAGAACCTCTCTCCTCATCCCATCCATATTATTACAAATGGCTGCCTGTGGCACACTGCGATAAATAAAACTAAACACAGAAGTTTTGTACTTTCTGCAAATAGTTTAATTTCATTTCAGATCTTATTTTATAGTTTTGAAGTGAACTTTTCTCCTTCATGTTGCAGTTCGCATGTGACTACTCCTGTGTAGCTGAAGGTCATCATTTGCATGGCATGCAGTGCAGCATGGCTTTGTTTATCCCCTGTCAGCTGCAAGCTATTATTGTTTATTCTCTCTGTGTTGCATTCGAGTGTCATAGTTTCTTTGGAAGCGACTCTGAGGTAATGAATGACATGGTGTTGAAAAGAAAGACACTAACAAAAAGTTAGACAGCAAAAAGTATTTAGTAGGCAGATAAGAATCCAGCTGTGTTAAGAAATGAAATTGCAAAGTGTTTTGTGCTGCCTCCATCGTCAAGTAATGCAATGCTATGGAAATCTTCAGTTTTTGAAGAGGAATGCTGGTGTGGGTAACATCCTGAGAAAAAAAAAACTTTAATTTTATTAAATAAACAAGGTTCAATGCTTCATAATTGATTTAACTAAGTTTAAGAGTTATTTTTGGCTTTGTTTTCCAAAACTCCCACTTAAGGTATAAAAAGCTTGTTCCACAGACAAACCTTAAATCAGGGTTTCACTGTACATGGTGTCACATCACATAAGACTATTATCTTCAGTGCAGGGGTTAGTTCAATGTAAAGAAAAGGCTAATAAAAATTCAGAATAACTAATTAAACCAAATATATATGCTGGTCCAATCTCAATTCTAACTGCATGGGAATGAGGTATATTAAATTCCATAGAGGCCCAGCAAATAAATTTTAGACTGGGATAAACGGTATTAGCACTGAAAAACTACAATGCTTGACCAGTTGGACCGCGTGCATGCGCCACTATGATGGTGCAGTACATGGCCAATAAGGTTAAACAAGAAGTTCTGGTAGGCAATTATAATGCCTTCTTTCCTTCAAATGTTTCAATATGAACTTGCAGCTTGGCTCATAATTAATAATCGATCTTTGAGCATAATTTACACTAAAATTTATATTAAACTTGTCAGATATAACTTCAAAATTTCAACCCACTGCCATATCTGTAATTGTTAACATGTAAAAATTACTTATTTTTAATTTGTATGTACATTTAAGATTTGCTACTTACAAAATTCCATATCTGACACCATTGAACGATAAGTTAAATATACATTTATTCAATTGGCAATCATGCTATCATTTTACATCATACACATAATTACTGAAACAAAACTGCGTGATTTGTGAAGTTCTATTACTTACACAAAACGTCAGTCAAGTAACACTACCAGTATGCTCAACTTGGAAGTTGGCATGACCACCATCTTAGAATTATTGATGGCAGGAAGTTAAAACATATGAAAGTAGGGTGGATACTCAAGGCAACATATTCACTATATGTCATGAAGATCCAGCACCAGAATAAAAATTAACTGGCAGAACAGGCAAACATACTGACAGAACAAATTATTCATGACCTAATCGGGCCCTTTATTAATTTTTCCAAATTCAAAAATTTTGCAAAACATCCCATTACTCTTTCTTCAACTGAACTCTTCCACTGTCAATGCTTAAGACTCAGTCATTAATAAGAAAACATGGTAACATATCTCGTAAGCAGTGAAAAAGTTACGAGATTTCACACACCATCCCACTTACTTTCCCTACTTCAAGCACTGTCTGCAATAAGACCCTTGTAATCTAACATGAGTTATGGACCATGCTGTCTCGATCCATTTATCACACCGTAACTTGCACATCTGTTCACTTTCAGTGATGATGTCCCAATGATAGAAGCAGGGGCAACAATGCACCAATAATCAGGAATGTGAGCTCAACTGTACGTAATCCCTTCCTCTCAGATGTTTCAATGACAGAACCCCCATGTGAATGACCACTCTTGGAAGTGAGCTCTGGCAGGACATGTACTGTCGCCACATATAGGAATGTGCCTGCACTAAATAACATTGCAATTCCAGTTGCATTTATAGATGACAGTGTTTCTTTGCCTTCCTGTAATCATAAAGATATCATAAATGATACTGGATGTTACAAAATACTGTATTTACGCATGTATAGGCCACACATTTTTTGCCAAAAATTCAAGAGGAAAACTGGGGTGCGGCTTATATTCGAAATCACACTTCATTTAAAAAAAAATTATATTCATAATTAGTAATACAGGGTGTTCTACTCCTGAAATAATATTCCAAGAAAATTATTTTTTCTATAATTTCTGTCTGAAAATTGTGCTGCGGCCTATACATGTGTAAATACAGTATTCATGAAAAGCATTTTCATTAATTACATCTTGATTTGACTAAAACAAACTAAGTGACTCATTTCCTTTAATACTCTTCTTTATCCTAACTTACAATCAATTATTACATCAGACTGAAGTGATGCAGTATAATCTGGTAGGCAGATACATTCTGGAGGAACATGCTGTCTCCATCTTCAGATTATCTGCCTACAAGACTACACAGTGTCACAACTCACAAGGCCATAATCTGAACAGTCACCACCATTAAAATCTCAAAATTTATATCAATTATTACTTCTCTGTTACAATCAACACTATGGCGCCAATACTGAAGAAATATAAAATCACATTAACTGCTTTTTTCCCAAGAAAATTTACTCAGGTATCCCATCACTATGGCCATAAATTTCCCATATTAACATAAATTATTGCTCAACTGTTGCTGTCATCATTTTCTGTGTTGATCTTTAACCCTTACACTGCTGCGGTCAACATATGTCGATCTCTTAAAAACATGGTGTCCTTGCTGCAATCGACAAAACCCGTATTGCAAATTTTGAGTTTCAAATCTCAGGTTTCTTTGCACCAACCTCATTCGATCTTGGTGGGTGCATAGAGTCATCTATTGGGAACGTAATGAAGCATCATTCATTTCAATGGCTGCATTCTTCTGCCCTCTAGCTTAAGAAATGTAAAAGGTTGCAGCTGCACAGCAAGGCACACGCTCAGTGGTCATGTGGCGCGGGTATTTTACAGGGCTAGTAAAAATGGCTTCACATAGTGCGCGGCGCTTTCTGTAATTGTTTTAAATAAAGTTGTGGACTTCGGTCAACATGTGACATAGTGATAAGACTAGGATAGTGAATTATGTACTTTTTTTGGCAATCTTGGACAACCCTAATTTAAATTGATATTTCCCCTGTGAAAAATACTGAATAATTCAACATTTTGCAACTTCTTATGCCTGTTCCCTGTCTGAGGTAAGATTAGTTACATTTTATCACAAATGTTCATACTTTGCACTTAAATTATTTATAAAAGATTTATTCAAAAATAATTCAGCACAGAGTGTACTGAGAGCTACTTAACATACTAGTAATAATGCACATATCCTAATATCAATTAGCTTAGTTTCTTCATATAAATTAACTACTTCAGAACCATATGTCACAGTCTGTTTTAATATGAGGCTCAGATCACATGCTTCATCTCTCAGCCTAGCCCTACTCAAATCTCAGTGATATATCATCATACTCGGTGAAGACAACAACATATTGATTACACAGTGTAGTTGGTACAGCGACTGGCTATGGGATGGATGACCGAGGGGTCAGACTTCAAGTCCTGGTAGGGTCAAGAATTTTCTCTTCTCCAAGTCATGCAGATGGACTCTGGGATCCACCCACCCTCCTATCCAATGGGTACCAGGGGCTCTTCACAGGCATAAAGCGGCTGGGGCATGAAGCTGACCACTCACCTCAAACTGGTGCCGAGGTCAAGAAAATTTGGATCTATACATCCACTCCCCCATATGCCTTCATGGTGTAGTGCTTAATTAGTTAAGCACAGGGACAAGTTTACCTACACAGATTCGTAACAGTGCAGAGCACACTTAATAAAATGTTATATAACATGTTCAACTCACCTGTCCTATACCAAAAAATGTAAGAAGTGCAAGGAGAGGAGCTGATAATGAAAACACTAACAGGTGCCTCCTAATACGGTTTCGATCCAAACCTTCATGAAGTAAAAATGTGACCAAACCAAAGGCTGCTGGTGCCTGCAACATAAAGTACGAGATTAGTAGATGTTCTTCACAATGTTCAGATACTGCTCAGTACCATCCCACCTCTTTAGTGAATCAGATATCATATTTTCTCTCATTTCAACAATACGTGGAGTTAATATACACCTGAACACACTGTCAGCACAACCCTGTATACAATTATTATTAATTATATATCATAACTTAGTTACATGTTTAAGCGGCCTCCGTAGTCTAGAGGTAATGTTCCCACCTCATGACTCGTGGTACGCGGGTTCAAATACCCAGCGGAGGTAGTCGAATTTTTAAGGGCGGAAAAATTCAGGGAACAAGTCCTCCGGGAGGGACTTTAAGCTGTGTGTCCCGTGTCGTAACTTTACGGCATGTAAAAGAACCTCATATCCCCAAAGGGGATCACTGAGCCAAATTCCAGGACGTTTCCTGCCCAACAATAGTCTCTAAGGCCTCTGATGGGGGAAGCATTATAGATACCGCTAAGCAAGTGGCCGAACTCGCTTGCTCGGTGGGACTGATGGTACGCACCATTTATTGGTAGGGTATAGAGACTGGTAGAATATCATAGAGGGAAGCACAATAGATCAAACTGGTCGCGGTGCATGGGGAAACCCACCCTCTCTAAATAACTAACTAGTTACATGTTTTGATTAGTTGGTTACCATCAGGCTACAGTGTTCATTCTAGCAAAATTGCAATTATTCCTTACACTGTAAATATTGACCAGTATCACAGTTGGATTACTGCTTAATCATTAGATATTATCATAAAGTTAAAATCATTATACAATACCACATAAGTCACTATTATAATGTCTTGTTTGAAATGTCCGGAATTAGTTCTGAGGCCTATTTGTCTGTGTCTCACATTCCACTCTTCGGCTGGTGTGACCTTTCACTGGAAGGCTTCCTTCCATTAAGACAGTAACATGTTACTGTATGTGAATAATGGGAGGTCCAGTCTATGTATGATAAATGTTGTTAGTAAAGCCACTTTACTTATCTGATATTATAATAGATGCTGAAAATGGTGTCATCCAAGATGCAAGAACAGAATACTTTTTATATTATTATGAAATATGCTTGGATGTTGGATGGCACTATTTTAAACAGCTATTGTTAATATCAGGTTAAGTAAAGTGGGCTTATTGAAAACATTTATTGAGCAGACATGGGACCTCCAATTAGTTCTATGTTGTAGCATGAAAAGAACCCATCCACTATATGGCATCCTGTTCTAGATGTCGCAGTAATAAGGTCACAAATGGAGGAATGTACCTTTCTGTACACAAGGTGCACTAAATGATGATGGAAACATTATACTTCTCTTAACTGGAAACACTGCCTTCCAGAGTAACATCTTACCATGCAGAATTACCAAAGGGATAGTATACCTCTAATGTTGCTTGACCAGTTAGGGAATATCAGTTTGGCCCACTGCAGCTGTTCTAAGGACAGTAATGATGACTGATACTAAAGAGGGGAAAGGAAGTGGTACGAGGCAGGTAATATCACCTTTTTGATAAGGAACTGTACTCTCCTTTATTGGGTAAGACTATTTAAACAGACAAAAAACCTCCAGTCAAGAAAATGGCAATGGATGACAATGGACCTCTTGATTAAAAGGTTAGGTGACAATAATATGCAATAGAACAAAAATCAACCACCATGAGAGATGTAAGACAGAAAATTACTTAATATGCATCTCCACTGACTTCAAATAGAGGTTAATTGTGTGGATATTCCTTATGGTACCTTGTGGAGCATGATGGCAATGAACACAATCATCTCGACTCCAGCTTGGTCTGTAGTTGCTGCCGCTCCGAGCGCAACTCCATCAGCTGTACACAGGAGAAGAGATGACCTCAAACTTCGTTGTTCCTTTATTATTTGTTTTCAAAATGTGAGCACTGTATTTTTGTATAAAAAATTCTGAACTCGTTTTGAGATTTTGAATGCATCAGCAATGATAAGGTGTTTCATGAATGCACGATAAGGTATGGGTTAGTTCCTTTAAACTGATATCTCTATGATCCAATGTCAGATATTTGGAAGAAGTATCCAAATAAATGTGAATAATTACAAAACAAGTTACAAAACATACTCATATGCAACAAATAAAATGCATTTCATAATGTATCCACTAACAGCAGGTCGTATCAGTACATCTAACAGCCATTTTCTCAAAAATTAATGAAAGAATTAAAAGAAAATCTGAAGAACATAAAGTATTTAAATGATTACATTCTCTTAGTCTTGTCCGATTAATTTTCCAAATTGGCAAATTTTCGCACAATTTTTAAAAATGTATTTACACATTCAGAGTGACAGATCTATACCAAGCAAGTGGGCTAAAGCAGTAATGCTTTTGACTTGCATTCTGGAGGTGCTCAGCTTGAGTCTCAGCAAGGACATGAGCTATAACAGCTAAGGTTTTTCATGGTTTTCCACCAGTGCCTGAAGTAAAATTCCATGATAATGCTGCTATGTAGGCCATGACAGCTTCCTTTCACATCCTTTCTAATTCACAAGGCACTTATCCTGCTACATAGTCTGAGATACTAATTGCATTATTAAATAAACCATAAATAAACAAAAGACAGATCTAGCTGGCCAATATATGCTAAAATTATCAGTACTGGAATTAATTTCATACTGAATAAAAAATTTCATGAAAACACATCTGTGGATGGGGTCATATGCATGTAGGCAGACAGATATGCTTATATGCATAAAAACATATTTGATTTGCTTCACTTTTATAAATTCCTATCATAAGGAACTAGGCAACATTACTTTATGTTCATACCAAGGCCTGCACAAATTTCTCATAATTCTTGACGTCGTATCCACAAAGTGGGAGCCAGAATAAAAAACAAAATATCATGAGTAAAAAATTTATTTATTTTTATTGATAAAAGATTGAACAACTGAAACATTTATGTATAAGTAACAGCTAATTTTGATCATACTTGGGGAAACTCCAATGTGCCTTGCTAGGACAGGCGGAAAACCCCTAATCATCTTCTGCCATTGCTATGATATGGAGAGTAGAATGATGGCTGGATGGAGAAATAAATAGGATGGAACAGAACAAAGAAGAAAGGAGGGAAGGATATAAATAGTTTAAGGAACTCAACAACTTGGGTGAGAGAAATGTTTCAACATGGAAAGAGGGGAAGGTAGGGAAAGGGATGAAAAAATGAACACGAAATAAGGTTTGCAAAGCAATAAAAAAAGACAGGAAGGACTGAGAGAAAGATGCAAATAAGATTACGGAAATCAAGAAAAAATTATTTCGCCCATCATTTTTTATGGGTCATGGACTAGTAGTAATATAATTGAAGAAAATTCTAAGCACCTTCATGAATATGTTACGCAACCTAATGCTTGAAATTTGTGCAGGCCTGTTCATACCCGTGGTCCAAATACACCATTTCAATTTATTATTGCTCTCACCACAAATGACCACAATAAAGTAGCAGTACTATGCAGCAAGAACCAAGATTATTTATTTAACCCAGTGTCATCATCAATGTGATATTTAAATACTGGAATTGAAATTAAAACTCACAAATAATCCAAATAAACGTATTTGTAATATGTTAGCCACATGAATTTCCACATAGATAAGTGGCAATCCATAAGGCCAATGCATTACTCATGCAGTTCTTATCACAAGAATACATACTCATTTTACCACAAAATAACTATACTTCATATTAAAGTATGGAATAAATAATATTTATGTTGTGAGTTCTAAATTTTTGGTCTACCTGGATACTAGGTTTTTGAAGGAGAAAGGATAAAGAGATCAGGGCCTAACTTAAGTTACTCCTGGAGCATTACTTAGTGATATAGAAGAACACCAGCAAGAACCACAACCCAGAAGAGCTAATGCCAATCAGAATTCTGACTGTACTTCTTGAATAAAAAGTTGGATTGGAATCACAGTGTTTGGCAGAAAATAGAGAAAAATGTCATTCATTCTTTAATTTTTCATATTTGCTACATTAATTGCATACAGCAGGGGTGAACTAGAACCTTGTCTCACATCGGTTTGGCCAAACTGATACTTCAAAATTAAGACTTCCTTATCACTTCCATGACTGCACTATGGTAACACACGTGCATGTGCACACAAAACAAAGACACTGTATCCCTTTTTTACATTCTTGGAGTAGGCTAATATATAACTGTCAACTTACAATTGAAGATGCAGACCTGTTCTAAAAAAGTTTGGCAGCACATCCCTCGTATACAGTAAAACAAAAATACCGTATTTACGCATGTATAGGCCGCATATTTTTTGCCAAAAATTCAAGAGGAAAACTGGGGTGCGGCTTATATTCGAAATCACACTTCATTTAAAAAAAAATACATTCATAATTAGTAATACAGGGTGTTCTACTCCTGAAATAATATTCCAAGAAAATTATTTTTTTCATAATTTGTCTGAAAATTGTGCTGCGGCCTATACACGCATGCGGCCTATACATGCCTGAATACGGTAAATGCAAATTTAGTAGTTCCGTCATTATAATAAGTTCTAAGGCTTTCAATGTGGTGACTCTAAAGAATGTGGTCTTCTGGGTTGTGCCGCCAAAGAGGTTTGTAAGCTGATTCTGCCATTTCAGAGAAACATGCTACCTCTCTCTACAAGACTACACAGTGTCAAAACCCAGAAAATCACATTCTGGAGCTTCATTGTTACCATTACTGAAAACACTTAAGAAAATATGATCAACTCTAATGGTCTTGACTGACGTATTTATTTCATGGCTAAAGAAATAATATTTTGCAAAAGTGCTAAAAAGAAATGAAGAAAATTCTAATGACATAAAACGTTTACCTCTAACTTTTGCCTGAAACATTACTCAATTCTGGGTATATTCAAAGAGATAAATGCAAAAAATTTGTTGAGATCATCAAGTAAAATTCTTCTCTCAGTTTTTCAAAAATGTTCTGTCACTTAAGTTTGATAGACAGGTTTCCAAACAAAATTTTATCAGAAAGCTATATTAAGTTGAAAAGTTTAAAACCCTGACATAGAGAACAGAATGCCTGTAAGAACCTGGTTTCTTCATTTTGTACAAACAACGCCTGAAGATTAGTATAAATCACTGTGCTGACCACACCCACATATCCGCATTAATTTTAAGTTTAATATTGACAATGAACTTTCCATGGTTTCTACTGTCTTCAGCCATGGATACATAAATATATTTTCTTTAACAATAATCTTGTCACTATTCTTCATACAGAAAAATTCTTATGCTTATACACATTAATGAATTAATTATACCTTCTACACACCTTAGAGGATACGTCTTCTGTGTACCCTTTTTAAGAAAATTTTGAGATGGACTCGAACTACAACAGCCTACTATATACAGTGCAATCAACAGCTGTTTTTAGGCAGTGGTGATGTGTTGATCCTTACCTGCAGCATGGACCACAAGACCAACTGTGGCTGTTATGTTCTTATCTGCTGACTTTGAGCCACCTTCAACATCTGGAATTAGAATAAGTTACAATAAGATTTCCATGTCTTTATGTATGAGAATACCAAAGTACAGCAAAGTTTGTAACACTGACAATGTCAAGGGTTAGGATCCACCGAGCTTTTCCTCCATGACCTCTATATGCCTTCATGATGTGCTTCTTAGAAATCATCATCACTGTTGTTGTTTTCACAGTTATTCTCATTATCAAAACTCTGATATTCTCTATAATAGTTTCCCAAACTATTAATATCCACCTCAGTCTCTAAGTTTTCCTAAGCTGCGAACCTATTCGATATTTCAATATGACACTGCTCGTTACACTCTACCTCATTTCATTTCTTGAGATTACCCAAACCTTATATACATAACAATATTTGCATATNATTATCATGTATTATTATATACTTATTATTATTTAGTATTAGTATTAATATTAATCTTTGACTTGTCCCATATCATGTATAATGATCCATGGATGAAATAAAATTGAATTGAATTGAACTGAATATAAATGACATCATTCCTCACCTCTTGAGTTAACTTGCTAGTTGGAATCGTTACACTAATGACCTTGCACCATGGAGTAATAACATTTTAAATAGTTTACTTTTGTTTTATTTATTTATTACTTAATGATTATACAGCGTCTAACTAACTGGTTAGGTAATGACAAATGAGAAGATGATGATGAATAATGAACTATGGATGATATGCATAAAGCATTCATGTTCTCACGTTTAGTTAGTACTCTAGTATTTGCCTGGAAAGATTAATGAAGCCACATGTCCCCAATACTATCTACAATGTCTGATACAAACAGCAAAACTGCTATCTACACTGCAATGTTTTGCATGAAAAATATGTAACCAGTGTTGTCTGTGATTCCTTGATATGGAAAGTGGTGTTCTCATCTTCGATTTATATATATATTTTCAAGTATTAGATTTATTCACTTACCTCTACTTCTGGAAACGGAGCACTGGTCAACTAATAACATAAACACAAATCCAAGAACTAAAGAAATTCCTATAAGAGTATGGATGTCTGCTGATGACGTATGTTCATCACGAGCAACTGCCACCTCATTTTTCGTTGTGGAAGCAAGTGCTGAAACAAACGCAGTGAATATTATACACCCTATAACCAGAGAGTTAGTGATCTAAAATCCTCGTTTAATTTGTATAAATATCTCAGATTTATTATTAGCATTTTCTTACTGTGAATGGTGACTGCCGTATTCAATGATCTAACTCCTTCTGGAATGATTACAGCTAAAGCAGTTCCCACTAGTAAGCCGGCTCCAAGAATAGAAACCAACTGCAACTTTTCCTAGGATAAGAACAAATCCTCTTGGATATGAAACAAAATGTTCTAACAAGAGTCTGTGAAGTCTGCATATTATATATATATACGTAAAAGTTTCAAGACAGTATTATAATTTTACCTCTGACATAGGCATAACCAACGGTACAGATCCAACAAAATAGCTTCCCACCAACATCACCACCGCCAGAAGAATTAAAACAATCGTCCCTTCCATATTTATAAACTCCACCTTCTCTCCGACGACAAATTTGTCGCCTACTACGTCTGCTAACCTTACGAAAACGCGAACATTATTATACGTACAAATCAACTACATTCTGCACACGGGGCAAAGTAAACGTCAGCCACACACAACTTAAAATACCCATGACGCCCATGACAATAACATAAATTTACCGTGTTTCCTTATCGAGATCGGCCAGACCTTATCGCTAGCTTCGAGATACCTTCGTAGATTATTCTTATAGTCAATGAGATGTCAAAATACGGAACTACGTTTGTGGTCTACTGGTCAGAGTTCCGCTACAGATCCAGAGGTCTCGGGTTGGATTCCCTGCGCTAACAGATGTTCTGAGAAATAGTGGGTCAGGAACGGGGTCCACTGAGCCTCGTGAGGTGAGGAGCTATTTCAAAGAATAGCGGTTCCGGTCTAGAAAACCGAAATTAAGGGCCGTGGGATTTTTTTATTGTAGAAAAAATATTGTAAGTAGAAAAAAGGCCTAGGCAAAGCCCAACCGCCCTTCTATAGCACATTTTTACACACATCTTATTCTATAATAACGGTAAACCCGCGATTCTTAATATAGATCTTACTTTAAATCTGAGAGTATAAATCTGAGAGTATACTGTTAATAATCAGTACAATTACTTCGGCCGTGGGGATTCGTTGCCCTGACCACGCGGCACCCTCTATCCGCTAGTTTGCACTAACTTCGCCGACAAGCGGCGGTCGCTCGGTCGGTATAGTTCGCTTGCGGACTCAAGCCACGGAGTTTAGTGTACCAGTACTGATGAAAGGTAAAGATAAGGTTGGCCCTGCGTAGTTAATTAAGCATCACGCCGTGAAGACGTGTCGGGGAGGGGAGGTTTAGTTTCACCGGCTCCATCATTCTTGACCTCGGCACAAAATGAAAGTGAGGGGACAGCTTCACGCCTCGGCTGCTATACCAACGGAGAAAAGGGCCCCGGTGAACTTTACATAGGAGGCTGGGTGGGCCCCGGAGCCGGTCTGGACCCCGTGGAGAAGAGAAAGATCTCTTGCCCTGCCGGGAATCCAACCCCGGCCATCCAGCTCATCGCTTTAATGACTGAGCTATCCTGGCTTCCCCTACAAGTTCTGATGCGACTTTATAGAGAGATGGGATACTGGAAATATAAGCTGTTTAATATGAGAGCTAGAAGAAACANCCGCGGAGGGGAGTGGCGGGGAGCGCTACGTTACCGTGGAGAGGAGGGTGGAGGGGGGTTCTCAGTCGCGCAACATGTTACACTATATTCTTTGGGCATAATGCAGAGCTTTAGTAGGTGCTATATAAAAACCAGTGAGCTTTAAAGGGTTAATATTAAACTAACTCTCTACACAAGCCTCATCGGCTCCTATAGCCGTGAGACTCTAATATATTGTATGTAGCATGTAGACCCGTTGCTAAGTAATGACTCGGTGAACAGCGCCCGCCGCTAGGCGACGGATTCCCGACGAAAACCAGCATCCATTGTAAACGACAGACCCGTCCTCTCGTCAGACAGAGCGCACCACGTCAACAAACTCGCAACTCTCTGACAGTAATTAAAATTTGGTCTTAAGCTACAGATGGGCGCATTATTCCAACACAGGCTGGCCGGCTGACCGTCGGTCGTTGCATAAGACTCAGACTCAAACTCAGATCCATTAACAGAAAACGACTAGTGAAAGCAGACTGAGAAGACATAGCTTGTGCTCTAGTGATTTGTAAAGAGCATAGATTACCGATGACGCTATAATTATTTATACTTACCATTTGTAAGTGGCCAATAAATACAATTACCAAACCAGACCCCGTCTATAGGCGCCTCATACACGTGACAATGTAGTCTTGAGCGTTTTGAGTCCCCATGAATTTGTAATCTGTGACATGTTTTATATCCAGCCCTATGTGGAGATGATTGGATCCATGAAGTGAAAATAAATGTAAATGGGACTCGGAACCAGTAATGACTGTGGTAACGAGGACCAGCAACGATTTACCATACAGACAGACAGAAATTTGTGTATCAGCACTCGTAATTGATGGGTATTCGTATTACCTACAAAAAATAAGGGATGCATAACAAACTGAGAAATCTTATTATCTGCTGTGGTGTTGTAGACTGTTTAGATTAGTAACAGTGTTATGATCGTTTGCAGTTAAACTCAATAAATCCAATTATTAATCCAAATCCCGTGTCTAGCCACTAGTGCGTGACAATACGATATGTTTTATTTTTGGAAATTATACTCACATGTTGAACGTCACTTGTGTGATCCCTGGTGGCGAAATACTACAAGCATATTTCTCAAACGGTGCAGTACACTCCTAGATTTCGCATCAGTCAATGGTACAGATGCGCAGGTTAGGAATAATTTAGTGGGAAGGATCGGGAAGCTAGAAAGTCAAGCAAAATAAGGCACGTACTATTGTGCTGCTCGTGTTATTGGCGTGTTTATTTTGAGATTGTAGAATTGTACAGTTTTCTTGACGAAGTTTGCACTGTCGAAAAAATGGTAATGAAAGTAGTTTTAACATAAATAACGTGAATAAGCACTCTGTCTTTTGTTGCGTAGTCGGAAAGGCGTGCATATTTTAAGCTATTTTAAATTAAATTATATAAAATATTGTGTGTTGTATATACCAGTTAGGTGAGTTATTATCTTTTGTTTCAGTCACACACCATTCTGTTAATTCAGCCCGGTTCTAAACCTGAGACAAGAACATTTTCAGATTATGAGTCTGTAAATGAATGCATGGAAGGTGAGTAAATTTGGCAATGATACAGGTGCAGTGTACCTTTTGTATCAGTTGTAAGCGATGAAGGTGAGACGTTTAATAAAAAGTTTACAGATGGCCAGATTTGAAGCAACAATCGCGAAATTTAGACCAGTAAATACTTGCTGCAGTTCTTAGAAGTATGAATTTTTATATTGGCTGAACCTTGTTATTATTGGTCAGAAATTGTAATAAATAATATTTGGAACGTTAAGTGGAATAAAGATCAAAATAGTAATTTTTCTTGTAAGTGTAAAAGTTTGATTAATGTCATAGCCTAGTGTTATCTGTTTTGAAGGATCCACAGAATTCCTTCAGCAGTTGAATAAAAGAATATTATGCACACATTCAGGACAGCCTTTTTGTTTTGTCATTAGTTTATCAGATAAGCAATAGTTTTTAGTTTTCATTGGGAATAAATATGCTAAAATCTTCTTGCGCAATCAGATGTGTCATTGTTGAATGAAAAGCCAATATTTTGGTGATCTCTGTCTCCATCTTCAGAGTCGGTAGTTTTTGGTAATACAGTGCAATCAAGCTAGAATTTTGTTGCAAACCACTGAACTGTACAGGTGATAATTGTCCCAGCTAGTCAGTCCATGGAGAGTTGGGTTACTAGCAGAATTGACAAGCCTATGTTCAAACACATTACAAATAAAACTTGGCAGATTGCAGGTGCTGCAATTGTCCTGTTATTTATTTTGTAGTTTATTTAACAATTATGTCAGTAACACGGTGTCATTGATTGGATGATAGTGAATAATGAATTTGAAAGTGTGAAGGAATCAGTTGTGACCAAATTTAAGGCATTGTTCCAGCATATGCCTGGATGGATTAAGGAAAGCCACAATAAACTGTAGGATATTTGACAGCCTACCCAAGATAATGACTGGATGCTGCAAAATACACACCACAATAGGTCTACACAGTTACACGATTAATAAATAATTTCTGGTAAGAGGGATGCATTTACTGATGTTTTGGTGATGTAGTTCAATGTAAAAGAAATGTACTATTTGCAAAAAGATAGAAGTTTGATGGAAACATGTACATGGAAAGATTTTGTTCTGTACTTAGAGGTATCACATCCAGATCCCGAAACTTAAGAATCTTAAGAAACTAAGGCATAGATGCAAGATAAAATCTGAAAATACATTTATAAAAGTGAATGCTTGGTTCACTTTCTTTCAGTATGTATGGACATAAGAAATTAAAATTTTAACAGAATTTTATCACAGGTTTATCCAAAAAATAATTAATAAAAAAATCCCCAGAGAAGGAAGAAGTAAACATGGAATCATATCTAAGTACTCATAAAAGATGGTTTCCAGTCTCATTTTATTTACTTTATTGATATAATCTGTCTAAGGGAACCTCCAGAAGGCTGGTAAAGAATTGTAATGATGTCATTTCATAAGAAAAGGCATAAGGAAAAATGTTAATTATAGAGGAATCTGCCTGATTAGTTTAAATTAGCAGAATTTATGCAAAACAGTAAGAAATAGTTTCATGTTTAGTATAAGTATAAATAAGGTGAAGAATGTGCTAAATCTTCTTAGATGATCACCCTCCTCAGTGCTGAGTTAAAATCTGATATTTTAGAGATCTCCCCCTTCATAAACAGGGTCGGTGATGGAGACTGGATGTCAGAAACGTTGGTTTTTAACTCAACACTGACATATCTGATCACCTGAGAAGATTTTGGCACATTTTTTCACCATGAAAGCTTTAGATGTTACCTAACGTGATGAATGAAATGGAATCTAAGAGGTTGCTCATGTAATGCGCAGCTAGCCCTACTGTAGCTGGTAGGAGGAGGAATAACACCAACAGTACCCATGATAACAGGCATGGGCAGTGAGATAAGGAAGGGTAGTGCTGTAAAGAGAGATATAAACTTTAAAAACTATGTCACGCAGCCAGAAAATGATGACAATAAAATTACCATAGAAAGCAGCCACTACTGTACAGACAAATAGTTTCATTTTATTTGTGCTGTGGTGACACATGTTGTGTCGCCCTCGCTATCTCCCATCATAACCACTGTTTTCATCACCACTGGTTTCTCCATGCTGAATTGACACTTTCTCAATTTTTTTCAATAATATTGTCACTTCCATTATAATTTCTGCAGGTGGTTGCACACACAGCTATTGTTGACTTATAGTCTTACTTCAGTTTAAGCTCTGATGTCTGCTGGTTGATGTTTTTGTCTGCCACACTATCATTTAGAGTATCCAGTATGTACTTGGTCTATACAGGGTGATTCAGTAGTGTTTTGTAACTTCGTGGGTACAGCAGTGAAGTGAATTTAAGTAAATAAGAGCCCCATTAATGTGGTCTCAATTTAGAAAGTTTGAAGAGTGGTGGCTGTTTGATTGTGAGATAAAAGAATATTAGGAATATGAGTTTTAATGAAAATTTGGGCAGTAACTTCAATGTAAAATGACAAAAACTGTTACTTAACATTTTGATCCTGAGCGGATTTTAAATATCCTGTGACTATGCCAGAGATTTATTTATGGTTATAAAATTAAAAGACATGATAATATTATTTTTATATATTTTTTATGTATATAGAAGTATCTTTTCTTTAATGTCTGACTCTGAATGTGAATATTATAGCAGCATTGAGAAATTATGACAGTGACATCAGCACTAACAATGAAGTACATTTCATTTCCATGAGATTCATTGCTATGAATCTCCATTCTTTTGTGCGTTCTAGCATTCCTATAATGCATACAGGGAGTTTATTTATAGGCTGAGCCAAAGCATGGCTTTACCACTATTTGTGATATGTACACTCTTCTCCACCTACATTTGTATGCTAGTGACAGTAATGAAAGGTAGTGGATACACTTCTCTTTGCTCATCATTGTCAGTATTCATACCATATAATATTCATGATAGAATAATTAGTGAATATGAAGCAGTTCTTGAAATGAGATTTGACAGGGGAAACAGATGTACTTGGAGAAAACCTGCCCCCAACCTATGACACAACTTGCAGTACGACTCCCAGCTTACACAGCATACTACTAAGGGACTACATGACTTATGCATTGTATACTAAATAATATAAACTACACGTAATCCCAGTGAACATCAGTAGTGTCACATAACAGTTTCAGAGCACCATACATAATACACCACTACTGTGTAACCATAACAACATAACCTAATAATGGGACACAACAAATATGTCAGAGAGAACATCCAGAAATTGAACTAGCAGCATCAGCACACTTTCAACCAAAACAGGAGTGTTCTTAATACCAGGTGTTTCATGAGAAACTCTATCTTCAATCTTACTACAATATTGTGTTTTAAGCTATTTCCCACCCCCACCCTCCAACATTTCTTAATTTCAAGAATTTTTGATGGTTATATATTTTACTGCATCTTGTGCACACATGTTATAATATTATAAAGTCAAACGTAGGAAGAAATATCAATGAGCAAGTTATAGATAACATGGATGTAAATAATAAAGAACTCTCTTCTAAAATTAATGCTGAAAAATTTAATGAAAATTTTATAAAAATGGCTGTTAATATCTCTGAAAAGATTAAAAATAAAAATAAGCTAAATACAAACAATACGAACTACTCTCCATACAACTTGGCTCAGCTTTATAATCTTAAGTACAATAATATCAGTTTACATAACACTTCTACAGGTGAGATTTTAAAAATTATAAAGAACTTTGCTTGGAAAAATTCACAGGGTTTCGACAAAATTCCTTTGAAGCTATTAAAAATCAGTGCACCATTTATTGCTTCTCCTTTATGCTACATAATAAATAAGTCTTTATCTACAGGGATTTTTCCTGACAGAATGAAATATTCAATTATTGTCCCACTACATAAAAAAGGTGTTTTAAATAATGTAGCAAATTTCAGACCAATCTCTTTATTACCTTCCTTTTCTAAAATCTTTGAAAAAGTTATCTACAAGAGACTACTTATGCATTTTCAAGCCAATAATGTCCTTACTAACGATCAATTTGGATTCAGAAATAAATCAACTACCAATGCTATATTTAAACTTACTAATATCATCTTGTCTCCTTTAACTAATAAAAAGAAGTGCGGTGACATATTTTTTGACCTAGAAAAAGCCTTTGATTGTGTGGACCATACAGTTTTGTTATCTAAATTAAAATATTATGGAATAAAAGGTAGGATGCATTTATTGTTAGAATCATACCTTACTAATAGATATCAGAGAGTAAAATTTAATAATATATTCTCTAAATGGGGAAAAATTACAAAGGTGTTCCACAGGGATCGATTCTGGGTCCACTTTTGTTTTCGGTCTATATTAATCACTTACCTTCTTCTATCAAGCATTTTGGCCCTCATAATACCTCAGTAATTTTATTTGCTGCTGATACAGTTGTATTAACAAATGATCTCAACTTCATGAATCTAGAAAACAAACTTTCAATTGTATTAAAATTAGTGAAGGAATGGTTTCATTCTAATATGCTTTCGCTGAATCTTGACAAAACTTGCTGTATGAAATTCTCTGCAAAACAGGGTTACCTCGATAATCTAAATATTACCTATGGTAATAATAATTTACATGAACAGAATTATGTAAAATTTCTAGGACTGATGCTGGATAACCTATTAATGTGGAAAAAACACATTGAATCAATTATAATGAAACTGAACACAGCCCGTTATATTATCAGAAGATCTAAACAATTTCTAAATATCGATACCCTCAAAATGATTTATTTTGCCTATTTTCACTCTATAATGTCTTATGGCTTGATTTTCTGGGGGAATTCATATCACAGTATGTGCATTTTTAGACTTCAAAAAAGAGTTATTAGAATTATGGTTGGTGTAGGTTACAAAGATCCTTGTAGGAAGATATTTTCTTCGCTTAAAATATTACCTCTGCCCTCTCTATATATTTTTTCTGTTTTAATGTTTGTAGTAAACAATTGGAAAATGTTTACTAAAAATTCGGATGCATATTCGATTAACAGAAAGCACCACACACACTACTGTTTAGTGTTTTAAATGGTATAGGCAAATGGATATATTTTTTGTGTATTTAAATTTCTTCTGCTTATGGTTTCAGGCCCCTAGTTATTTGGAAATTAAAAAAATGTGTTGTCTCATTTTGTAAGGTTAGGGCATTATGTTTTATGGTTTGCATTTATGTTTTCAGAGTGGGGATATTTTCTCTATCCTATTTATTGATTAATACAGAGAGTTTTTTTAACTATGTTGATCGGTTCATGGATCTGCACGTTGCGGCGGTCATTGCGCTGCTTGCACCTATGTGAAATATGGATCTTCTAGAAAATGTCAGCAGAAATTTTGACATAAATTTCACGATTAAAGAGTTCCCAGCAGACAAACAATTCACAGTCTGTGAATAAACTTAGATCAATGGGACTTTTAATAGACAAGAAACTACTAAGGAGAAGTTAGATGACGTAGGGGCCAGACTTGAACATACACATAGAAAATCACCAAAACGTCTGGCTCAGGAGACTGGAGTATCGAAGTCTAGTGCAAGAACAGCAACACAATTGTCGAAGCTTAGACCCTATAAGACAACAGTAATTGATGCATCCCTTGCAGTTTACAGAATCCGCATGTAACCCACGAAGTCCTGCTCCATGCAGTGGAAATTTGTGTCTGGTGTGCTGTAATTGCAAGAAAGATTGTCATTCTTGGGCAATTCTTTCCACAGTTAACAGAAAAAGAAAGACTTTATGGCTGGTTTCAGCAAGACTCAGCTACTGCCCACACTGCATGTATGTCTTTGCAGGCTTTGTCCGATGACTTCTGGGACAGAATTATCAGTGGTATTTGGCCAGCATGTTCACCCCATCAGAATCCTTGTGATTTTTCCTCATGGGGTTGTTTGAAGGATAAAGTTTACAGCAGTAACACCCAAATGGAAGAAAAACTAAAAGAAAATATGTATAAGGAAATTACAAATATTCCTGCTGAACAGTTTCAAAAGGTGAATCAGAACCTCTTCTGGCAGTGTGAGGATTGTCTGCATGTAGAGGGACAGCATTTTCAACACTTCCTATGATCTGTATGCAATTGTAAGAACTTCCCTTCATTCCAAATGTTATCAGCCATCAGGCCTGCTGATTCATTGGCAGAATTCATGTGCACCTTGCAGAGCCATGGAACTGATCAACAAAGTAAAAATCCTCCCTGTGTTTGCACACTAGTATAAGAATTGTTAATTACCTTTGTCATACTTTTCGTTGCAGGTGTGTGCAAGATTTATGAAGAACATCTGAAACGACAGAACCCAAATACACCATCGATCACCTATGACATCAGTCAGCTGTTCGATTTCGTTGATCAGCTGGCAGACCTCTCCTGCCTTGTGTATGTTCCTTACTTCACTGAGTGCATAAAATTGTCAGGCACTTAGAATCTGTTCAGTCACTTGTCTCTGTGATTGGACAGTGAGCCATGAAGTATGAACGATCTGCTGACAGTTTGGGGAACGCTATTTCCATAGAATTTTGTAATTCTCTGCAATAGTAGCTCATTTGTTTGCAAGTTTAAAATGCTTACATTCATCATGACTTTGTGGTAGACCATCCGGTGGTTTGTCTCAAGGGGTGTTTTGTTTTAAAACAGTATATGCTAGGAAACCCAACTAAAAGGGGGCTGAAGGCATGGGGAATAGCTAATATCAGTTGGTACCTGCAAGAAATGTAAATAATTTGTTTAGGGGAGAAAAAGAGGAAATTTAATTATTTCATTGGGAGAGCAAGTACTTTTTGACGTGTGTGAGGACTGTGTTGGAAAATATTTCAACAGCATCTAGAAGACGCCAAATGTGAGCTTGTGTGACAGGCCAAGTTGGAAGGAAAGTCTTCGCAGGAGACTTTAAAGCTGTGGATAGGATTGCAAAAAATTATAATATGTGAATGTGTCTAATAAGCCATGGTGTTCTCATTTTGTCTGCTAGATCAGATCTTGGAAGCTGATGTCATAGTTATCATTAATACAAGCTGGGGCAAGGAAGGAAATGGCATTCTGTACTTAGTATATGTTGCAGATTACACAGGGTTGATGGGAGGTGTGGATGTAGTGTATCACAAGGAGGTATTACAGAACCCAGCAGATGTCTAAGAAATGATGGAACATTTTTTCTGAGTGTAGCAGTAATGAATAGTTCATTCTCTAAGACAGACCCAACAACCTTGTCCATGTACCTATATCCTATAATGGTACAAGTGTGATATTCTCAGTAGCAGTAAGGGGAATTTAAATGTCCAGTATGCAGCTTGCTAGATGAATTTATATTATCTAGTTCATGGTTTCGGCACCTGATTTGTTAAAATGGTCATAGTTTAATAGTGTTTTTAACATTGAATTGCAACAAAAAGCATTTTGAAGATTCATGAACACAGTAGTTAGTTGTAAGTCCATTAATTTTATGCAACTACGATTTTGAAATTAAGTAAAATTGAGAAATTATGTGAAGTTTAATTAAAAGATGATTGGGTTATATAAGGAAATATATGTGTCACCTCCAGATGTTGCAGTAGTAGTGCTGCTGTGTTTGTTCAAAGAGAACTTAACATAATCACATTGTGACTGAGTTTGTTTCTGTTTCAGCCAATGTAGTTATTAGTGAACTCACCTTCACTAACAAAACATCAGCTGTCAGTTCACAAACATGTTTGCTTCAGTCACTGCCTTTTGTTGTGTGAACGTCACACATATACATTACAAGACTTCAGAGTTATGCCATTTCACATTTTGTAAGATTTTTTTAGTAATGTAGTTTGGTGTGATATGTGGACAAACAGAGGCATACATCATGGTATTCACAGTAGTAAATAGGTCTTGGGATTTTGCCCTTATCAGAATATTGATGTCTGTTTACAAGTTCTGTTCTCTTCAAGAATGCATTCTTGGCAGTAGTAGTTTATCTCTGCCATAATAAAAATGAATAGTTCATTTGGGACAAAGATGAAAAGGAATTTGAAGAGAAATTAAACCAGCCATAAGAGAATATGGACAAGACTGTGATTGATAGGTATGAAAAATTGTCCTCTATCCAGCTTCTGCTTTACTGCTTTACTTTTCCAGTTGCAAAACATTCATCATTATCACATTCAGCTCCTCTAAAAGACTGGACTTGCTTGTGTGGGAGTGTCATTAATTAATGCTGGTATAAAGTAGTGTGCCTGTTAAGTGAAGAACATGACATGCATCACTTTCAGGATACCCAAACTGCTGTATGCAGTCTTCTGTTGTGAGATTGTGGAGCACCACTCAGCACCTTGCTGCATCAGTTATGGGTTAGAGGCATGCATCCATGAATTTTCCATCATTGAATTGTGATCAAGGAACTTGCTTTTTGTGGGTGTCTTCTGAAATCACATTGGCAAGGATTGATGTTACTTGACCTCTTGGCTTTCTCTGAATCAAGTCTGTGCTAGCTGCAATTCTTGTTCTGCACAGTCTGTTATAATGTGTTCATGTTCTGAGATGATGTTAAGTTACTTGGTGTTGTGATCAATAGTATTTATTACAGTAATCACATTTGGTTTTGAAAATTCAAAAGAGAAGTGAGCAAGTGCAAGGTTCTCCATAAACTAATAAGAGGAATACTGCATTAATATCAGTATTTCACTTGTGAGGCACTGCAGGTGGGCAGCACTATTCAGGTGGAAGTTGATAACATTGCCAAACATCAGTAGTGGGCAGCACTATTCATGTGGAAGTTGATAACATTGCCAAATGTCAGTAGTGGGCAGCTTGCTGTGACACAACTTTAGCGTATATAATAGGTGAGAATTCACCACAGCAGAGGAACTAATGGAAATGTCAGAAGCTTTAAGATTGTATGATAGCAGAGTGTTGATGCTCAGAATTTTAAGTAACTTGGATTTAAATACAAGGGGTGCCATGATGGAAAGATTATAGTTGCATTGTAGCTACAAGGGTGGCATTCTTCATAGAAGTTCATGAAGACAGGCAAGATGGCAGAATCATGTATATTATTTGGATCAGCCAGAACCATGTCAGAAGAAGCTGCTGGAAGATGAGTGATTGTTCAGTGGCCTGAGTGTTCCCATCAATAATGGTGGCCATATTATATGTAATGCTGTTTGTCCTGATGGAATTCATTCCAGAGATCAAGTTAATTTTTGATGTTACCATGATATAAAACTTGATTAGAATAACAATTTTTCTCATGCCTTTTGGAATGTAATACCATGTAATCTGGTAGATGGTTACCAACCTTTTGAAGAAACACACTGCTTCTGAATGGGAGTAGTATGGTCCTCCAGAGCACCAGTAAAACTGCATGGGACTATATCCCAGAAGAGCACAGTCTTCATGTACTGCTCTGAGAACATCAGGTATCGTCTCCTGTACCTTTGGAATGGAATTGTTAAAATGATTTGACAGCCACCCTGTTATTCTATGCCATAAGGCTGCTCACCAATGTGAGAAACAGTGACATTCTATCGTGGTTACCCAGTGGAAGCATCATTCCACAAGCAGCTTCACTCTAATCCAGTAGAACTTATATGGGCACAACTGGAGTCATACACCACAAAGAAGACTAGTGCTTCTAATTGCTGATGTTGAGATGTTTACACACATGGTGATAGACAGTGTATAGATTTTGCTGTGCGAGAATTGCATGCAACATTAAAAAAATCTGCAGGAAGATTATTTCAAGAGAGTGGTTATTAGAAACATGTTGGAACCAATTATTGTGAACCTCAGATCTGAGTCAAAAGAATCCAAATCCAGCAGTGAAGACTGATGAGGTATTTATATTGTGTTCATAATAAGAATTTATATTAATCATTAGCATTAAAACATAGTGTAGTAGCCTAGCACTGCTTTTATGAAACTTCTAATATTCCTCTCACATATAAACCAAAATTAAATCTGGCTAATTATTTTTAGTGTGACCCTCCAATAGCAAATATCAGTACTGTTCATTTAATGCCAAGATGAAACGGCGGACAGACACAACTTCATGTTTTCACACTGCAAAAGGCATAATAGTACATTATGTCATTGGTAAATTTGTGATGCAGTTTGAAATTTTGTTGGTATTGGCTTGAGGAATTGTGAAGTGGTGCATACATCTTTTATTTATAATTTTATTGGATTAAAAATTGTTCTGGCCTAAATTAATTTAAAACATTTTCATTAAAGTCATACTTCAAAGACAAGATTTAGATGGGAGACCATTAAATGAGAGAACAAAATCCCTAATACAGTATTCCACAAGCAGCTGGTAAGTATTCAGGGTGCTGGAATAAATTTCCTGTTGTTATTCCTAGCACCACAAGACATTGCTTTGGATATCATCCAATGCTATTTTTATCCTTAAAACTGATTTCCCCAAGATCCATTTTCATATTTCCTACCATCACAGTTTCCCAAGAATCCTGAAATGGGTCAGATGGAAATATGTTTTGGCAATTTAGATAACAGAAGTTTCAAGGTTCTAACATCAATGATAATTAGTTCATAATATATTTTTATGAAAAAGCATATTAATTCGTGTGGCTTTATGTTTGTTATGCAGGTACCAGAAGAGCACCAATTCTTATGCCCCATACAATAAGGACTGGATCAAGGAGAAAATATATGTGTTGTTGCGACGTCAAGCAGCACGTTCACAGTGAGATGTGGATGACCACATTTGCTTCAGTGGCAAATATCAGTGCATCAGAACACCCCCAGTACATTTCACCCAGTTATGTACATTTCATTGTGTATTGTCCGAAATTGACAATGGTGTAGTGTGGAGAAGAGGGCTAAGACTCTTACAATGGCATCATTATATTTTAAGTACTTTATCAGGCTCAAACTGGAATAGTCTGGTATATGAATAGAGTGACTTTTGTTTTCAATTTCTTTATATATTTTTGGAATTAATCTGGTTTAAAATTAATGTGAAATGAATATTAAATATTCCTATAATGTTCCAGTTTGAAAACTGATTCTGGAGGTGCAGAATGATTGGGTTGTTGCAAAGTATCTGCATAGAAAAGCACAACTTCTTTTAAGTCTATGAAAATAAAATACTTCATTCATATATATGATACCTGTCGGTGTTACATGTACTACCTGTGTGTTAGTTCTTGTTTTAAAATAGGCTGTTTTTATTTTGTTTATATTTCAGCATATGACTTTTTGATTGTGGAACACAATCCCTGTGTACATGGGTCAAGAAACTGGCCACAATTTCATGCACTTGTGCCTTGGCTGTCTTCTTGCTTTGTATGTACAGTCTTAGCACATGATCATGACCAATATCAATTATTTATCACCTGGGATTACATATAACCCAGCAATATCAGATTTTTGATGGTTGAGAGTCATGAAATGTACAGACAAATGTTTTTTACATGGCTGCAGTGTAGCTTTTTTTAAAATGTATTGGAAAGAGAGAACTATTGAAATTTATTCCGAGTTCAGTCCATATAGTGACTAGGTTATATGTCTGACATTTGAGAATTGAGGTCCAGTTCCTGGCAGAAGGAAGATGCTTGTATCTTCTCCACACTTTTGACACAGGCATTCTGGCCTGCTTAGCCACTTTGCTGATGGATAACAGGGTCTTTTTCCTTGGGAGTAAAGTGAATATAATGTGAAGATAACTATAACCCTCCATCTGATGCTGAGGTGAAGAATGGTTGGACTATACTACCTCCCCCATAAATTTTCAGGACAATTAAGCACAGGAACAACTTTTTGTTTTTACCCACAAGGCAGAATTTTGTAGCACATAACAGATGGGAACTATTAAAAACATGATATTGCAAGTAGATTTCATAAAGCCTACTTTCCTAAACAGGCTTTCAGGCTATAAATTGTATGTTGTTAATGTTTTAGGTAATGCCAATTTATTATCCAACAGTAAAATGCATGGTTTTATGTCCTGGGCTCTTTCAGATGATCATATGATTGAATCCTAGTCACACAGGAATTCTTTGCTTGCAACTGTAAATGTGTTAGACTAATATTAGGCTTGTAATTATTTGGAAGAATTTATTACATAGACTATGCACAGACCATCTAGGCCTACAATAAATAAACTCAAATTTTCACACCATTGCCATATCTGTAAATACTGATTTGTAAATAGTATTTCATACATTCGTAGATATGTTCATGATCTATTTGCATACCAGATTTTACATCACCATCATATGGGAAGCCAATACAGATTTAATGGAGATGCCATTTTGTTGCTGATGTTCTACAAAAACTGCATCTTCAAAGATTACCATGCCTGATATTAGAACTCTTAGATCAAATGGCACAAGTTTGTACATTTACTGTGGTAACAGTTCTAGGAAGTTATAAAGAACATGAGGTTGGGGTGACCTATAATAGTGTTATTCTCATACAACATTTCATGGTAATTGGTCAGTTTGGAACTAAAAAGCCCCCCTCCACACGCACGCACACTAGTGTGGTGTCATAAGGAAGGAAAATTGTCTAAAAATGCAAGAAACTATTTTTTGAGAATATCATTTGAACAGTGGGTGCCAGAATGCAAGCTCTGTCTTGAAGGTGGTTGCAGCAGATTCCAATGAAATGTTGATGCTTATGTACCAAATTAGACATCATATCAAAGCAGACCATAATCTTGGAAAAAATATCCTCTGATATTACTGCCACAAGTCTCAGAATTTTACAACAGCAATAGAAGTGGACAAGTCCTGATTTCATGCACAAGGCCACAGTTCTTTTGTTCAAAATGGCAGATTGATTTCTAGTGTCATTTATGGTACAGACAACTGAGTGCAACCCTGTGGGTATTTTTGTTGCATTTTTGCTGTATCTGTAACAGTTCACAACTTTTAGATGATCAGCATATCCAAATTCTTACCAAAATGGTTGGTTTCCAATGGCTGCATTTGGGATCATTTAACCCATTTTGCTTCTTGCTTCCCAGTAGAGAGCACTCAAGTTCTTGCTTTGTTGCATTTTGAAGAAGTTTGCACTTTTCTTTTGGGAAGCTTTGCAAAATTTGCTGCTCATCTTCCTCAGAGCAACTCTTCCTAAACTGAACACCATTGGAGTTATCCTACTCTATATATATAGCTTCTCACATGTGGGTTTCATTTGTAGTTTTCTGTGCCAGTTTTAATTGCATGAAATCTTGATCCATGTACACATGGCTGTATAGATAGGCATTACTGTCCTAAGTTACACTGTAGGGATTTCATTTGTAGTATAACTGTAAAGAATGCATTTACACTGAACATTGCATTCCAAAATTATTACACAGGCTGCTGTTATTGATGCATATTCTGTATTATTTTTTGGTTGTCTCTGAAATTCACACTTAAGTAATTTCCTCATTCTTCAATACCTGTTTCAATTTATTTTGTGTTTAGAATGAGGAGTTGGAGAAGTATGGTTATTGGCTTTGTTGTGTCTGTCTTTCTGTTCATGTATGTCAACTCGAAAAATAAATTTATATTCAGAAGTACTGCTAAAATTTGTCAACATATTTTTTGGTGAAAGCTAGACAAAACACTTTACATGAAGACCTAAGTGCATTTTTATATCTCGAGCATAATTTGCTATTTATCAGAACAAAAAAAAAAACACTTCAGACAGAAGTTGTATAAACACACATTTTAGACCCAAGACACTTTCTGGAAGTTATACAGTGTTTTAGGGATAATTAAACAAAGGTTAGCACATATCAGAATTGTTAACCCTATTCATACATTTCATAATTTCATATATTTATGAAGTACCACATTTTAGAATTATTTTTGTGGGGTTTCAACGGAGGCAGTATAAATTAAGTTCCAGCTCTTCTGCATGTAATTTTTATTTGAAATTAGTACTTAATACCGAAATTCAGACAATACCTGCTGAAGTCTTGTTTTGTTGAGTTCAGTAAAGAAATATAATCTTATAATGTACTGTAGTTTATTATAAAAGCTGGCACAGCATAGAATTTCCCTTTCAATTTTAGGAAATTTGTCCTTTAGTTTCATGTTTATATTTTTCAACATATTGCTTACAACTTTTATACCCTTCTGGCTACATCTTTACAGTAAAGCCTGCGTATAATCGAATCATTAATAGAATGGTAAAGTAGCAGGATTTCCAAGGATTGGTAACTTGTTTATGTCACAATGACCTGGAAAAATACCCTTAACTACCTAATTATTGTAGCATATTTAAATGTGTTTGGGAAATTTCTGTATCAGGTATTAAAATTGGCGATGTCATGGTTACCCACACTAAAAAATGTTTGCAGTTAAATTATGAAAATACTTGAAACCGTGTGAAATGGCATACACATTTTCCTCCCTATTTTTGTGTGCAACAACTGACCGTGTCCTCTTCCTTGCCACTTGTTGTGACACCATTAAACACTTAAAAAGAGCAGTTCCAGTATTATTAATGTCAACATAAGCTGTAGTTGGTAAAAGGAAACAAAAGACAAAAGGAAAAGGAAGTTGTAAAAATAGCAGTTTTTCCAGTTCAGATATAATATGCTAACTAGAATTATGGACCAGCATGTTTTTTAAGCCATGGACTGCTGAGCAGTACAAATTTTAATTTTGTGTCTTTTTTTTTTTTTTTGGTACTTCC